CCCCTTACGGTTTTGACTTTTAAAATGAGGCTGCATTTTAAATGGCATTTTAACCTGTATTTTAAATTGTTTTTTCTTTTTCTTTTTTCTTATTATGTTTCCACTAAAATTTTATTGGTGTTAGCCGCCTTGAGCCCTCTGGCTGCGGAGGGCGGGGTATAAATTTATTATTATTATTATTGTTGTTGTTGTTGTTATTATTACAGTGGTACCACGGGTTACATACGCTTCAGGTTACAGACTCTTCTAACCCAGAAATAGTACTTCGGGTTAAGAACTTTGCTTCAGGATGAGAACAGAAATTGTGCTCCGGCGGCGCGGCGGCAGCAGGGGGCACCATCAGCTAAAGTGGTGCTTCAGGTTAAGAACAGACCTCTGGAACAAATTAAGTACTTAACCAGAGGTGTTGTTGTTTAGTTGTTTAGTCGTGGGGACTCTTCGTGACCCCATGGACCAGAGCACGCCAGGCACTTCTGTCTTCCACTGCCTCCCGCAGTTTGGTCAAACTCAAGCTGGTAGCTTCGAGAACACTGTCCAGCCATCTCGTCCTCTGTCGTCCCCTTCTCCTTGTGCCCTCCACCTTTCCCAACATCAGGGTCTTTTCCAGGGAGTCTTCTCTTCTCATGAGGTGGCCAAAGTACTGGAGTCTCAGCTTCAGGATCTGTCCTTCCATTGAGCACTCAGGGCTGATTTCCTTCAGAATGGATAGGTTTGAACAGCTGGATCTCCTGTTCCTCCTCCTAGCAGACCTCGCTCTCTCGCTCTCTCACTCTTGCTCTTCACTTCCTTCCTCCTCGCCTCCTTCTGGCTCCCTCTCAGGGAGCCAGCCCTGCCAAAACCAGGCAACACCCAGGGGCAAGCCTGTCGCTCCAAGCCAATTTTTGTAAGGTGGCGAATATAAGCCATACTTTTTAACTTTTCACGGTCAGAATATGGAAGGGAAAAAAAAGTGTGGCTTGTATTCAGGCCAATACGGTACTACTTCCATCCTTCACTGAAAGGGGGCCAGGATCCACGCTTTCTGGGAAGCAGACCTGGTTTCCCTGCAATCATGCTATGGGGGAGATTTTAATCCTGTGATAATATTTGCACTCCAGATGGATTTATTTTTAGCACATGCTCCTCTGTTCGCTTAGTTTCCCTTACTGTTGACAGTGTGCCATGCTGGGAAGTGGTTGAGTTGTCAAGATTTGTTTCGGTTTCTTTCTCCTTCTTACGTAGGGGAGGTTACTGGTACAGACATTAATTCATATGCACAGGTTCAAGAAGAAACAGGAAGGCACACTTCCTGCGCTTGCACACAATGTAATGAATGGTAAATAAAAAATAGGGGCTTGCAAATCTCTCCTGTGGAAAGATGTATTTTGTCTCACAGCTCACAGGAACCTAAAGAAGAGCCCTGCTGTGTTATTTGTTGAAGTGGGCTTCTTAGAACTTGACAACATTTCCCAACTGGAGGAGTCCTCAAAGCAAATGTATTTATATATATTTCAGAAGCCAAAGCATCATGCTGTAAGACTTCAGAATTTCTGTTTTGTGAGGTAATGTAATAGAGATGTGTGTGTATCATCTGTATATATCTATATATAATTACTGCAAGAGTGTTCTGCAAATATTCCTTAACTAATTCACATGGTTTTCAAATTTCTTTAATCCTTCCTTTCTGGTAATTTTGTTCCTCTGCTACTCTTTCTGGCTAATAGGCACACACGCACCATGTCTATCTCTCTCTCTCTTTTCCATCTGAGTGTTAGGATTCCCTTGAGCGGTTGTGTTGACCTGATGTAGCAGCAGGGTGACCGGCTGGTTTAGGATCTGGGACAGACACAAGCAACAGACAGAATGAGTGCAACTGAGCCCATGCACACAGATTCTCCCTCTCCCCCCCCCCCATCCAACATAAGAGCCCATAATGGCAGACAGGCATCTTCATAAATAAATTAGAAGTGTAGAATCGTCGAGTTGGAAGACACCTCAAGAGACATCTTGGCCCAAGGCCTTGAAGCAGCAAAATAATGATTGGTCTTGACATTTGCTGTGTTTAAACAACCCTGCCATGGGTCAGATCAAGAGGCAGCAATGCACATGGGTTTTTTTGGTGTGTATGTGTGTGTGTTTGGTGGATGTACTATAATAGTGGGATATATAGGCAGCTGATGTGGTGGGGAGCCAGGCTTTCTAGTTAAGAGAGTGAAATAGACCATTAGTAGATTCAGGACAAAAAGAAGATATTATTTACACAATGCAGACTAATAATAATAATAATAATAATAATAATAATAATAATAATAATATCCCACCCCTCATCCAAAGATCACAGGGTGGTTTACAGTTTAATTAAAATTCTAGAATCTTCCCTTTTATCCCACAGCCACTAAGTTTACTCAGGAGCCCCGGGTGAGTGACCTTGTCAAAAGGATTTTGAAAATTCTTAGTACCGCATCGCCCAAGTCTACATGATTACTGACACTCCAGTTGCAAGACTTCCCTTTGCAGAAGCCATGCTGATTCTAACTCTGCAAGACTTATTCTCCTAGTGCAGGGGTCAGCAAACTTTTTCCGGAGGGGGCCGGTCCACTGTCCCTCAGAACTTGTGGGGGGCCGGACTATATTTTGAAGACCACCCCCCACGACTCTTCCCTCCCTTCTCCACAGCACCGGACAAGCCCCAGTGGCTGCTTACCTGTGCCTTGTGAGCGGCGGTGGCGGCGGAGGGACGATGAGCGGCATGAAAGGGTTGGCTCCGGAGAGGGGCTGCTTAAAATGGTGCTCAGCCAATTGCAGCTCAACAAAGCCCAGCCCCCCTCCTCATCTAGGCAGGGTGGGGAGAAGCCAGGAGGAGGGAGGGAGGAGGCGCCGCCACGGTGTGTGTATGTGTGTGTGTGTGGGGGGGGGGGAAATGGCGCAGCCCGAACAATCAGAATCCCCACGCCAATCCATGCGGCAATTCCCGGACTGTCCGTGGGCCGGATCCATAAGGCAATTGGGCCAGATCCAGCCCCCGGGCCTTAGTTTGCCAACCCATGTTCTAGTGCATAGGTATTTTCATAGGATAGAAATACTTCTACAAATAAAGAAATAAGATGTGCTTGGTAATTTTATCTTTAAAACTTCCCGTCCACTTGTGTGGGACAGTACAGTGGTACCTCTGGATGCGAACGGGATCCGTTCCGGAGCCCTGTTCGCATCCTGAGGAGAACGCAACCCGTGTCTACAGGTCGTGATTTGCCACTTCTGCGCATGCACGCGACGTCATTTTGAGCACCTGCGCATGTGCGGGCGGCGAAACCCGGAAGTAACGAGTTCTGTTACTTCCGGGTCGCCGTGGAGTGCAACCCGAAAACGCTCAACCTGAAGCAACCTTAACCCGAGGTATGACTGTACTGGCTCCTTCTCTCCTGGATCTAAGAGATCCCTTCTAAACATAGTTACACTGGCCATTTCCCAGACCTTGGGTACAGCAGCTGATCTTTGGAGAAGTTACGTATTTATGTGAGAAGATTAGCAATATCTAATTTGAGGTGTTTTTTTTTTTTTAAGAGCTCTCAGGTGGATACCATCCAGACGTAGCGATGTGTTCATTTTTTCATTTGTCATAAGGCTCGGAACTCAAAAGCTCCGCTTGAACCAGAACTCCAGTTCTCATTATTCCTTGATTGCAAAGCTTTCTGATGAGATCAAGGCCGAGCATCAAAAGACCCTCAGCGAGGGTTGCTTGTCTTGACGTAACCCAGAGAGGCAAGAGCATCCCCTATGGGCTTGTTCTCACAACCGTTGAGCGGCAGCCCAGCTCTTCCTTGAAAAGAGGTTTTTGGCTTTGATATCATTCATAATGTTTGGAGTGTTTAACATGCATTAATACTTGAGCTCTGCTCAGTACCACTTCAGAAGAGCGTAGGTGGTTCAGCTGCGGGTTTTTAATGAAAAAGGAATTAAATCGTTAAGTGGAAGCCTTCTAGCAAAAGCAGGGTTGGAAATGCGCGGTCCTTCAGGGGAGGTGAGCTCGTCGACTGCAGCCCATTGTCTCGAGAGTGCCTTCTCTTAACATCACCTTCCACATGATGTAACAAACAGGTTTGCAGTTGCCTCGTGGGAGACAATCCCTGTCTCCTGATGCACATGCCTTGATGAATAAACAGTGGGAAAGGGATGGCCAGGAGCCAGAGACCTGAGGAAGTGAAGTGATAATAGAGCAGGGAAGTGGTGCATTATTCTGTTTTCTTTTTTAATCCTGGGAAATGAGAAAGTTTGTGGGGAAATTGCCTGCTAATGACCCCCTGCCCTCCTTTTGTGCATCAGATTATTTTTCGACGAACAGTGTAGGCTGCACACTTTCTTGGGCAAAAAAAGATCTCATCGCTGTTGTACATGCCTTGATTTAGCCTCGAGTTGGACTGCTGTAATACCCTCTGCTTGGAGCTGCCCTAGAAGACCGTTTGGAAGCTACAACGGCTGCTTGCAAATGCTGGTTTTAGTTTGCCTGACTCCCAGTTTGTTTCTGGGTTCAATTAAGAGTTCTGGTTTTAATCTTTTACAGAGAAATCGTAACCCCTAAACCTGTTTGCTAGTGAGGATTATGATTAGGAATCGTGGCTTTTTGATCAGTACACTGGCGGACTGTGCTGAAATTTGAAGGGCAGGAAAGAACTGTATGTTGGTCTGTTGCCTCAAATTATGTCAGCCTCCAGAGATTTTCAGGGTTAACAAGGGTTGCAAACAGATTCCCCCACCCCTCCAGAAACAAAACAAAACCGAGGCCAAACTTTTGCTAGATTCCTCCAGATTTCTGGAAGTGGCTTTCACATCAGGTGAAAGATCACATAAAATGTGAAGAACAGGTAAGGAAACGTCATGAAAATGGGATAAAATGCAGTCTGGATGCAGCTGTAATGTGACGAAACTCACACTGGACGTTCTTTTAACAAGACTCTTTCTTTCTTTCTTTCTTTCTTTCTTTCTTTCTTTCTTTCTTTCTTTCTTTCTTTCTTCTGCTTCCCCAGGTCAGCCTGAATGATTCCCACAACCAGATGGTCGTTCACTGGGCTGGAGAGAAGAGCAACGTCATTGTCGCTTTGGCCCGTGATAGCTTAGCCTTCCTAGGCCCCAAGTTAAGTGATGTAAGTAATTATGTCTGTGTGTGTGTTTTGTGTTTTGTGTTTTTAAATAAGTTTAAAGTAGAAAATAACACAGATAACCAAACTTTGACACAGTTAGTTGCTTAGCATGGATTAATGCTCCAGCCCTCAAATCAGTTTCCAACTAGTGCCTAATTTCTGTTTTGTACTGTTTTTGGCACCCTGCTAAAATCTTCTTCATGTAGGCAAGTATAGCCAGTTATGTAAAGCTGACATTTATTTTTACGTGTACAGTGGTGCCTCGCAAGATTTTTTTCGTCTTGCGAAGCACGGTGTCGGGAAAGTTTGGGAAAAGCTTCAAAAATCACCAAAGTCTTTAAAAACCTCAAAAAAGGCTACCACACCGCGTTCTATGAGTTGCTCCTCGAAGTCAAGTCGCAACTGTATTAACGGTGTTAAGAAAAAGGAAACAAACTTGCAAGACGTTTCCGTATTGCGAAGCAAGCCCATAGGGAAAATCGTCTTGCGAAGCAGCTCAAAAAACAAAAAACCCTTTCGTCTAGTGTGTTTTTTGTCTTGCGAGGCATTCGTCTTGCCAGGTACCACTGTAATTTTATTTTATAGCATATCTTTTAAACTATGGATTTAATTTATATTGTGGTCCCCTCACTCTGGGGTCATTGCTTTTAAGTTCTGACTTATTAGTAATTTTAATGCATACTTTATGTAATCCACTTTAGAGGGTTTTTTTTAAAAAAACCACACACAATTAAACAGTATGGTAATGAGATGAAATAATAAAATAGGCCTTGATAAGTAGGCAGCTATCAAAGCCGTTTCAGGCTATCCCCAAAGTGAGCCCCAATCATTTTAGGGAATATTAACTTGTACTTGTTGTAGGCACGGCTCAATTTAGTTTATTGTAAGCTTCCTTGTTAGGGACGCGAGTGGCGCTGTGGGTTAAACCACAGGGCCTAGGACTTGCAAATCAGATCAGAAGGTCGGTGGTTCGAATCCCCGCAACGGGGTGAGCTCCCGTTGCTCGGTCCCTGCTCCTGCCAACCTAGCAGTTTGAAAGCACGTCAAAGTGCAAGTACAGTGGTGCCTCGCAAGACGAACGCCTCGGAAAACGAAAAACTCGCAAGACGAAAGAGTTTTCCGTTTTTGAGTCGTTCCGCAAGACGAATTTCCCTATGGGCTTGCTTCGCAAGAAGAAAGCCCATAGGGAAATCTCCGGGGACCTCTTTTAAATGCTGGCGGTGGGGAGCAAAGCCTTTCGCCCCCCTCCGGCCTTCAGAAGAGGTCCAGGAAGGCCGGCGGGGGCCAAAAGGCTTTGCTCCCCACCGCCAGCATTTCAAAAGCGGTCCGGGATAGCAGGGAATTGCGCTGCGCTTTCCCGCTATCCCGGACCGCTTTTAAAATGCTGGCCGTCGGGAGCAAAGACTTTCGCCCACCGCCGGCCTTCAGAAGAGGTCCTAGACCTCTTCTGAAGGCCGGCGGGGGGCAAAAGTCTTTGCTCCCCCCCGCCTGCCTTCCCGGGACAGCAAAGACTTCTCCGCTGTCCCGGGACGATCTTAACATGCTGGCGGGCGGCAGCGAAGCCTCCGCTGTCCCGGGGCGATTTTAAAATGCTGGCGGTCGGCAGCAAAGCCCTCCTGTCCCCGGAGCTTGCGGGGCGGGAGGTGGGGAGAAGGGCTTTTCTTCCCACCACCAGCCTTCAGAACAGCCTTCTGAAGGCTGGCGGTGGGAATAAAAGCCCTTGTCACCCCCCCCAGCCTTCAGAAGAGGTCGGGGGACAGACTGTCCCCGGACCTGGTCTGAAGGCGGTTTCCATAGGAACGCATTGATTGATTTTCAATGCATTCCTATGGGAAACCGTGCTTTGCAAGACGAAAAACTCGCAAGAAGAAAAAACTTGCGGAACGAATTAATTACGTCTTGCGAGGCACCACTGTAGATAAATAGGTACTGCTCCAGCAGGAAGGTAAACAGCGTTTCCATGCGCTGCTCTGGTTCGCCAGAAGCGGCTTAGTCATGGTGGCCACATGACCCGGAAGCTGTATGCCGGCTCCCTCGGCCAATAAAGCGAGATGAGCGCCGCAACCCCAGAGTCGGCCACGACTGGAGCTAATGGTCAGGGGTCCCTTTACCTTTAATGGGGAAAGGACCTCTTTATAGGAACCACCCATATAGATTGCACAACACCATTCGTTTTGGAGCTGGGAGTGGGCAGGGAGGAGTCGGAAATCTTTAACGAAACCAGAAGGTCAAATTTCAAAGTAATTATGTTTTATCAGCTCAGTATAACAAATAGTAAAGGTTCCAGAGACATGACATTTGCCCTCACCTTCTCTGTTGCTGGAAAGCTCCACAAGGGCACAGAGACCTGCCTTTTGTTCACTTACATTATTCGGTGTAAGTTGCCATGGCTTAATGGCTCTGTATAAATATGACAAAAATAATACTGTTTAAGAACAATGAGGAAGCTGATCTGTTGAGCTGGTCCATCTAGCTTGGTGCTGTCTAGGGTTCGAGACAGGGAATAATTACCAGCCGTACCCAGAAATTCTGGGGATCAAACCTGGAACCTGCGTACAAAACAGATACTCACTACCAGTGTGCTATGGCCCTTCAGGAACAAGTGATTGTTGTTGTACAGTAGCCTGTTCCCTGATTTGCAAACTCACTTCCCTACTCCCTCCCAGACCTGCTCCTCTTCCATTTGTTGTAGCTAAGGGTGAGCAGCTGCAATAGTCCGTCCTGTCTCCTGAGCAAGCCTGAGGACGCTCAGTTGACATCGTTCTTAATACAAGGAGGCAGCCGCCATAGCTCTGCACCAGGAAGCCCCCATTGCAATGCTATAGCAGTTCGTTACTCTTGCCTTGGTAAAGAAAAATAAATCCCAAATTCCTTGGTTTGTTAATTTATTTTTTTAAAAGAACCACATGATTTGGTGGGGTGGAACGGTCTTTGTGTGTGTGTGTGCAGTTTGTAACATTAGCATCTTTCCTTGCCAGGTTTATATTTCTTACGACTACGGGAAAACCTTTAAAAAGATATCGGAGAAATTCAATTTTGGCCCGGGGAACAGCAGCCAAGCAGTGATTGCTCAATTCTACCACAGCCCAGCCGACAACAAGAGGGTAGGAAATTAGAAATCGTTTGAATGTGTAAACAAAGGATTTAAACTGCACACCCCCTAGATTTAAATAAGGGTGTTCTAAATATTTTGGGGTTGAAACTAGGGTAGGTTTCACATTTTTTCCTGAAAAAGATCTAATGCAAGTATTTGGCTTTCTCTCCCCTGCGCCACTTTGATCTTCGCTTCTTTCTCTTTTCTGGGCTGGTTACATGGTTGATCCCACCTAACGGGGGGATCTCCTGAGCGGTGCTCTATGTGGTTTGACAATCCTTCCCAGGGAACTCTGGGAACTTGTAGCACTGAGAGGAAAAGGGGTCTCCTTACAACTATGAGCACCATGAATAATCTACAGCTCCCAGGATCCTTTGGGAGAAAGCCATGCTTGTTGTGTGTTGAATGTGTGGTGTGAATGTGGTAAAGGCAAGAGACACATCCGTTGCTCCACCCACTTTTGTCTCTGGCTCCACCCACCCCAGGCACGCGGCCCCTGGAAGCCTGCCTGTGAGGCCATGTGGCCCTGCTATGATAAGTAGATGTTATGGAAGGAGAAGCTGTACTTGTGGTTTCCATTTTTGGCAGCAGCTGCGAGGTTTGTTTTGTAATGTCTAGTTCCATCCTTGGATGAGCTTCTCGGTTTGTGTAGAAAATGTCAATTAAACTCAACCCCCCCCCAGCTCCTTGTTTTGACCTCTGCGAAGTCTTCGCTTTGCCGTTTTGGTCAGTGATGTAGCGTCTCTGCCGTGCCTTCAGAGCGGACCAAGAGGTCTAAGTGTGTGCCGTGCTCAGGCAGAACAGTAGAAATCGCTGCAACTAAACAGCTGTTTACCTAACAGCTAACGGGTTCGTGTAGCCAAGGGAAAATATTTGCCTCCTGAGGATTATAGATTGCGTTTGATCAAGAAAACTGACTGAGTCGCTTCTTATTTTGCGGTGGGGAGATGGCAGAATAGCAAACAAAAGTCTTCCGTCTTTTTTATAAAAAAATTTCTCACTAAAAGCGAAGGCTGTCCAGTTGTCTTCTGTAGCAGATGTGAATCCTAAACTAGCTTTGCAAGCCAAGCTGATGGGTGCCTTGCAGAAATGAAGTCGCCAGGCTTGTCATCTCCACCACTGAAGGAGGGAGGCCTAGTCTAGCATTTAACTCCATAACCTGCCCTTCCACCCTGTTCCCCCAGTCATCCGATCCTAAGGGAAGGTCTAAACTGCACGTTTTGAATTTTTTATGCTATTATCTTCTTTAGTGGGTTGTGCGAACTGCTGTTCTGAATAATGTTTTGAATAGGGTAGGGAGCACTGGGGATGAGTTTGTAGAACCAAGAGGGCAGTGGATGATTTTTTTTTTTTAACCACTCTTTAAAATACCGTATTTTTCGCCCTATAGGATGCACTTTTCCCCCTCCAAAAATGAAGGGGAAATCTGGGTGCGTCCTATGGGGCGAATGCAGGCTTTCGCTGAAGCTTGGAGAGCGAGAGGGGTCGGTGCGCACCGACCCCTCTCGCTCTCCAGGCTTCAGGAAGACATCCGCAGCCTAGGCAGCCCTGCGGGAGTTCCCGCAGGGCTGTCTAGGCTGCGGATAGCAGCCTGCTTCCCGGAGCGTCGGGTGCCCTGAAGCAGAGCGCCCTGCACGCCGGACAGACATCTGCAGCATGGGGAGCCCTGCAGGAGACATCGGCCAGCCCCACAAGCTCGGGGGACAGCAGGGAGGCGCAGCGCTGCCATCCCGCTGTTCCTCGACCTGGTTTGGTTTCCCCGACCTGCTTTTGGGGGGGGGGAAATAAAGGAAAAAATTTTTTCCTTTATTCCCCCCCCCCCAAAAAAAAACTAGGTGCGTCCTATGGGACGGAGCGTCCTATGGGACGAAAAATACGGCATAATTTATTGCATCGGTGAGGGATTCTGGCTACAGAAACTGGTGAAAATGTAACAAAAAGTGGCATACAGTTTTTTTTTGTGTGTGTGTGTTTTTGTGTGTATGCAACTTTCACATCCAAACAATTCTGCCAAGATCTGCGTGCTGATTTTTGAAGACCCACTGATTTTTTTATCCTACCCCTTCCTCCTTTTCCTTTTACAGTACATCTTCGTTGATGCCTTCACTCAGTACCTCTGGCTTACCACGGACTTCTGCAACACCATCCAGGGCTTCTCAATTCCGTTCAAAGCGGCAGATCTACTTTTGCACAGCCGACTCCCAAACCTCATCTTGGGATTTGACAAGACCCATCCCAACAAACAGGCGAGTAGATCCCTGACGGATGCACATGCCGAAGGCTCCCAATTTCTGCTTTTCTTTCTGTGGGTGGGGAGTGTGTGTCCTGCGAACGGGATGCTCTGTGTGGGAAGGTGCCTCGGTGATCACGCGGAGCGCAGTTAAACCGTGGAACTCCCTCCCACTGGATGCAATGACGGCCGCCAACTTGGATGGCTTTAAAAGGGAAACTGGACAAATTCACAGAGGATACAGCTATCAGTGGCTACTAGGCATGATGGCTATGCTCTGTCTCCATAGTCAGAGGCAGTAAGACTTCTGAATGCTAGTTATTGGGAATTGCAGGTGGGGTGAGTGCTGCTGGTGCACTAAGGTCTTGCTTGTGGGCTTCCTATAGGCATCTGCTTGGCCACTGTGAGCCAGGATACTGGCCTAGACACAGCATTGGCCTGATCCAGCAGGGCTCGTCTTATGTTCTTGATCATTTGTCTGTCTTTTGTGTTTTAGGTTGTTAACCCCGTTCAGAACCCGACTCTTTTAGAGCACGAGACTCTTAATCTTAGGGTTGTGGGTTCGAGCCTAGTAATAATAATAATAATAATAATAATAATAATAATAATAATAATAATATACGATATATGATATATGATATCTTTATTACAGATAGGTAGCTGTGTTGGTCTGCCATAGTCAAAACAAAAAAAATTCCTTCCAGTAGCACCTTAAAGACCAACTAAGTTAGTTCTTGGTATGAACTTTCGTGTGCATGCACACTTCTTCAGATACACACACTGTGTATCTGAAGAAGTGTGCATGCACACGAAAGCTCATACCAAGAACTAACTTAGTTGGTCTTTAAGGTGCTACTGGAAGGAATTTTTTTGTTTTGATATCTTTATTGTCATTGTCCCATGCAGAACAATGAAATTGAAAAACCACATAAAACTACTACAAAACTACATAAAACATTCAAAACCCCCTAAAAACTCTGATGATGATGATGATGATAATAATAATAGTTTTATTTATACCCCGTCCACCCTGCCCAGAGCCGGGCTCAGGGTGGCTAACACCAGTAAAATTACAGTAAAAACATAGTAGGAAAAAAACCTATTTTTAAAATAATTTAAAATACAGGTTAACATGCATCCCACGAGGAGCAAAAGATCTTGCATTGCAGGGAGTTGGACTAGATGATCCTTGAGGTCCCTCTACAATTCCATGGTTTTAACTTGGTGCCCTCTAGATATTTTGAGCTGCATCTCCCACCACCCCATATCCTCGGCCATGTTGCATGGTGGCAGTGCATGGTCCAACAACATCTGGCAGGCACTATGTTTGATAGAGCATCTGCTTTACATGCAGAAGGCCCCCAGTTCAGCTCCTGACATCTCCTATTGTTGTTGGAGGGAGGGGTGTCCCCTGCCTGGAACTCTGGAGATCTGCTGGCAGTCAGTGTAGACCAAAATGAGCTGGATAGGCCAGTGGTCTGACAGCTTCTTGGTTCTATGGAAAAGAGGCCTTCTGCGACCCTGCTCTTCCTCCTGTTCTCAACCATACTGTGTTCAGAGCCTGGTGAAGGAAGAAATTAGGCCAACGATTCCCACTTCCCAGCAAGAAGCCTGCCTTTGTTCCTCTTCAGGCCTGCTCTGCATTGTTCTCACGCCTGGCTCTCAAAATGGGCAGGAGCCCGGGAGGTGGAGGGACGCCAGACAGCCTAACTCCGCTGCCCTGGTACTTGGCAGGAACAACAGTGTTTGTCTTGTGTGGTCACATTTGGGTGGTTTTGCTTCCCCGCTCCCGCTTTCAATGTTTGGATGTTTCCTTCACCATAACTGAAAGGCGGTTAGCGCCCTGGGGTTGGTGGCCAAAGCTCGGAGACAATTTCTCGCTTTGACTCGGTTAGCCAGAGCGACACTTCTCGCCCTCGAAAAGAAAAAAGGGAGGAGAAATATCTCCCAGCTCCCAGCAACAGAGAGCCAGAAGGAAGCATCGCTTGCAACCTCTCCCTGGTCCTTTCCCTTCCCGGCGAGCTCTCCTCTCATTGTGTTCCTCCCTTTCCACCGACGTAGGCTCGCCCTGATCTCAGCAACTATGGCGCTTGCTACTCACTGGCAGGGTGAAATTGCTCGTAAGCTCTTTCTGCACCAGATCCGCTTGGGGTTAAAAGAACATGCTGGCTCTGCAAAACTTTCGGGAGATTTCACGGGGCCACCGGAGTTCCCACAAGCATCCCCAGGCTTCCAGAGCCGTCACACTGAGAGGGTCTTGCCTCTCAAGCAAGGCCTTTCCCCCCTGCCAGGTTATCTGTAATAATAATAATAATAATAATAATAATAATAATAATAATAATAATAATAATAATAATTTATTATTTATACCCCGCCCATCTGGCTGGGTTTCCCCAGCCACTCTGGATGGCTTCCAATACAATATTAGAATACAACAATGCCTCAGACATTAAAAGCTTCCCTAAACAGGGCTGCCTTCAGATGTCATCTAAAAGTCTGTTAGTTGTTGTTTTCTTTGACATCTGGTGGAAGGGCATTCCACAGGGCTGGTGCCACTACCGAGAAGGCCCTCTGCCTAAAAAGGGCTTTTAAGCACTCCAGCTTGCTACCTGGGTAAGGAGCTCTGAGAGCACAGGGGATTTTCTCCCCCTGCCCCACTTGCTACCTGCGGGGCAGCTCTAAGGATTTGGGTATCCCTGATTTTTGTGTACACATGGAACCTTTGGTACCGAAGCCCTGTGTAAGATGCGACTGCACTGGGCTTGCTTCGTGGTGCTCAGGACTTTGCAGGCTTATTGTAATTTGAACCAGAGTGGTTCATTGGATGGATGAGAGGATAGTGTCTTCTTAACCACTGTGTGCTTATGTGGGGGAACACGGCCAAGTATAAGGTGCAGCATATCTCTTGCACTTTTAACTCCTTCCTGAACCCATCATCCCATATTTCTTTTTCTCACCACCAGCCTTTGGCAGCCTGAGACAGCTTAATGCACAGCATCCAGGATCCACCCTGATCCATGCATTCCATCTGGGTTTGGCTGGTCCACCAGAATCCAAACATATTTCCCCATGTTCTAATTTCTTGCAGCTCTGGAAGTCGGATGATTTTGGGCAGACGTGGATAATGATTCAGGAGCACGTGAAATCGTTTTCCTGGTAAGTTGTGGAATTCTTTGCAGGCTTCTTGGGAGCCTCTTCTGCCTTCCCACCCATTGCAATGTCATCTACACCTCTTTCTAAGCAAGGGGCTTGAATCCCTGGGCTCTGCTACTCCAGGATGAAGGCGGAGTGTGTGCAACGTCTCCTTCCTTAAAAAAGATAAAAAGTTCCTTGCATGGATCATCAGGGACAGGAGTACTCTAAATGTTTCTTTCAGGTGTGCATGAGGTTGCCTTTGTGCCTGGTTTATGAATTTCCTAGGCATCTGGCTGATCATTGTTGGAAACACAATAATGGGATAGTAAGGCCTTTTGTTCTGATGCAGCTGTGCTGTTCTTATGCACTAAGTCTTGACTACAGGAGAAAAGTCAATGAGCAGCAATGTGTGGCTTTCACTTTGGAGGTGCAGCCATTGTGTTTCTTGGCATTTTTGAAATCTGAAACCAAGGCATTGTGTGTGTTTTATTATTTTCTGCATCAGCGAGGGCTAGAAACTGTACAGTGGTACCTCTGGTTACGAACTTAATTCATTCTGGAGGTCCGTTCTTAAGCTGAAACCGTTCTGATCCTGAGGCGCACTTTCGCTAATGGGGTTTTTCGCTACGTGCGCGCCTCCGGTGCACAATTTCCATTCATATCCTGGGGCAAAGTTCGCAACCGGGAGCAGCTACTTCTGGGTTAGCGGAGCTCGTAACCTGAAGCGTTCATAACTAGAAGTACCACTGTATTTAGAAGTGTTTATTATACAGGTCTATCTCCCAAACAGATTACTGATCGGATCTAAACACCTGTCAGGCTGTATGCTGTCTGGTGTTTCATGGACCTGGGGATTAGAAACGTAAACGATGAAATTTTGAGCCACGGAGGTTTTCAAAGGCCACGGCAGGTTGCACCAAACTGTCTAGGGGAAGATGGTCCCTATTGCTCATTAGGTAGAGTAATGAAAATGACGAGCAGTAGATTTAGAACAGACAAAAAGGTCGGGATATAAAGGTAATGCAACAAGAATGGTATACACAGAAAAGATGGTTTCTTTTCTTTTCTTTTTCTGACAAGGGGTGTTGAACCGTATGACAAACCCTACACAGTTTACATCGAGCGGCATGAGCCTACCCGGGCCTCCACAATCCTCCGCAGCACCGATTTCTTTCAAACCAGAGAAAACAAAGAGATTCTGCTCGAGGAGGTTGAAGACTTCCAGCTCAGGGAAAAGTATCTGTTTGCAACAAAATCTGTGGTAAGGAGCATCAAGTTGACGATCTATAGAGCAGGAGTGGGGAACCCCAGGCCTGGAACTGTGAACACGGCCCTCAAAGCCTCTCTGTTTGGCCCCTGGTACTCTTCCCAGGCCATGCAAACCTTGCTCCTCTTTCACTAGGTCAGTGTTTCTGCTTAGCCAGATCGTGCCTCTTTCTTCCCTGGATGAAGGGTAGAGAAGGGCTGTTGCTCCACCCACTTTTTCCTTTGGGCATGCCTAATACTGGCAGAAGGTCAGCGGTTTGAATCAGAATCAGATCAGAAGGTCGGCGGTTCAAATCCCCGCGATGGGGTGAGCTCCCGTTGCTCGGTCCCTGCTCCTGCCAACCTAGCAGTTCGGAAGCACGTCAAAGTGCAAGTTGATAAATAGGTACCGCTCCGGCGGGAAGGTAAATGGCATTTCCGTGTGCTCCTCTGGTTCGCCAGAAGCGGCTTAGTCATGCTGGCCACATGACCCGGAAGCTGTACGCCGGCTCCCTCGGCCAATAAAGCGAGATGAGCGCTGCAACCCCAGAGTTGGTCACGACTGGACCTAATGGTCAGGGGTCCCTTTGCCTTTACTACTGGCAAGTGGCCCTCAGAGGATTGCCCAGAAAGGAATGTGGCCCTCAGGCCAAAAAAAAGTTTCCTGTCCCTGCTGTGGAGGGAGCAGCTTAAAAGAAAAGTCAAGGAAGCAGAGCCAGATTTTTGAGCATCCACCACTGTCTCAAAACAATGCTCCAAAAAGCTTTCTGCGTTAGCTGCAGAAGAAGAGGAGGGGAACATGCTGTGAGCCTCAAAGGAAAGCATCGGAGTCTCCTTTGACTTGTGTTTGTGATCCAAATTTATTATCCCTTCATGGGGGTCTGGCAGGCAGCCTGTATGTGCTGCAATACTTTTCTGCTTAGGGAAGATTAAAATCACTCGGAGGTAAATATAGGCCACAGATAGGGAATCTTTGGCCCTCCAGATGTTGTCAGACTACAACTCCCATCATCCTGGAGGATTGGCCACGCTAGCTGGGGCTGATGGGAGTTGGAGTCCAGTATCTGGAGGGCGTCAAGTTCCCCATGAATGAGCATCTTGGTCCAAATGCAAAATTTAACTCAGAAAGATGTTACCATTGATGACTGTTTTAAACAGGGAACACAGAATTTTTGGGTTAAAAGCCTCTCTTCCTCCTGTGCCTTTTTATGACCAGAAAATGCACATGTAGCTGCAGTTCTCTTGTGTGAGAGTCAATGTGGGTACAGTGGTACCTCAGGTTACAGACACTTCAGGTTACAGATGCTTCAGGTTACAGACTCCACTAACCCAGAAATAGTACCTCAGGGTTAAGAACTTTGCTTCAGGATGAGAACAGAAATTGCGTGGTGGCGGCGCGATGGCAGCAGCGGGAGGCCCCATTAGCTAAAGTGGTACCTCAGGTTAAGAACAGTTTCAGGTTAAGAACAGACCTCCAGAACAAATTAAGTTCTTAACCCGAGGTACCACTGTATACGGTTAGCAAGCTGGACTGGGGCTTGTTTTTCAAGTCCACGCCTCAGCCCTTAATCATGCTTGGTGAGCTTCTAACCTACCTCACAGGGCCGTCGTGAGGATAAAGCGGGGCACGCATGTTCACTGCCCTGACCTCTTTGTAGGGAGAGCGAGCAGAAATAGCAGAACGAGCCTGAGTTTGTGGTTCAGGAACAGGCAGGATGCAACAACAGGGTAAAAAAATGCCAGCCTGCTTCTATTTGATTTTAGTACTTTAGGCAGATCTAGGTCAGTGTGAAACACGGAGGCTCTGGGAAGGAGAAGTTTAGATGCCTGTAAGTAATAGGCATATGTAGGTGGGAATGGGAGAGGGGAATGGATGGGCAGGGTGTCATGGGAGAAGAAGAGCTTTTGCAGCACTATCGATGAAAAGTGCTGCATTTTTCGCTGTATAGGACGCACTTTTCCCCCTCCAAAAATGAAGGGGAAATGTGTGTGTGTCCTATGGAGCGAATGCAGGCTCCTTGGCTTCAGCGATAGCAACGCGAAGCCTCCGAAGTGCAGAGGGAGAGCTCCCCCCGCGCTCCTTGGGAGCTCTCCCTCTGCGTTGCTTTCACTGAAGCAGTCTGAAGCCCCCGGAGCACAGGGAATGCCCGCTGTGCTCCGGGGGCTTCAGGCAGCTATCCGCAAGCATTTGGAGCGCAGCAGAAGTTCCCGCTGTGCTCCGAAGGCTTGTGGATAGCCGTCTGAAGCCTGGAGAGCGAGAGGGGTCGGTGCACACCAATCACTCTTGCTCTCCAGGCTTCGCTTCGCTGGAGAGGCGCTGCACAGTTTTCTCTCTCTGCGCAGCGCCCCTTCAGTGAAGCGGGAGGAGAAATGGAAGGGGCTCTGTTTCTCCTGCCGCTTCGCTGAAGGGGCGCTGAGCAGAGAGGGGGAGAATTCCCCCCCCCCCCCCGTTCTCCCCTTCCTATGGTCCGGTGCGTCCTATAGAGCGAAAAATACGGTATGTTGGTCAAGCAGAACGAGGCCCTGATAATATCTCCTGATTGTCTGGATAGAGGATGGAAAGGAGCGTTTGAGCGTGCGTAGAAACTAGCGTACTGCATAAAGGCAACGCTTTGATATGTTGCTCCGCCCACTTTTGCCCCTGGCCCTGCTCACCTTTGCACATGGCCCCCAGAAGGCGTGTTGTATGCTCACATCTGGGAGAGGTAGCTCAGAGGTAGAGCTTGCCCCCCTCATTGCTGGACACGTCATGTTATTTTTCTTTCAGAGCTCTTAACGTGGGATGCAGCTTGCTGACCTAGAAATAAGCTTTGCCACTCCCTCGCTCCCCCTGCCCCAATTTTTCTGGTGCGGACGTTGCAGGCAGCGTAGCCCACTTTTGATCCCTGATATCTACAGTTAAAAACAAAAACTGATGGGAGAAAACGTTCTCTGCTTCGTGGGGATTGGTAACCTTGTGGGACTACGACTCCCATCATCCCTTCCTCATTGGCCATGTTGGCATGGGCTGATGGGAGTTGGAGTCCAACATCACCTTGAAAGTCACAGGCTCCCCCACCCCTGAGCTGGATGGTTTGAATTGACACAGGGCAACTTCATATATGGACCATGGTACAAAATGATGAAAATCTCTTTCCCCCTCACTTCCGCCCCACTCTTAAGCCAGTTAAAAGTGCAGCCCTATGGGCTAGTTAGGGACGCGGGTGGCGCTGTGGGTTAAACCACAGAGCCTAGGACTTGCCAATCAGAAGGTTGGCGGTTCGAATCCCCGCGACGGGGTGAGCTTCCGTTGCTCGGTCCCTGCTCCTGCCAACCTAGCAGTACGAAAGCACGTCAAAGTGCAAGTAGATAAATAGTTTCTGCTCCGGCGGGAAGGTAAACGACATTTCTGTGCCCTGCTCTGGTTTGCCAGAAGCGGCTTAGTCCTGCTGGCCACATGACCCAGAAGCTGTACGCCGGCTCCCTCAGCCAATAAAGCGAGATGAGCGCCGCAACCCCAGAGTCGGCCACAACTGGACCTAATGGTCAGGGGTCCCTTTACCTTTATAGGCTAGTTAAAACATTGTAATGCCACTTAATGGCTTGAACCAGCAACTATGTGAATGTTGGCATAGGTGGGAATTCCAGAACCATCGTCATGTAATCCAGTGTTTCCCAACCTTTTTTGGGCAAAGGCACACTTGTTTCATGAAAAAAATCTCGAGGCACACCACCATTAGAAAATGTTAAAAAATTTAACTCTGTGCCTATATTGACTATATAAAAAGTACAGTGGTGCCTCGCAAGAGGAAATTAATTCGTTCCGCAAGTCTCTTCGTCTTGCGAGTTTTTCGTCTTGCGATGCACGGTTTCCCATAGGAATGCATTGAAAATCAATTAATGCGTTCCTAGGGAAACCGCCTTCAGACCAGGTCCGGGGACAGTCTGTCCCCCGACCTCTTCTGAAGGCTGGGGGGGGGGGGGAACAAGGGCTTTTCTTCCCACTGCCAGCCTTCAGAAGGCTGTTCTGAAGGCTGGCGGTGGGAAGAAAAGCCCTTCTTCCCACCTCCCGCCCCGCAAGCTCCGGGGACAGGAGGGCTTTGCTGCCGACCGCCAGCATTTTAAAAGCCCCTGCTGTCCCGGGGCGATTTTAAAATGCTGGCGGGCGGGAGCGAAGTCTCCGCTGCCCCGAGGAGATTTTAAAATGCTGGGGGTCGGCAGCGAACGCTTCGCTCCCGCCCGCCAGCATTTTAAGATCGCCCGGGGCAGCGGAGAAGTCTCCGCTGTCCCGGGAAGGCAGGCGGGGGGAGCAAAGACTTTTGCCCCCGCCTGCCTTCAGAAGAGGTCCAGGACCTCGTTCCGATGCCCGGCGGCGGGGTGCGAGGTTCCCGCCCCACCGCCCGGCATCGGGGCATCGTTCCGATGCCCGGCGGCGGGGTGCGAGGTTCCCGCCCCACCGCCCGGCATCGGGGCATCGTTCCGATGCCGGGCGGCGGGGGGAGAGGTTCCCGCCCCACCGCCCGGCATCGGGGCATCGTTCCAATGCCGGGCGGCGGGGAGAGAGGTTCCCGCCCCACCGCCTGGCATCGGGGCATCGTTCCGATGCCCGGCGGCGGGGGAGAGGTTCCCGCCCCACCGCCCGGCATCGGGGCATCGTTCCGATGCCCGGCGGCGGGGTGCGAGGTTCCCACCCCACCGCCCCGCTTCGGAGCAGCGCTCCGAAGCGGGGCGGCTGGGGCAGGTGCTCCCACCCCCCCGCCCCGCTTCGGAGCACCGGGAGAAGCGATCTCCCCGCAGCCCCTTGCTTCAAAAGAGGTCCGGGGGCAGCGGGGAAGAAGCGCTGCGCTTCCCGCTGCCCCCGGACCTCTTTTGAAGCAAGGGGCTGCGGGGAGATCGCTTCTCCCCGCAAACCCTTGCTTCAAAAGAGGTCCGGGGGCAGCGCGAAGCGCTTCCCGCTGTCCCCGGACCTCTTTTGAAGCAAGGGGCGGTGGGGAGAAGCGATCTCGGGCGCGCAGGCGCACTGCTTGCTCCTCTTTCTGCGCAGGCGCCTTCTCTCGCTCTTTCGCCTCCTTTCTCTCTCGATGGTCCGCCTACAAAGGAGCGAGGGAGGCGCCCGCCATGTTTGGATTTGCATCCAGCAGGAGATGCCGCCGCCGCCCCGCCTCTCGCCGCCCGCCTCCCTCCCACGGCACACCAGGCAAGGTCTCACGGCACACTAGTGTGCCGCGGAACACCGGTTGGGAAACACTGATGTAATCCATCCCATTGTGGGTTTGGGTCACAGCGAATTTGGAGAGGGAAAGTGGTTCCTGGCAGACTCCCAGGGAAGAGGGCAATTTAAAAAAAAAAAAAAACCAAGAAAACTGTGGTGTGTGCATACCTGTAAAAATAACTTGGCTAGATATAGTCCAACATGGTTCCTTTCCCCCCGCTAGTGCTTCAATCCAGATGTGCCTACATTAGTTACTTATAGCTAGGGATATTGGAGAATCCCAGTGGTGGCAGAAACGGAGAGTGTTTGTTCATTTGTCTCAAGTCTGCAAATGCTAATGTCTGCATATGAGTCCCCACTCACCCTTGATTTGCATTGCATTTTCTTTGCATTAAAATGAATGGTGTGGAGTAAGGCAACAGGATCTTAATTAATAATGTGATTTAACAACGTAATTAAATATGTAAAATTCTGTCACAGTGGAGAGCAAGCTGAAAAATGTAATTTTTGCCGGGAGCCGAACTGTAGCAGAATGGAAACATGGGTCGGGATGGAGGTCATTGTTTTCATACGTCCTTTGTGACGTTGAAATCCTGAAAGAGAAAGATTCAAAAGAGCCAACTCTCTTCCAGTTTACAATGGCTCCCTTGTCTGGTCATCTGACTTTTTTTAGGTTCGCCATAGGTGAGCAAGTAAGTAGCACTTTCCAAGAAGTAAAGGGCTGGAAATGGGTAACACCATTCAGCAAAGAAAGCCTATGACTTCCCTTGCCATTTTATTCCATTGCTGAATCTATCTTCGTCTTGGGAACTGTCACCAAAATGTGCTTTCCTTTAACTTGGGAATGGGCATCAGGTCAATGTGGGAAGCTGTGCGTGGCTTTGTTTATTTGTACAAGCTCTTAAATCAGGCACAGGCAAACTTGGCTCTCCAGATGTTTTGGGACTACAACTCCCATCATCCTGGAAGACAGAAGAACTACCCACCGTGGAAGAATGGCAGATGAAAGTTATAGACTATATGGGACTGGCAGAGATGACTGGCAGAATCCGAGACCAGGGGAAAGAGACGGCGGAAGAAGATTGGAAGAAATTTAAAGACTATCTTAAGAAATATTGTAAAATTGTTGAATGTTAAGACGATGTTGATTCTGAAATTAAGGGGTTGCTAGCTGTAATTATTATGTAATATGAAAAGAAAGCTTAAAAATTTAATCGAAATTAAGGGAAGGATTTGTTGAAGAGAATTAACTAGAGAATGGAATGCAGTAAGGAGAGGTATGAGGAGGTCGGGAAAGTAATTTTCATGAACATAAGGGAATGAAGTTATACATGTGGTTGTTTTTTTTTTTTTTGCTTTTTTGTATGTATTTTTGATTTTCTTTTTTGTGTTTTTTTGTGTGATTTTTATGTTTTATAAAACTTGTGAAAATGCTAATAAATATCTTATTAAAAAAAATAAAAATACAACTCCCATCATCCCTGTTAGCTAGGGATGATGGAGGGCTGAGTTTGCCTATGCCTGCCTTAAATCCTAAAGCAGTGTTTCCCAAACTTGGGTCTCCAGCTGTTTTTGGACCACAACTCCCATCATCCCTAGCTAGCAAGACCAGTGGTCAGGGATGATGGGAATTGTAGTCCAAAAGCGGCTGGAGACCCAAGTTTGCGAAACACTGTCTTAAAGCCTTCTTTTGTAAACAGTAACAAATTTAAGATTAACGAGGTACTCACTACGTTGATTTCTTCCCCCCAACCCCTTTTCTTCTCTCAGCATCTTTTAGGGACGCAGCAGCCATCCGTTCAGCTTTGGGTATCCTTTAACCGCAAGCCGATGCAAGCAGCCCAGTTTGTGACGAGGCATCCCATTAAGGTATTGACATGTGGGAGGGAAATCCTTTTGCTGTCAAGGGCCGCATTATCGCAGGAATAATCTGCTGGGGGCCGCATGTTGCTGGTGGGTGGGGTTTAAACAATTGTGGGCAGAGTCAAAAGTGGGGGGCATCACTCCTTTCCTTTCTCATTCCCTCCCTTTTTCTCTCCACCTTCTTCCCTGCCCCAGGGAAGGACAGATTGCCCTTGCAGCAAGTCTGAACTTGCGGGATCCCCCTGCCCCAAATTTCTTCCATTATCCCCTCCCTCCATTTCAGCCTTCTTCCTCCATTTCTCCTGGCCTTCTTTCCCTACGGGTTCATCCCTCTTCCCCAGCATGAAATCAGATCACGTGCCACATATCCCTTATCCCCGCTGTAAGGGATGGCTGCAATCCAAAGAGAAGGTTTGAAGAGATGATTCAAACCCTTTGCTGCTTTTCATAACAATGGCTGCACTCCCATGCACCTATTTTTCTTTTTCTTTTTTTTTAAAAAAAATTATTAACACTTTCCACAATACAATAAAAGACAAGCTAATTTACACAAAGAATACTGCATTGGCCTGAATATAAGCCTCACCCCACCCTCCAAATTCTGACCGTGAAAAGTTAAAAGTGCGGCTTAAATTCACGACCTTACAAAAATTGGCTTTTATGATATCTCTGCTGAAACAGACATACGGTAAAACGGAATGGGTGTGAGTGCCTGTGGAATTTTAAGGGAGCAGCTTATGTTCAGGTATCGCCTTTTCTCTCTCTCTCTCTCTCTCCCTGCCCTCCATTGAATTTTAAAGGCACAGCTTATAATCAGGTGCGGCTTATATTCGGGCCAATACAGTAATAAAAAAGAAAGGAAAGGAAAAGATATAGAAGAGACAGAATAATAAAAGGTCCTCTCTCACAAATATATTTTACCCTCCCAGCTCTCACCTGGGAGCATCCCTCTCTTCTCCCAGCCTCTTGCCCTGAGAGATCTCCCCTTCCCCGTCTCTCTCACACAGACTGTTTATCTCCTTTACTCTCATGCACCTTTAATGTGGGAATGGATCCCATTGAACGGTGTGGGAGCTTCCTAGTAGGCATGCATTAGGATCACGCTGCATGCCACTTTTGAGTTTCAACCAATTTAAAATTTACATAAATGTACGTGTCAGAGAAACAATAGGGGAAGAGAACATTTGTTTGGTTTTTTTTAGATGATGCTTAATGTGTTGCCATTGTGTTGCCTTAGAAAAGGCACCTCCCGTTCTGGCACAGAACAGTTAGGTAGGCATACGGCGGGGGTCTCTTCTAAGATAGCTTCTTTCTATCTTTGAATGTACAGCTTACAGTCGTCCATCTTCTTTGGCTTCCTATTTGAACGTACACCCATACATTTTTGTTTGTTTGTAATCCTCAGAAGAGCTCCGAAAGGCAGTATAATTATTACCCCCATTTTACAGATGGGGGAAACTGAGGCTGAGAGAGAATGGTTTGCGTAAGGCATGTGATTTCATGGCAGAAGTGCGAGTGCTGAACTGGCGGTTTCCTGGCTTGCAACTCACATTCGCATGCCTTCAGTGGAAGAAAAAGATTTCATTTTTTCTTCTCAACTTTTTCTTGAAGGAATACTATATTGCGGACACATCTGAAGATCAGGTGTTTGTGTGTGTCAGTCACAGTAACAACAGCACCAACCTCTACATCTCTGAAGCGGAAGGCCTAAGGTTTTCGTTGACTTTGGAGAACGTCCTGTACTACAGCCCTGGAGGAATGGGGAGTGACACTTTGGTCAAGTAAGTAGATAGATGTGCTCCACTCAAGTGGAGAGATGTGTCTGTGCTGCTTTTGTGGATTTTGTCCTTAGCTTGGAAAGGTCAGCAATGGCCTCAAGAAATCTCCGTACCACACCTGACTGCCAAGTGAAGGTGCATTAAAATGAGAACAAATCATTCCTGTTTAAACAATGATGGCAAAGCACAAAATTATTCCAGCCAGCCAAGGAACAAATCTAATAAGGGTTTCACCTCCCTCCTTGGAATTAGTGGGAAGTCTTCGAAGGAATTAACTTCAACCAGCTCCCACGTAACCATCCAGCCACAGCTTCCAAACATTTGATCAGTGTGTCTGGGGTCGAGTCAGGATGGCCGTCCATCAACAGATAGAGTTGGGTGTCATCAGCATACTGATGGTAGCCCAAACCAAAACTCCAGACAAGCTGGATGAAGGGGCACATAAAGATGTTGAAAAACATCGGGGAGAGTATCGCACCCTGCGGCACTCCACACACCAAGGAGTGGTGCGACAACAGTCCCCCCCCCAAGTGCCACCCTCTGTCCCCGACCAATTCCCCCCTAATTCTTATTATTGTATAATTACACATTTATTATTTAATTGGTTGTGTAATCTTAGAAGAAGGGACGCGGGTGGCGCTGTGGCTTAAACCACAGAGCCTAGGGCTTGCCGATCAGAAGGTCGGCGGTTCGAATCCCCGTGACAGGGTGAGCTCCCGTTGCTCGGTCCCTGCTCCTGCCAACCTAGCAGTTTGAAAGCACGTCAAAGTGCAAGTAGATAAATAGGTACCGCTCTGGCAGGAAAGTAAACGGCGTTTCCGTGCGCTGCTCTGGTTCGCCAGAAGCGGCTTAGTCATGCTGGCCACATGACCCAGAAGCTGTATGCCGGCTCCCTCGGCCAATAAAGCGAGATGAGCGCTGCAACCCAAGAGTCGGCCACGACTGGACCTAAGAGGGTACAGCTGTGACAGGGTGTAGCTGCGACTATCGTGAAGTGGCCCGGCAGTTCCGAATTTGCCACTGCGCCACTGGTCACAATGGGGAATTGCAGATAACGGAGGTGTGTGGTTCAGTGCTTTTGTTGTCGTTCCCCCCTCCCCAATTTCGGCAGGTACTTTGCGAACGAGCCCTTTGCGGACTTCCACCGTGTGGAGGGGGTGCCGGGGGTCTACATTGCCACCTTGATCAACAGCTCCTTCAGCGAGGAGAACATGCGGTCTGTCATCACCTTCGACAAAGGTGGGACTTGGGAATTTCTCCAGCCGCCAGAGTATACTCGCTACGGCGAAAAGATAAATTGTGAGGTAATGATGCTGCGATGCAAAAGACGTCTCGCCGCCTCTTTGAGGGCTTTTGGATTGGGTGTTTATGTTCTTGTTCCCTGGCTAGGCTCAGCTGAAGCTTGTAGATGCATGTGTTGTGTATATACCTGCTGGGTTGTGAATGGGCTATTCCAGGCTCCTGGGGGAAGTGCAATGCTGCTTCTAATAATAAATAATTTTTTTTATTTATTTATACCCTGCCCTTCCCGGTTCAGGGCGGCTAAAAACAAATTTAAAACACTTAATTGATACAACAAAAACAGCATAAAATACAGTATAAAACGTGAATAATAAATTCAGATTCAAAAATCAATTTAGGGGGGAAATCCGTCCAATAAACATTAGATGATCACCAGGGCTAGCTGGCTAAATTAGTCCTATTTGGGCCAGTTTGTGAAGAATATTCTCCGGAGAATTTTCTAGCAGAGAATATTCTCATTCTCAAGTGTGAAAAACCTTTCCCATGTTTCTTTCTGTTTATGCAATCTGCACAGCTTCCAGGTTTGGGGAGTGAGTGGTGGAGAGAGGGGCTCAACCAACATTTTGTTGTTTTGTGACTGTTTTCTATTTTAGTTTATCTTCTTAAAATAAAATATGCAAGCTAGATTTTACCAGCACTGTTTTGTTCCGCTTCTCTTGCATAGCTGTAGTTCTTGACTCTGTGCTTTTTATTATTATTTACTGCTGTGACTATTTCTATCTTTTAATTTGTACAATGCATCAAACAGTTTTTTTGGGGAGAGACGAGGTATACATAAAAGAAACCCACAAAGTGAGAAATAAATGGCCTCTAGCCTATACACCTGTGCCTCCAGAAGGGGGAAAAATCCTAGCCTTTAAGGGCTTTTGTTTGCTTTCTCTGGATTTCCCTCCCACATAGGCAAAAGGGTTATGTAAAAGAAACAAACGGCATTATGTGATTTGGCTTTGTAACGTGAAACGGAATCTGTGCACATTTAGCATGATTGAATATGTACCGGTGGTGGTGGTGTAAGCTTCAGACCTCCAGCGTTGCATTTGTTTGGAACAAGGGCAGGCACACATGCTGCCTGCACCGGGGGGAAGCACAACAAGTAATACTCATATGATTTGACTCTGCTAGCTTTCCAAGGGCTGCTCTCTTCACCTGGCCCAGCGGCTGAGCCAGCTCCTCAACTTCCAACTGCGCAGAATGCCCATCCTCTCCAAAGAATCAGCTCCGGGACTGATCATCGCAACAGGTATGGCTTTGTTGGTTTGTATTGATCTGTAGTCCATTTCCCCCGACTCCAGCAGGTCCAGGAAGACTCTGTTATAGGTAGAACACCGGTTAAAATGATTAAGCCGATGTGTTTCTCTATTCCTCACCCTCTAAATCTATTTTGAATTGCCCAATTTATGGAAGCTGCACAGGTTCAGGCTTTGGTGAACCTCCAGAATCTCCAAAGATGACTAAGGATGTTTCTATGTATTGTTCCTGAGTTAGCTTGGGGCACTGATGGTGTGCTTCAAAGAGAGAGCTGTTCCCTGTAAGCCAAGCTAACTCCTCACACACAGACACTGTTTGCTGCTTAGCAGCCATGGCCACACCTCAGTGGGGAACGATGAATTAAAAAGCAGCCGGACCCTGATGATTCACACACTTGCTTTTGTAGGATCTGTGGGCAAGAACATGGCGAGCAAAATGAACGTGTACATTTCAAGCAGTGCGGGGGTCCGGTGGAAAGAGGTAAGGCTTTTGCAAGTCTCCGAGCGGGGTCTTCCCCTGGTCCTGGGGTAGCAAGGAAAAGCCCTCTGGAAGAAAACAGTCCATTTATCTGGGAAGCCCTGTTTATAGATGCCTTAGATCTTCCAGCTGTTTTGGACCGCAGATCCCAATCAGCCCATCTACTGTGGCCATGTAGGCTGCTGCTGATGAGAGTCATAGTCCAAAACATCTAGAGAACATCAGGCTGGTTTACCTATGCAAAAAGGGACGCAGGTGGTGCTGTGGGTTAAACCACAGAGCCTAGGACTTGTCGATCAGAAGGTCGGTGGTTCGAATCCCTGTGACGGGGTGAGCTCCCGTTGCTTGGTCCCTGCTCCTGCCAACCTAGCAGTTCAAAAGCACGTCAAAGTGCAAGTACAGTGGTACCCCGCAAGACGAATGCCTCGCAAGACGGAAAACCCGCAAGACGAAAGGGTTTTCTGTTTTGGAGGTGCTTCGCAAGACGAATTTCCCTATGGGCTTGCATCGCAAGACGAAAGCCCATAGGGAAATGCTGGCGGTCGGGAGCAAAGACTTTCGCCCACAGCCGGCCTTCAGAAGAGGACCTCTTCTGAAGGCCGGCGGGGGGCAAAAGTCTTTGCTCCCCCCCGCCTGCCTTCCCCCCGCCTGCCCGGGGCGATCTTAAAATGCTGGCGGGCGGGAGCGAAGCGTTCGCTGCCGACCCCCAGCATTTTAAAATCTCCAAGGGACAGCAGAGAAGTCTCTGTCCCGGGGAGATTTTAAAATGCTGGGGGTCGGGAGCGAAGCGTTAGCTGCCGACCCCCAGCATTTTAAAATCTCCCCCTGTCCCGGGGAGATTTTAAAATGCTGGGGGTCGGGAGCGAAGCGTTCGCTGCCGACCCACATTTTAAAATCTCCCCGTGTCCCGGGGAGATTTTAAAATGCTGGGGGTTGGCAGCGCTTCGCTCCCGACCCCCAGCATTTTAAAACGCTGTTCCGAAGGGGGGGTGGGGACACCTGCCCCAGCCGCCCCACTTCGGAAAGCTGTTCCGAAGTGGGGAGGGGGGGCGGGGACATCTGCCCCAGCCGCCCCACTTCGGAAAGCTGTTCCGAAGTGGGGAGGGGGGGCGGGGACACCTGCCCCAGCCGCCCCACTTCGGAAAGCTGTTCCGAAGCGGGGAGGGGGGGCGGGGACATCTGCCCCAGCCCCCCACTTCGGAAAGCTGTTCCGAAGCGGGGAGGGGGGGCGGGGACACCTGCCCCAGCCGCCCCACTTCGGAAAGCTGTTCCGAAGCGGGGAGGGGGGGCTGGGACACCTGCCCCAGCCGCCCCACTTCGGAAAGCTGTTCCGAAGCGGGGAGGGGGGCGGGGACATCTGCCCCAGCCGCCCCACTTCGGAAAGCTGTTCCGAAGCGGGGAGGGGGGGCGGGGACATCTGCCCCAGCCGCCCCACTTCGGAAAGCTGTTCCGAAGCGGGGAGGGGGGCGGGGACATCTGCCCCAGCCGCCCCACTTCGGAAAGCTGTTCCGAAGTGGGGAGGGGGGGCGGGGACACCTGCCCCAGCCGCCCCACTTCGGAAAGCTGTTCCGAAGCGGGGAGGGGGGCGGGGACATCTGCCCCAGCCGCCCCACTTCGGAAAGCTGTTCCGAAGCGGGGCGGGGGGCGGGAACACCTTCTGAAGGCGGGCAGGGGGCGAAAGTCTTTGTCCCCCCTGCCTGCCTTCCCAGGGGCTTTTAAATCGCCCCGGACAGCGGAGAAGTCCTCCGCTGTCCGGGGCGATTTTAAAATGCCGCCCGCCAGCATTTTAAGATCGCCCCGGACAGCGGAGAAGTCCTCCGCTGTCCCAGGGTTTTTTAAAATGCTGGGGGTGGGAAGAAAAGCCCTTGTTCCCCCCCCCCCAGCCTTCAGAAGAGGTCCGGGGACAGACTGTCCCCGGACCTGGTCTGAAGGCGGTTTCCCTAGGAACGCATTAATTGATTTTCAATGCATTCCTATGGGAAACCGTGCATCGCAAGACGAAAAAAACCGCAAGACGAAGAGACTTGCGGAACGAATTAATTTCGTCTTGCGAGGCACCACTGTAGATAAATAGGTACCACTCTGGCGGGAAGGTAAACGGCGTTTCCGTGTGCTGCTGTGGTTTGCCAGAAGCGGCTTAGTCATGCTGGCCACATGACCCGGAAGCTGTACGCCGGCTCCCTCGGCCAATAAAGCGAGATGAGCGCCGCAACCCCAGAGTTGGTCATGACTGGACCTAATGGTCAGAGGTCCCTTTACCTTTTTATCTATGCAAAGGCCACAGTTGGGTTGCCACTTCTGTAAACTGTTACAAGCAGGGGATAGGAGCCTTCTCTCTCTTCCCAGTTTTGCTAAGCAAACATTGCAGACAGTGGTAGCCTTTATATGGAATTCCCTGACATGTTCCTGCCAGGCAAGGATACTAATGGTGCAAAACCAGGCAAAGGAGAGGGGTGTGGTCTGGGGAGAGGAGTTGTGGCCTCAGGAGAGTCCCAAGGGGCCAAATGGAGAGGTCGGGGGGGGTCCACACTTGAACCCAGGCCTGAGGTACCCCACTGCTGACGTAAAGGAAGCCACAAGAGTTTCCTTGAGCACATGCCATGTCCCCTGCCCTCCTGCCCTTTCTCTCCTTGCAGAGTATCTTCAAGCAGCTCTCCCATGTCTCTCAGATTAGGAGGAAATAATCCGGTTAGAGCCCATGACTTGGATCCCTGCACCTCTCAGTTTGCAAATTAAGCACAGCTCTTTTTGAATTTAATGGCAAGAGAGCTGTGCATCTGTAGCGAATTGGGGTGTATGTGTGTGGATTTTTTTCTCTCAGAATCACAGCTTTTGAAAAAAGAAGTCTGGCTGGTTTACTGTCATGTGTTATGTTTGGCTGTTGGCCTTTGAAAACATAGTGAATGAGATTCTCTCTCTTTTTTAAGGGGTGTGTGCATGTGGAGAGAGTATGTCTGTGTGATCAGCCAAAGAGTTTTGGCCAACTTCCATCAGGGTAGGGCTTGGCCCAAATTTTACAAGTGCTTTTGGCTGATTGGGTGGTCTGGTCTGCAGTGGGGTTTGTGGCAGGCCTCTCCAGACGGATGTTAGTCTAAGGCTGCATTCTAACATCTGCAAAGTGTTTAAATGCTGTGAACAGAGTCACCTCCTTTTCCTTTCTGAGAGTGGTGTGGGTTTGGTTTGGCAGCACCAAGGCTGCTAGGACAACAGCAGCAGCAGGGAGGGATTTTTTTCCTGTCTCTGGCCTTGTAATGTATATCATAGAGAAAACTATTTGGGAGCGACAAATGCTCTGTCATCTCAGTTCAGTTGTATGTTGCATTTTCCATGGCAAAGCGGCTCATTGCTTCAGAAAGGTTTGAGTTACAATTGACTAACAAATCACTAATTATAAGGTGTAATTCAAATCTGAATACAGTGATACCTCGGAAGTCAAACGGAATCCGCTCCGGAAGTCCGTTTGACTTCCAAAAAGTTTGGAAACCAAGGCACAGCTTCCGATTGTCTTCAGGAAGCCACACCAGACATTCGGGTTCTAAAGAACGTTTGCAAACTGGAACACTTAATTCTGGGTTTGCAGCGTTCGGGAGCCAAAACGTTCGAGTCGCAAGGCGTTCGTCAACCAAGGTACAATTGTAGTCATATAAATACAGTGGTGCCTCGCAAGACGAAATTAATTCGTTCTGTGAGTTTTTTCGTCTTGCGAATTTTTTCGTCTTGCGAAGCACGGTTTCGGAAAAGTTTCGGAAAAGCTTCAAAAATCACCAAAGTCTTCAAAAACCTCAAAAAAGGCTACCACACCGCGTGCTATGAGTTGCTCCTCGAAGTCAAGTCACAACTGTATTAACGGTTTTAAGAAAAAGGAAACAAACTTGCAAGACGTTTTTGTCTTGCGAAGCAAGCCCATAGGGAAAATCGTCTTGCGAAGCAACTGAAAAACCAAAAACCCTTTCGTCTTGCGAGGCATTCGTCTTGCGAGGCATTCGTCTTGCGAGGTACCACTGTAGCCCAATCAAAGCAAATGGGGATTTTACTTTTTATGCCACTGGCCTTATAGCATATACCATATATAAAAATGGCTTGGGAGCGACTAATAGACTATCATCACAGTTCAGTTTTGTGCTGCTTTTCCATGGCAAGTTGCTCAAAGCAGCTCAAAGCCTCAGAAAAGTGTGTATAACAATTCACTGACAGTTGTAAGGCATGACAAAATTTAAATAGGCGTGTGCATAGGAATACGCTATATCAAAGCATTTTGTATTAATAAGTAGACAATAAAATTAAACAATCCACTAATAATGCCTTGCAGAGTGCCTGGGTGAAACTGCCTCAGCTCACGGGCAGAGGCCAAAGCATCTTGTTTTTTCTACATTGTGGTAATAGTAATAGTAATAATTTATTATTACGGTCAAAGACCAGCACAACTGAGACTGCTTTCACAAGAATGAAATAGATATTTAAAACAATATACAATAACAGCTTATAGATTAAAATTAAAATAGTCGCATGAACACAAAAGGACCTAAGGTTAAACTAACATGCAGATTTCCCCTGGGACGCCCAGGAGGCCAGCTACGACAGTTTTTCCTAGTGATCTATTTGTTCCAGGGGTGTTCTATGCCTACAAATTTGTGCGCAGAATCTGGCGACCATCCGGGTCACCTTGTGATTTTTGCCTAAGAGGAGAAAATTTAGTTTAGGCTTGTTCGGGAGGTCAGCAAGCCTCACCAGATGGGGGTCAATGGTATCTCTACGCGCCTCATCGTAAAAAAGGACATCTAAAAAATAAGTGTTCAGGGCTTCCTATTTCCCTTAATGGGCAGACGATACATCGCGGTATATCGCCAAACCGCGATGTTTGGCTGATGATACACTGTAATGTTGAAAAGCTGATATCGCCCTCTCTAGCCTCCAGCCTTCTTCCACTCATGCGCCCCTGTTTTTCTTCTTTCTTCAGGTCCTGTCCGGACCCCATTATTACTCATGGGGCGACCATGGAGGGATCCTCATGGCGGTAACACAGGGCACAGAGACAAACCAGCTCAAGTAAGTTCCATGGGCAAATGGGCTGCTGAATCTGAGCTAACAGAAAGCAGTAGAATAGCCGATAATTAGCTCTCCGCTTGATTTCCTTTAGGCCACATAGGGAAGGATTGTTGTGATTTGTTATACTGAAGCTTTACCAATGGAGAGCTTGAAGAATTGAGAAGTGACGTGATTCCTCTCCCCCCATTCCACCTGGCACTGAGCTTTTAGAGGTGGCAATGGTGAGCTAGAGAATCTGGAATTTTACTACAGTTTGTAGAAAAAACGTTTGCAGCAGATTGCTCTCAAGAACAAACAATCCATCCAAATTGCCGTTCAGATTTGCATCACAATGCCTGTAGCTATTGCTGCTTTTCCTGTAGCTATGAACAACAGGCTGCCTTCAATGCTAGTTCCACACAAGAGTTAGACCCATTGCAATCAATGGACTCAAATGACTCGTGTCCCTTGATTTCTGTGGGTCTGCTCTAAATAGGGCTAGCACTGGAGGCTACCTAGCATCACAAAGCACCTAAAATTTTCTAAGTTATCTACATACGTTAAAAGTGGGAAACTGACACTTCTCATGCTGTGCTTCAGGAAGAAATTGAAGACTAAAACAGAAGTTCTATATTTGGGCCACTTTAACCCCCTTTTAAAAAAACTGAAAGCAGCTGGTCCGAGCTCTGATTTTGATTGTAACAGGGGCACTTGGGCAGGGGCGCAAAAGGATATATGTGAGGCAGGGCCTTTTTAATGGTGGGACTGAGACTGGAATGCCTTCTCTGTGGAGATCCACCCCCGGGCTTCTTCTTTTAGCCTTTGGGCAGGAACAGGTTGTCCCTGTTTAGCATGTGCTCAAGAGATCAACAGGTCCTAATCAGTGTTTCCCAAACTTGTTTTTGGACTACAACTCCCATCACCCCTAGTTAGCAAGACAGGGATGATAGGAATTGTAGTCTGGAAGCAGCTGGAGGCCTAAGTTTGGGAAACACCTGTCTAGATTTTACTTTGTAAAAGGGAGTAGAGCAGATGTGAACACTGAACAGCCTTGACCTGCCATTCTCTCTATGTAGGTACAGCACAAACGAAGGGGAGACCTGGAAGGTGTTCACCTTTTCGGAGAAGCCGGTCTTTGTTTACGGCCTCCTGACGGAGCCTGGGGAGAAAAGCACCATATTCACCATCTTTGGCTCTTACAAGGAGAATAGGCACAGCTGGCTCATCCTACAGATCAACACCACGGATGTGCTTGGTGAGTGAGGGAGTTGCTGTTTGGTGTCCCTCAAAGTTCTGCAGAGGGGGTCTGAGTATTGCACATTTTATGTGTCGTAGAATTATCCTGTAGAAGTACAGTTGTACCTTGGATCCCGAATGCCTTGGTACTTGGCCGTTTTGGCTCCCGAATGCCGCAAACCTGGAAGTGACTGTTCCAGTTTTCAAATGTTCTTTGGAACCCGAACATCCGATGAGCCTTCCGTGGCTTCTGATTGGCTTCCAATTGGCTGCAGGAGCTTCCTGCAGCCAATCAGAAGCCGCGCTTTGGCTTCCAAATGTTTTGGAAGTCGAACGGACTTCCGGAATGGATTCCGTTCGACTTCCAAGGTATGACTGTATTCTGGATATTGCATTTTGGCACTGAGACATCTCTGTTATGTATCCTCCCTCATAGAATTATAACTCCCATGGTTCCTTGGTGAGAGGAAAGGACTGTTTGAGTTGTTGTTGTTGTTATACTGCCCTATACCCTCAGGTCTCGGGGTGGTTCACAACATAAAATCACAATATAAAAACACAAAATACATAATAAAAACAAGAACAACCCAATAACCCCCCCCCACATAAACACATTTTTAAAAGGTGTTGGATGTCAGCCAGCCTAAAGCCTGGTTAATTTAATTTAATCTTCACTGGATATTGATATATTTAGGAGACTCATTTAGGAAGTACACCTTCCTTCCTGCGGAAGTCTTTTGTTTAGACAGGACTCTACAATATTATTTTTCTTTCAGTCAGTATTCATTTGATGTTTTTTACGAATCTTTTGTTGATTTTTATCATTATATATTAGACTTGGCCTTGCTCTGTTTTTTAATGAAAGCACAGATTATAAATTTGCCAGTGAATAAAATTATAAACTGCTTTATTGAGGGGTAGCCAAAATGGCGCCCTCCAGAGGCTGCTGAACTACAAATCCCAGCAAGCCTAGCCACTGGCCATGCTCACTGAGGGTGATTCTCAGGTGGCACAATTGTTCAGTGCATCTGGCTGTTAACCAGAAAGTTGATGGTTTGAGCCCACCCAGGGACAGCTGTAGGTAGGATTTCTGTATTGCAGGGGGTTGGACTAGATGACCCTTGGGTTCCAACTCTATGATTCTATGTGACAAGTTCAATCCCCGGCATCTCCAGGTTGGACTGGGAGAGAACCCTGTCTCAAATCCTTCAGAGAGCTGCTGCCAGTCTGTGTAGACAGTACTGAGTTAGATGGGCCAATGGTATAAGGCAGTTTCATATGTGGTGGCATAGATCTGTGGGGAGTGGGAGGCAGGAGAAATTTCCAGTCCCGAAATCCTGCTTTTATGGGTGTTTAAAATACTGGCATGCAATCACATCTGGAAACAGGAGAAGCAGTTAAACATGGCAGAAGAACGAGCTTGACTAAAATGTAGAACTGATGCCTTCTAAAACTGTAAGTGTTCTAAGTGGAGCTTCTTGGCAGCCCAAATGGGTTTGAAATATAAATAAGATACGTGACTCACTCCAAGGAATGTTCTGTGGAATAGGTTTGTTGCTGTCTGTCGTGGTAGGTATGGGGGAGAAATTTGATTCAGCTCGCATTTAAGGTTGGACCTGCCTAATTCACACCTTGTGAAACATCACATCAGCAGAAACACAACCATCCTGAGAAATCTAATTTTGCAATGTAGTTCTCCAGCCAAGCGATGTGTACAAAAAATGCATAAACTAGGGCAAAAAGTGTGCATAAAAATGCAAAGGTTGGTAAAAGAAAACCCATAAAAAATTGCATTGGGGAAAATTATGTACAAAAATGTGCAAATAGTCAAACCCACATTAAAAATGCTTGTTAAGAGAAATTTGTGTTTAAGTCTTGCAGCCCCCCCACCTTTGAAAGTGGATATGTTGAGTCCATGACATGGTGAACCCACTTTACGTTTAGACGCACAAACCCTTTGCTATCCTCCTCCTCACCCCATCTAATGTTGCTTGTTCGTTGCATAGGGGTGCCTTGCACTGAAAACGACTACAAACTGTGGTCCCCCTCTGACGAAAGAGGCAATGAGTGTCTCCTGGGACACAAGACGGTCTTCAAAAGGCGAACTCCCCATGCGACTTGCTTCAACGGTGAAGACTTCGATCGCCCAGTCATGGTCTCCAACTGTTCTTGCACCAGAGAGGACTATGAATGGTGAGTTCATTAAGTTCCCTGTGGACTGCAGCTCAGATTACCGTATTTTTCCATGTATAACATGCCACCATGTATAAGACGCCCCCTATTTTGAGGGACTCAAATTTAAGAAAATGGGGGGGAGATGGCACAGAGTTGTTGAGCTCTTTTGGTGGGGGGATTGCTGGAAATCTGCCTCTCGTCTGTCCCCTCGCTGGCAGAAACTGCCAGTTGCCCGCCCAATTGTTGCGGCATCAGCCAATCAACACCAGCAATCGACGCAGCAACCAATAACACTCCCAATAGCCGCTGACAGCAACCAATCAAACGTCCACCCTATGCACTATCCATGTATACAACCCCCACTTTTTAGAATAATTTTTAAAGAAACACACGGAAAAGTATGGTAAATGTCAGCAATGAAGGGCACTTAATGGCTGTTTCTGTTTTTGGGTGGGATTCAATCACATAGGGTGTACATTTAAAGTTGATTTGAAGCTCTTCCAAATCTTCTCCCCGCACCCCCTGCCAAAAATAAAATAAAAAATCAGGCATTTTGCTGTATGGAAATTGACAGGGAAATTGACAGCATTGTTTGGCACATCCTCAGCAGTGGTGTAATGTTCTGGTGTTGCAGGAACCTTATTATTCCTGCTGAAGGGTCCCTATCTTCAGCCTCCTAGAGCCACCCAATCAGCATGAAAGGGGGGCTTTTTAGCCGTCTTAAGCTCCAAGGCTAAACATTTAGGAACGCTGAAAATACTGAACCATTTCAAAAGAATGGCGTGCATGTTCTGTTGCATACGCTGGAACTTCAAGGAAAACTTGAACTTAAATCATTCTGAACGATTAGCCCATGTTATGTGCACGGAAAATAGTAGATATAGCTGAAAGGCAACACATGGAGATCTGTGCAGTTTGTTACAATGCACCCCAAATTATTATTATTGTATAATTGTCAAATTATTGTATAATCTTGGAAGAGGGCTTGGCTGTGACTTATCGCGAAGGGAGCACCGTATAATCTGCCCACAAACAAATCAGAATGAATGCTCACTGAACAGACCCAGCTTATTTGAGTGCTGGGTAACTTTTGGCTTGACTGGCTAATCTAAATAGGAAAGCGCAGTGGGGAGTATCCTTCTCCCCCCCCCCCCCACGAATGAGGTTTTAGCTGAGATTGTTGGAGCATCCAGAAATAGAGACGAGCAATTATTATTGCCTTGTCACTTTTTCCTTCAAATGAAGGCAGCTTCCCGAGGGAATATTGGCTGCAGTTCCTTGTGTAATTATGAGCGCATAACTCCCACTGATCAGTTGGCCTTGAGCACTCAAACTGAGCAAGGGATTATTAATACCTTAGCATTTATATAGCATTTTGGCATGTGTAGAGGGGCTTGCATACATTGTCATGTTGTCATCTGTGGCACATACTCTGTGAGGTAGATTAGTATTATCCTGCCCATATTACAGATAAGGAGGCCTTGCGAGGAATTGGCTTGACTAATGGTCACCTGGTAAATTAAGGGGAAAACTCACTAGGCTGTGGGTATATGAATATTTGTCAACACAGGGGAATGACAACCTCAGATATCGGGAATTTAGGTCTGTGGGAGAGGGGCTAAAAGAAAATGGAATTCTGGTTGCTTCGATTTTGAGGTATTGGCGCTTTGTCAGAAACTACTGATGGATTGCTGTGAAGTGTCCCTTAATATGATATTTAAAACAGCTTTAAAAAACCAACCAACACAACTTTCCTCAAAAGTACAAGTTGACTTTTTATCCAATAAAACAAGAGTCAAGGTGATCTAGAGTAGATTTCAGTGTGCATGTGTTGTTTTTTTGGAGAGGAATTTATTATATCCAATGAATTATTCAATATAATTCGAGGCAGACTTAGCCACAAGATAAAAGTAAAAATGCTGGAATTCATTAACACAGCTGCCAGTTACCTTGGATAAATTTTGACAGTGGTTTGGGCCTCAGTGGACCCATATTGTAGAAAGCAAGTAGCTGTTGGGTAGCATACAACCACTTTGACATTTGAAGAACTTCACTGGAAGAAGAAAACCCCTTGAGGTGAATGGAGCTTGTGGAAATAACTATTACTGTAACTTGGAGGTGAACAGCTTTGGCATTCCCCGGGGCCATTTTGTTTCCCTGGCAGTGGCCTGTGGACTGGATGTGTATTTTGCCACACAAGCCAAACCTCCCATGGCCAACCTCTATAATAAATTTCTTGTTGCTGAACTGTTAGGGATTGCCTGTTCTAGAGCATGTGTACAGAGTTAAGCTGATGGGAAGAGCGTTGGACCAAGCTTGACAAGACTTGGGTTGATGTTCTCCTTCAGCAATGAAGTTCTCTGGGTAATACTGGGCCAGAACTTTATCCCTCCTACCCCATGGGCCAACTTTACTGGTGGGTTGGATCACCCACTGTCAAATCTTCTGATGTCATATTGAAAACCAGGTGATTGGCAGGTGGGTGGTCCAGCCGTCAAAATTGGCCCACCAGGAGATGAAGATGCTGCACAAAGCAGGATTGAGCTCCATGTGCACCACTAGATGGGGTTCAGTTCTGCTTTGTGTAGGGTTTCAGTTTTGCTAGCTAGTTCTCAATGAGAACTACTTGGTGTACCTGAACTGAGATGCTTTGAAGTCCCCACGCATCAGCTGAACAGGCTAGAATGGGCCAGATGAGAAGAGCTGGTGAGCCAGGTGTGGATTCCCCATCCCTGGCCTAATTTACTTTACACAGTCCTTGTGAGCTCTCTCTCTCTGTGTATGAACATTGGAATACGGACTTTCTTGCGGGTGTAATTGCGGGTCAGTTCATTTTTTATTACTGATTAAAATGCGGTGGGGCTATCATCAGAAAGAAAGAAAGTCCATCATGGAGAAGCAAATGAAATTAATTTTTGGCAAGGGCAGGTGGGAGGGGGCGTAAAGATAAATTCTTTCAGCATCTGGCTCTCGGGCTGTGGAGCTGCCAGCTGGCAAGGCCTCCTGGGATGCATTAACATGTTCACAGGTCCTCCAGTGAAAAAGGGCATACTGTGAGATATTTGAATTCTGCTAATAAGAACCTTCGTTTAAATAGCTGCATTTCCAGAACATTTGGTGCCTTAGCTTTTTCCCCCCTAATTGTAAAAATGTAGTTAAATAAATACATATGTATATGAACCTACACTTGAAGGGCACATTTCCTTCTATTCCCCTCCCCTTGCCCCTTGCCTCTGCTTTTTCCCGGCTCAGTGACTTTGGCTTCAAGCTGAGCGAAGACTTGTCATTGGAAGTTTGTGTACCAGACCCTGAATTTGCTGGCAAACCATCTTCTCCCCCTGTGCCGTGTCCCATTGGTTCAACTTACAAGAAGACCAGAGGGTAGGTGACTGCCCTGGTGGCATGTATTTATCTATTATTATTATTATTATTATTATTATTATTATTATTATTATTATTATTAACATTATATACTGCTCTCCCTCAAAAGGCCACAGGAGGGCCACAGGTCGCCCACCTCAATGTAAGCAGGATAGTTGGTTATATGTGAAAGGTGGGTCATGTATTCATGAAGATAGGGACGTGGGTGGCTCTGTGGTCTAAACCACTGAGCCTCCTGGGCTTGCTGATCAGAAGGACAGCGGTTCGAATCCCCGTAATAGGGTGAGCTCCCGTTGCTCTGTCCCAGCTCCTGCTAACCTAGCAGTTCGAAATCATAACAGTGCAAGTAGATAAATAGGTACCGCTGTGGCGGGAAGGTAAACAGTGTTATTGTGCACTCTGGTTTCCGTCACAGTGTTCCGTTGCCCCAGAAGAGGTTTAGTCCTGCTGGCCACATGACCTGGAAAAGCTGTCTGTGGACAAACGCCTGCTTCCTCGGCCTGAAAGCGAGATGAGTGCCGCACCCCATAGTCACCTTTGACTGGACTTAAACGTCCAGGGGTCCTTTACCTTTACCTGTTCCCTTCACGATGCCATTTTTTCCAGATGGATTCAGAAGAAGGAACAGGTTTAAGAGGAAATGGGTTTGTTCTTTCTATGGGTCTAAGTGGGACTGGCTACCTAGTCAGTGTGCTTAGATAAGACCATAAGGAGAGCCTGTGCAATCAGTGGACACAGAGCAGGACTGCAGCATTAACACTCTTCACTTTTCTGTGTTAGTTACCGCAAGATCTCTGGAGACACTTGCTCAGGGGGGGACGTTGAGGCTCGGCTGGAAGGGGAATCTGTACCATGTCCATTAGCAGGTAAGTGGGAAGGAGACAGTTCCCGCCCCCACTAGAACCACCAACCACAGCAACTGTTCTAGCCAGAGGAGGTGGAGACCAAAGGCTGCATCCAATCTTCTCTTGTCTGCTTTGTCTGCAGAGGAGAATGAATTCATTCTCTACACCACACGGTACTCCATCCACCGATACGACCTCTCCTCTGGGATCAGCGAAGAGCTGCCGCTGACGGGGCTGCGAGGGGCAGTGGCGCTTGACTTTGATTATGACCGCAACTGTTTGTACTGGGCCGACGTGACGCTAGACATTATCCAGGTGAGTTTTGCCTTCTGAGCTTCTTTGGTGAAAGTTTTTGAAGAAAGGTGGCGTCGTCTAGGAGTCCCAGGGAGAGTTGCAGCCGTATGGATTAGCAAGGGCGTAATGTTGGGGGCTGTTTTAGAGAACAGGGCATCCTAGGACAGGCTATCGCTTTTGGTCAAGGATCAAAGATGGTGGACAAAGATGCAGGGATATCATAGAGTTGGAAGAGACCCTGAGGATCATCTTGCCAACCCCCTGCAATGCAGGAACATGCATCTGTCCCTTACGGCAGTGTTCCCCAACCTTGGGCCTCCAGCTGTTTTTGGACTACAACTCCCATCATCCCTCGCTAGCAAGACCAGTGGTCAAGGATGATGGGAATTGTAGTCCAAAAACAACTGGAGGCCCAAGGTTGGGGAACACTGCCTTACGGGAATCGAACCTGCAACCTTGGTATTGTCAGTGCCACTCTCTAACCAATGGAGCTATCCAACGCTCTTAAAAATGAGTTAGATATCATAGGGAGCCTATTTCATTCTGAGGGCCACATTCCCTTCTCGGCAGCCTTGCAGGGGCCACATGCCAGTGGTGGCCAGGGCCAGAGGCAAAAGTGGGATATAAATTGGATATAAATTTCACCTTTGCACACTAGGGTACTTTATAGACACATTCACATGTCCCTCCGTCCAAGCAAGCAAGAGACAAGATCGGAGTTCAAGGACACATCCAAGCCAGGCAAAAACTTTACTGAATGACTTTAAATAGTTTTTTGACCTGATTTTCAAAATATGTGTGTTTATAGATTTTTTTTTTCATTTTGTAACCCATAAAAACACCAGTATTTTTTTTACAAACCAGCAGCAGCTGAAACATTTTCCAAGCACAGCACATTAAAACCAGCCATTGCAAGACTGTGCATATTTCCCTGGGGGAGAGAATTCTAAAGGTGGGAAGGGGACAGCACCGAAAAGACCCTGCCCTTGTTCCCTGTCAGTCTTAGCAGCGCTCACAGCTGAGCCAGACGATGCTTCTTGCTTGCCTGAGAAGAAAAGGGTGTCTGTGGAAACTAGGCTATGATACAAAGGTGCAATTTACACTCACTGCTGCGCTCAAATTTGCCTCACCTACCGCCAGCATGTGTCAGATGGAAAAAAAAGTTTTTCCCATGCTTGATTCAAGGTGCCCAGGAATGTGCTTGTTTTCTATATCTCCAGTCCCCCTTTGATTTTCTCTGTTCTTGTACAGGAATTGAACTCATTGATGCTTTAGATTCCTTGTTCTTATTTATTTTCAGCGCCTGTGTCTTAATGGGAGCTCGGGACAGGAGATCATCGTCAGCACCGGTCTGGAGACTGTCGAAGCGTTGGCCTTTGAACCCATCAGCCAGCTGCTGTACTGGGTGAACGCTGGCATTCCAAAAATCGAGGTATGCATCTCTGCACAACCTGGATGTGTTCTTGCCCAAAGCAGCAACACCTCTTGGAGCTCAGTGGAAGCTGGGAGGGTCAAACCCAGGAGGTCAAAATAATAAATTAAGCCAAGAGCCAGTAAAGACTATTACTGTCCAGGCAGAGTCCCACCCTGAAGCTTTTATAGCCCTTCCTGTCAAGGAGAGCTAGCGGCCAGCCAAGACAGGCAGGGCCACTGCAGAAGCTTCTCTGCCCTCGGCACATCTGTGCACAGAGCCACGGGGTTCTGTTTTCTATCATGCCTAGCCATTGACCATGCTTGGCAGCGCTGATGGGAGTTGTAGTCCAAAACACCTGGAGGACACCAGGCCCGAGAAGGCAGACTAGGCAGAACATAGGTTGACCCTAAGGGAAAATTAAGTTCTTCTTTCCCTCCTGCGAGCCATGTATCTGAATGTATCTTGTTGTTGTCCTGTAAAGCTCATGAGTAGGGCCGTTTTGGCCACATGAGGAGCATTTACCACAGCCTGGATGTTGGAAATAGTTTGCCATCACCGCTCTGTCAGCCTTGGCACATCTGTCAGCTGATAGTCCCCACCCACCACTTCTCTCCAGCTGCTTCCTGGTAACCAACCCATTTGCCCCAATAAGGCTTGGTATACAGGTGACCAGAAGCCTGAATCAATGGGCAGATTAATCCAAGTTAGCGGCAGGAAGCTGTTTGCTGTGCTTTTACAGAGTGCGTTCCGGCTTTTGCTTTGCGTTTATCTATCTGTCTATCTCAGTAGAGCCAGTGGCATAGGGCAGTGTTACAACCTTCTGCTTCCTGCTTTGGTCAGGTTGGGAGTACAAGGCTGGGGTGGGCAGAGATGGGATTCGGAGCTACCAGTAGATCTCTGAGTAGTTGGCAGCAATTTGGCAAGAGATCCTGGCTCCCACTTGTTCAGCAACAACAATGAAAAGCTCCATCTTCCTCCTTTATGAAGCTGGTGAAGTGCGTGGGCAACTTCTGACCTGCAGGGCCAAACCTCATTCTGTCAATGCAAGGATTCATATTTGCACATGTGCTCCCTAAATATGTGGGTTTTTTTGGGGGGGGGTTAGGAGCATCCTACTCTCATGTAGGACCCTGGTAGAGACACATGCCCGACCGGCATGTTCTCTCCCTCCTGGTCGATCGTTCAGGAGCTTCAAAAGCTTTCTCCAACCTGAATATCACAGCGGCCGATGCCTTGGAGACATCAGCACACTTAGGGATCTGCAGAGTATTCAGTTTGCGTAACAAACTCAGTAGCTCAACATTTTGGCTAATCTACTTTTATTTACATATAATACACTCAGAGCATTCTGACTTAGCTCCATCCTCTTTCTCATCAGACCAAAAAGAGAGAGAACAAAGGACAATAGTCCTACTTCACGAAACACAGTAGTACCAAAACATCCTGTCTCCGTCACTTCCCACACTGTGGAATGTAAACATACACCGTCATGTGATAGACAGCAATCCCATGACTGCAGACACGGGGAATGAATCTCCAACACCTGCAACCTTCTGGAGCAGATTGAGGTTGGGGGGGAAGAAGGATTGGAGTGACTTCTGTCGTGCAATCGTAAATCCTTTGCTAAAGGAACACGTGCATTGAATACTGCGGAATACACGTGCATTGAATACAGTGGTCCACATCCTTGGCTATAAGCCTTTGGAATAACTATGATGTTGACCAATCTGTACAGGAATAGTTCTGCTGCTGCCGCCCATGATGACAGCCAGATATGCTCCTTGTTTCTCCCCTTTGTGGTGTCACACTAGGTCGCCAACCCAGACGGAGACTTGCGACTTACGGTGTTGGATTCCTCTGTGCTTGAACGGCCGCGAGCCTTGACTCTGGTACCTAAAGAAGGGTAAGTGAGACGTCGGAAACACTAGCAGCCAGATTTGTAAGACTCTGGGTGGAATGGTGGCCAGCTCCACAGGGTTGCTGGGAGGATGAATGATGCGAGGGCAGGACTGAAATTAATGTGTCCTCTTTCAGGGTGGTTAAATATTAAGCTTCTGCACTTAAAATCTCGCCAGAGACTAATTTTAGCAAACTTGCTGGGGTTTTTTTTCTACACCTCCTTTTCTGTAATATGGTAACATGTAGTGATGTTATTGTTACGTTTCTTTTGTTTTGTTTGGAATTACTTTATATATTTGTACAGTTTATTTTTGAATACTGTTCATTGAGTCAGGGGAGGAGAAGTACATCTGGTGGGGGACACATTGTGCTCCTGGGTTAGTTTGCCCACCTTTGGTCCCCACCCTGCACTCAGCTCTCACCTATGGCTCCTAAAAGCTGTCAACATGCAACAGCGGCCACACCCCAGGAAATGGCTTCAACTGGCCAGCTAAACCAGATGAGGGTAGCCAATGGGTCTCTAACCCTCAGTGAGTTAGGGATTTCCCCTGCATGCGAAGACAGGCTCTGGCAGATTGAGTGGACAAGACCAATAGTCTCTTGACCAACTGTCAAGAAGGCGGTTTCTGCCCATGCTCTAGAGCAGCCTTTCTCAACCTGTGGGTCCCCAGATGTTGTTGAACTACAACTCCCATCACCCCTAGCTAGCAAGGCCAGAGCTCAGGTATGATGGGAGTTGTAGTCCTATAACATCTGGGGACCCACAGGTTGAGAACTGCTTCTCTAGGGGGCAGATGGGGCTCGTCAACCTAGGAAGATAGCCCATCTAGAAGATGGAAAGCTCTGATCCTAAACCCTCCACTGCCTTGCGAGATATCTTTGGGGAAAGAAAAGGCTAAGGAGTAAACCCTACACAAATTTGTAGTGGACTCCTTAAGATGGTTGATGGTATGCCTCTTATTGGCAAGTCCTGCAGCCCGGCTGGTGCCAAGCTTATTACTCTGCATTCCTTTGGACTACATCAGTGAGGCCGAGAGGCGGGTCTTGTCATCTGGGCAGTCCAGGACCTCCATACACCCTGCCCAGGCTTGCGCCCTGGGGAGGTCACTTCAGTGCTGCTAATGCAGCGGTTTGACTTCACCCCCGAAGGCGCACTCCATTGTCCCTCGAGACAGATGCCAACCACAACAGCCATTCATTGACCTTAATAAAGAGATTTGGATTGATTGATTGATTGATCGTGCAACTGCGGAGTGCAATTCATTTATGCAGAGTGTAAAGTAATGCTTTTGGAATCAGGGAGTACACTTTTCTCCACTGTGTCCAGAGAGCAGTCTCAGCACAGAGAAAAAGCATGGAGCTCTCAGACCCTTGAACAGATGCTACTCCTTGCCCAAGAGACAGGGTTGTTTTGGAAAGGCAGGGAAAACCACTCCCTCGAGTGAAGTTGGAAGTTAGTCCTGTCTGTTGACCAGGAGGAGAGACCTTGTCCTAAATTCAGGGAAGGGATGATGTTCAGTGATGGGACACTTGCGTTTAATACATGTGCAGTCCCTGGACTCTCCAGGCAGGGTTAGGAAAGGCCCCTGTCTGACTGTTGCTGCCAGTCAGTGTAGCCCATTAGTGGACTCCATTTCCCATCACTCCTGGCCCGCATGGCCAGTGACTTGGATGATGGGTGTTGTAGTCCAACAGCCGCTGGAAAGTCACAGGATCCCTGTCCCTGATGTGTACTGAAGGTCTGACTTGGTGTAAGGCAGCTCCTTATGGTTGCTCCAGAGACGTGCTGAAGAGCAATAATTCCCTTGTAATGTCCATAATTTGCCTTCTCAGGCTGATGTTCTGGACAGACTGGGGGGACTCCAAGCCTGGCATTTACCGCAGTGAGATGGATGGCTCTTCCCCGACTTGCGTTGTCTCCGAGGGAGTGAGGTGGCCAAATGGCATTTCGGTGGATGATCACTGGATCTACTGGACGGAAGCCTACATGGACAGGATCGAGCGCATCGATTTCAATGGCTTGCAGAGATCGGTAATCCTAGACAGCCTCCCGCATCCTTACGCCATCGCTGTTTTTAAGGTATTCCTTCATTTAAAGCTTTCGTATTTTATCCCTCCAACATGTTTCTCTCTCTTGGACCAAAATCTTGGGCTGGAGAAGGGATGGGGATCCTGTAGCCCTTTGGAAGTTGTTGGACTGCAGCTCCCAGCATGCTGAGCTGGGGCTGATGGGAGCTGGAGTTAGGGGAAGGTCCCAGCTCAGCAATCTACCTTGCGTGCAGAAAGTCCCAGGTTCAATCTTCCGCATCTCGGAGCAGAGCTGGAAATGGCCCCTCTCTGAAACCCTGGAGAGCTGCCATCAGTCAGTGCAGACAATGCTAGATGGATCAATGGTCAGAACAAGGCAGCTACGAGTCTGTGCCTTCTAGTTCAGACGTGGCACCGTTTCTTGAATAAAAATACACATGGCACCAACAGTGAATTTTCCTCCTAATACATAAGGATGTAAGAAGAACCTTGGTCCATCTAGCTGAGCATTCTGTTCTCAGCAGTGGCCAACCCAATGCCACCAGGAAGTCTGCTAGCATATTTCCAATCAACTGGCATTCAGAGGCATTCTGTCTCTGATTCTGGTGGCAACGTAGCCATCATGACTATCTATATAATAGCTTCAGATAAGAGATTTTCTTCTGGACCACAGCAGAGGAGGAAAGGATTAAAATCCCACCCTCCCAATGCATGCCCTGAGACCATTAATTATCTGCCCTCTCTGGCTGATAGTATTTGCGTTTAGAAACAAACAAACCTGCAACTTAAATGTAGAGCCACCTTTCTCCTGTCTAGTTTGGCCTTCTGCTCCTTGGATTGATGGCAGAAGTTCTAGAGCTTTGGGTGTGTGACCAGCTGAGCGGGGTCGGGTCTCCCCAGTTATGCAAATTCATGGAATGATGCAGCATTATCTATCACCTATCTATCTATCTATCTATCTATCTATCTATCTATCATCTATCATCTATATCTCTATCTCTATCTATCTATCTATCATCTATCTATCATCATCTATCTATCATCTATCTATCATCTATCTATCTATCTATCTATCTATCTATCTATCATCTATCTATCTATCTATCTATCTATCTATCTATCTATCATCTATCTATCTATCTATCTCTATCATCTATCTATCTATCATCTATCTATCATCTATCTATCATCTATCTATCATCTATCTATCTATCTATCATCTATCTATCTATCTATCATCTATCTTCTATCATCTAAATGCATATTGTAAGTAAACTTGATTGTAAGTAAAACATCCAAGCAGTTTTCTAAAGAAATGAAAATAAGTGCCCACTAGAAGTGCAGTTTTTTAAAAAAACTAGATCCTTTTAAAAAGCAAAATATAATTAAGACCAGCAGTTGAGCTTAAAAGCAGGTTAGAACATATGTTGGTCTTATAGAGATCTGGAGAGCCTTGCCTGAGCAAAAATGTTGTTTGCAGGTGCTGAGAAGAATACAGTGAGGATTCCTGGTTGATGTCAATAGGCAGGGAGTTCCAAAGTGTGGGTGCTTTCACACAAAAATATCCATTTCTTACAAATGCAGGGGAATAAAAATATGTGGATAGGTGCCAGTTTTGCAGATTATCCTGGGGTGATGAGGTGAGGTTGTTGGTTGACTACCCCCCATGATGGGGTCCCCCCTCACCCTCCTCTGAAGAGATCAATCCACTCAGTCCAGTATACCTGAAGGACCGTCTCCACCTCCATTGTTCTGCCCAGACACTGAGGTCCAGCTCCAAGGGCCTTCTGGCAGTTCCCTCACTAAGAGAAGCCAAGTTACAGGGAACCAGGCAGAGGGCCTTCTCGGTAGTGGCACCCACCCTGTGGAACGCCCTCCCATCAGATGTCAAAGAGAAAAATAACTACCAAACTTTTAGAAGACATCTGAAGGCAGCCCTGTTTAGGGAAGCTTTTAATGTTTAATAGGTTATTGTATTTTAGTGTTTTGTTGGAAGCCGCCCAGAGTGGCTGGGGAAGTCCAGCCAGATGGGCGGGGTATAAATAATAAATTATTATTATTATTATACTTCTGGTTCCAGGCTGGCCCTGATGGGAAGGAAGGTGCATTGACATGGCACTCCCAGAGAAACCCACGTCACTCTATTGGTATAACTAACAACCTTAATGCTATTGCTGAAATCAGTTAGGGTGGACTAATTGATCCCAGGATAGATACAGAAAGCGTTTAATGTTTGTGTACAAGCCATAAAAGTTACGTTCCAGTCAGCCAGTTTTCAATCCCCCTCTGGGTACCCTTGTCCAGATCAAGGTTATGGGGTTGCCCTTGGCAACCTGATAAAGAAAAGATGTCCTTCTGTACAGGATGTCCTTGCAAGCACAGCGAGAACTGAGAGTAATATATGCCAATTATATTGCTTGTTAAACAAAAATATCTGTGGGATTTTTTTGGGGGGGGGAGTTTTGCGGAGCTTGTCTAGTGAAAGCATCACAGTCCTGATTTCTCTATCAATATAGAGGAGGGGTGTGCAAATTAGGTACAGCTTTGCCCCTTACAGTGGGAAGAACCTCCCTCCCTCCTCCTCCCCCCCCCAGTTTTGGTCCTGCCTGCTCCATACCAACAGGAAGCTTTGTTGGCGAAATTCCTCCTCTGTTTGCATATGGAAAAACTACCTTATACCACCTCATCTTGCCCACTGTTGCCTGTTGTGATTGGCAACAGCTCTCCAGGGTTCCCACTGGAGAGTCTCTTCCACCAGCCATTTCTGGGTTCTTTTTAACTGGAGATGCTGGGGGCAGACCCAGGGACCCTTCCACTCACAAGGCATGTGCTTGCATTGCTGAGCCGAGGCCTTTTTGTAGGGATGTGTATAGATTCTAGGAGATATACTTATTAGATATTATCCTTCCTTCCTCACGTTTGTGAGTTCAGCAGAGCGCCATCCCTTTGCAGCTTAAAAGGAAGCATCACATGCACCGTTGATTCGATTGCATTGTAAATACCTCACACTTTTCTTCCTTTGTGTTAATGCTGTGTTGAATTGTATGGCTTTAAGTCTGTTTTGAATGGGACGCGGGTGGAGCTGTGGGTTAAACCACAGAGCCTAGGACTTGTCGATCAGAAGGTCAGCGGTTCGAATCCCCAATGCGGGGTGAGCTCCCATTGCTTGGTCCCTGCTCCTGTCAACCTAGCAGTTCGAAAGCACGTCAAAGGGCAAGTAGATAAATAGGTACTGCTCCGACGGGAAGGTAAACGATGTTTCCGTGCGCTGCTCTGGTTCTCCAGAAGCGGCTTAGTCATGCTGGTCACATGACCCAGAAGCTGTACGCCGGCTCCCTCGGCCAATAAAGCGAGATGAGCGCCGCAACCCCAGAGTCGGTCATGACTGGACCTAATGGTCAGGGGTCCCTTTACCTTTAACTTTGAGTCTGTTTTGAGCCGCTTTTTGAGCTGACTTGCCCCGAGAGGTAGTGTGCTAATGTTGAAATAAAAATACAAAAGCAAAACAGTGTGATTGAAGACACCCTTAATTGTGTGGTGTAGTGGTTAAGAGCGGTGGACTCATAATCTGGTGAACTGGGTTCGCGTCTCCGCTCCTCCACATGCAGCTGCTGGGTGACCTTGGGCCAGTCACACTTCTTTGAAGTCTCTCAGCCTCACTCACCTCACAGAGTGTTTGTTGTGGGGGAGAAAGGGAAAAGGAGATTGTTAGTCGCTTTGAGACTCCTTCGGGTAGTGATAAAGCGGGATATCAAATCCAAACTCTTCTTCTCTTTTTTCCTGCATTGCAGGGCTTGCTTTACTGCAGGCATGGCCTAACTTGGCCCTCCAGCTGTTTTGGGACTACAATTCCCATCATCCCCTGACCACTGGTCCTGTTAGCTAGGGATGATGGGAGTTGTAGTCCCAAAACAGCTGGAGGGCCAAGTTTGGCCATGCCTGCTTACTGCATTTGTGTTTGTAGACTACCTGACCTCCAAGCTCTGGTCCCATTGAACGATTCTGTGATTCCTTGGATTAGTTAACATCTGGAGGGCATCACATTTGCGAAGGCCGTATTAGATGGAGTCAGGGAGAGGATAATGGAACAGTAATTGATTGAGTTGGATTAGGGGCTGCCATGGCCCTGACTGGTTCTGGAGCAGCCAGCTCGACAACGTGTTTAATTATTTTGAGAAAGGAGGAATCCCAGAGGGACATAGGAAGCTGCCTTACACCGAGTCTGACTATTGGTCCCTCTAGCTCAGTATCGTCCAGGCCAGGCATAGGCAAACTCCGGCCCTCCAGATGTTTGGGACTACAATTCCCATCAGCCCTGGCCACTGGTCCTGTTAGCTAGGGATGATGGGAATTGTAGTCCGAAACATCTGGAAAGCCGGAGTTTGCTTATGCCTGGTCCAGGCTGACTGGCAGCAGCTGTATGCAGGATTTGAAACAGGATTTGCACTCAGGCCAACCTGGAAATGCCAGGGATTGGACCCGGGACATAGAATCATAGAGTTGGAAGGGACCCCTCATCTAGTCCAACCTCCTACAATGCAGGAGTCTCAACTAAAGCATCCATGGCAGATGAGGCTTTTCAGCTTCTGCCTAAAAACCTTCAAAGAAGGAGAGTCCATTACCTTCCAAGGCAGTCTGTTCCACTCTCAAACAGCTCTGACCATCATAAAGTTTTACAGTGGTGCCCCACAAGACGAATGCCTCGCAAGACGGAAAACCCGCTAGACGAAAGGGTTTTCCGTTTCTGAGTTGCTTTGCAAGACGAATTTCCCTATGGGCATGCTTCGCAAGACGAAACGTCTTGCTAGTCTTGCAATTCCCCCCCCCCCGCTTCCCCCCTTTTTCTAAGCCGCTAAGCCGCTAATAGCCTTTTAGCAGCTTAGCCGCTAATCCTTTAATAGCCGCTAAGCCGCTAAACCGCTAATAGCGCTAATCTGCTTAGCCGCTAATAGGGTTGCTTCGCAAGACGAAAAAACCGCTAGACGAAGAGAATCGCGGAACGGATTCTTTTCGTCTTGTGAGGCACCACTGTACCTACTTTTTCATTAGAATCTCCTTTCTTGTAGCTTGAAGCCTTTGGTTTGGGTCCTACCCTCTGGAGCAGGATTAAACAAGCTTGCTCCATCTGCCTTATGGGTTGAATCTGGGACCTTCTGCATACAAAGCAGATCATCTGCTGTTGAGATACAACCCTCCCTCTTACAGTCTCAAGAGTAGTACAATGGAATGAAATGGCACAGTGTAGTGGTTCGGTGTACAAGCAGTGATCTGGGATGGCTTTGGCTCAAATCTCATCTCACCCACAAATTCGCAAGGTAGCCTCAGCCAAGCCTCAGTCCCCGATCTATAATATGGCGATAATAACACTGATTTACATTGCAGAGCTGTTTTAAAGATAACTGAGAGAATGTACGTGACACATGAAATTCATAATATAAGCGTTAAGTATTATTGTTTCGTTCATATATCTAAATGGTACTTGCTTTGCTTGGTTTCATTTGTGTGTGTATGTTTTAGCTTATCTGCAGTTGCGATTCTCATCAAACGTTATTGCTTAAAAGATAAGAGGTTTGCTTTTCAGAATGAAATCTATTGGAACGATTGGTCGCAGCTGAGTATTTTCAGAGCCTCCAAACACAGTGGGTCCAAAATGGAGACATTGGTTGACCATCTCAATGGTGTGATGGACATGAAGATCTTCTACCGAGGAAAGACAGCAGGTATTTCTTGACCGCTGGCGAGCATGGTTCTATTTATTCCATTTCATGATCTCCCTGGATAAGAGAAACAAAATCTTGGCGTACAGAGGTTGGACCTGCAACAAAAAGTTGCAGGGCGAAGTCCTTCTCTTTGGGTTGTTTTCCCTTCCTCCTTCTTCTCCAGGGTTTCTTCCTCCTCCCCACAGTCAGTCAGAATTCAGTTAGGGCTGAGGATGCACAATCCCCATTAGACTGTTTTGGTTCCACACAATTTTATGTAATTGTTTTACTTTGTGTGTGTGTGTGCACGCATACCCATTACAGATGAGATGTTAATATTTTAATTCTTTTATGCATTGCTATGGAAGCTTGAAATGGAAAGCCTCTTGTTGATTTAAATCAGGGGTGGGGAATTGCAGGCCTGGGGGACAAATGTGGCCCTCCATAATTCTCAGTCTGGCTCTCGGAACTCTCCCTCTGCCAAACCCCTCACCGGTCCTGCTCAGCAGCCTCCTTGAGTGTTTTTAACCTTCCTGGAATGCGCCCTTGAACTACGAAAATCCATCTTGCATGCCTGGATGGAGGATAGAGAAGGTTGTGTGTGTAGAAACTAGCCTATTGCATAATGGTAAAATGTACCTTATGTTCTGGCGTATAAGATGACTTTTGAACCCCGGAAAAACTTCTCCAAAGTCGGGGGTCGTCTTATACGCCAGGTATCGTTGTGGCAGGTGGCGGCGGCTGCGCGAGAGGCAGCCAGGCAGCGGCTGCGGGCTGGAGAGAGTTAACCCGTGTGGTGACGGCTGTGTGGGAGGCAGCCAGGCAGTGGCTTCCCACCCACTCCGTTCCAAGCCCTTGCCTTCTCGCTCGCTCACCCGCCCTGCCACCAAGGGAATCGCCGGATAGCAGGCAGCTATCCCAAAGCAGCAGCAGCAACCACTGTAGCCTCCCCTTCCCGCGGCAAAGTGGTGCGCTGCTTCAGCCAGGGCTCCAAGGAGCTGGGCATCCCCACAACTGCCAGAACTACCAGCCGGTGAGCGCAGCCCGCCATTTTGCTGGACGGCTGATCGGGGCTCGCTCGCCTCGCCTTGGGCTGCTGCTGCTGCGATGGCAGAGGCAGCGGAGGGGAGCGCGCTCTGCCCTGGCGGTACTTGGTGGGTGGCGCTTGGTGGGCTTTAGGTTGGGGGGCTGCCTCTAGTTGGCTGCAGGCGGGGGTAGTCTTATACGGTGAGTATATCCCAAACTCTGTATTTTAACAGGAAAAGTTGGGGGTCGTCTTATACACCGGAAAATACGGTAAACTTATTGTCCTGCCCACTTTTGCTGCCCGTGTGGCCCCTGGAAGATTGCCCCGAAGGGAATGTGGCCCCTGGGCTGCAAATGCTTCCTCCCACTGTTGATGGAAATAAAATCATGACTTAATGGCTTATCCTGAAGGAAGATCTCTGGAAGCTGCAGGATTTTACAAGGTGTCTCTCTCCTTCTTCTGGACAGGGCAGAATGCTTGCATCTCTAAGCCTTGCAGCCTTTTGTGCCTCCCAAAATCAAACAACAGCCGAAGCTGTAAATGCCCCGAGGGAGTTGCCAGCCATGTGCTCCCATCTGGGGAAGTGAGATGTGATTGCCCGCCTGGGTATCTCTTGAAGAACAGCACCTGTGTAAAGGAAGGTAAGAAGCACACCTCCACACTATGCTGTGATGTGTGCCTCTCTTCTGTTCGTGCATGTCTGCACTGCAGGATTAACAGTAACTCTCTCTTAACAGAAACCGGGAAGTGTAGTTCTGTTAGCTGTTAGGAAGAGCTAGGGCAGTGTTTCCCAAGCTTGGGTCTCCAGCTTTTTGTTGGACTACAGTTCCCATCATCCCTTACCATTGGTCTTGCTAGCTAGGAATGATGGGAGTTGCAGTCCAGAAAAACAGCTGGCGACCCAAGTTTAGAAAACACAAAGCTAGGGCTTTGTGGAAGCCTGTCAAACTACAATTCCTAGAGCTTGCCGGGAGAGTACCCATAACAGTTACTGTGGTACAGAAACTGATATAAATGTGTGCTATACATATTTATTTCATAAAATGTGTATACCTCTTGATGGTGAAAAAAACAAGCAGACCTTAAACAGGTTTATGAAAAGAATAAAACGATCAATTTATCAGTAAAAAACAAAAAACCTTCAGAAACAATTAAAACAAAGAATAAGCTAAAAAGCAGTTTAAAACACCTGACAGCTTTCTATCATAATCATAATTTATTATTTATACCCCATCCATTTGGCTAGGTTTTCCCAGCCACCCTGGGCGGCTCCCAACAAAATATTAATAATAAATAAAATAAAAAGCGATAAAACATCAAATATTAAAAACTTCCCTAAACAGGGCTGCCTTCAGATGTCTTCTAAAAGTCAGATATTTATTTCCTTGACATCTGATGGGAGGGTGTTCCACAGGGTAGGCGCCACTACAGAGAAGGCCTTATGCCTGGTTCCCTGTAACCTCGCTTCTTGCAGTGAGGGAACCGCCAGAAGGCCCTTGGTGCTGGACCTCAGTGTCCGGGCTGAATGATGAAGGTGGAGATGCTCCTTCAGGTATACAGGACTGAGGCCATTTAGGGCTTTAAAGATCAGCACCTTTTTAATATTTATATTCTGCCCATCTGGCTGGGTTTCCCCAGCCACTCTGAGTATAAAAACATAGTAAACATCAAAGATTAAAAAGAAAACATCAAAGATTAAAATGTCCCCAATACAGGGCTGCCTTCAGATGTCTTCTAAAAGTTGTGTAGTTCTTTATCTCCTTAACATCTGTTCCACAGGGAACAGGGTGCCACTACCGAGAAGGCCCTTTGCCTGGTTCCCTGTGGCTTCACTTCTCACAATGAGGGAACCACCAGAAAGCCCTTGGCACTGGACCTCAGTGTTGGGGCTGGGGGTGGAGACACTCATTCAGGTATACTGGGCCAAGGCTTGGATAGACTTTCCTAAAAATGTTTTTAGCCAAAAGAGTACAGTGAAGGAGACTGCTTGATGTCAATAGGCAAGAAGTTCCAAAGTTTGAGTGCTGCCACACTACAAGATTTATTCCTTACAAATGTGAAATGAGCATTATGCAGCACCTGTAGCCATGCCAGTTCTGCAGATCAGAGCAGTCGAGTAGGCATATTTGGGCTAAGGCAACTCTCAGGTAAACTGGTCCCAAGCTGTTGTGCTATTTCTCTTACAGGGCTAAATCCTGCCCCTTGTCTACAGTGAGGGGCCAAAGTCCCAAACTACTATGAGAATTGTAGCTCTGTGAGGGGAACAGGGGTCTCCTAGCAGCTCTTGGCATATTTAACAAACCACAGCACCCAGAATCCTTTGGGGGAAGCTATGTCTGTTAAAGTGGCATGACAGCGCTTTAAATGTATGGTTTGGATGTGACATGCTAATGCTGTGCTGGGACCTGGCTTCTTAACACTGCATTGTTCATTGAAGCCTGGCTGTACTTTCCTTTTAATTTTTTGTCTGCGCTGGTTTCCTCACCTGCCCTTCTCTGCCGCCGTGTACCAGAAAACACCTGTCTCTCCAACCAGTACAGATGTTCGAACGGGAATTGCATCAACAGCATTTGGCAGTGCGACAACGACAACGACTGCGGGGATATGAGCGATGAGAAGAATTGCCGTAAGTCAACGTCGCTGCTCTGGTTCCCTCAAGTTGATTTGCACGGGAGCATACACCAAACAGTTCCCTTTCTTGAGAAGCTTTTTTGATTTTTGGCAAGAGGAAAGGGAGGTGTGAGAGGAGCAGGAAAGACATATACAGTTATACCTCGGGTTACAGACGTTGCAGGTTCCGTTTTTTAGGGTCACGGACCGCTGAAACCTGGAAGTACCAGAACGGGTTACTTCCGGGTTTCGGCAGTTGCACATGCGCAGAAGTACTAAATTGTGCTTTGCGCATGTGCAGAAGTGCCAAATCGCAACCCGTGCGTGCGCAGACACGCTGCTGCGGGTTGCAAACGCTGCAGGTTGTGAATGTGCATCCGCACAGATCACATTCGCAACCTGAGCGTCCACTGTAATATATACAGGTGCAGTTCTATGTGCTGAGTGTCCTAATTCTTCCAGCGCTGTTGTGTGGCTTGATATCCTTGATGCCTTACCAGGAACTGTTCAATGAGTCTTCAAGTTCAGGTTATGATGGGAACTCACAGACGAGCAGCACAGGCAATATTGGATGTTGCTTCAGCACTGGTTAGACTTCTGCTGAGCATATTTATAGCTGGTGTTGCTGCTGCAACTCTTCCTGGTCTGTCATCATAGATCTCATGCACAGCACACATGGAGTCAGATGTCTTCAAGAGGTGGACTCGGATGCTGTCACCATTTTAAGTTTCCAGTCAGACATGCTGCAGCATCCGAACACACGGCTGACTTAGGCCACATGGGGTAGTTTCTTTTTTTAGTTTAGGAACACTTTTAAAGAGAATGAGATACTTCTTTTAAAAAATAATAATATTGAAGTGGTAAGTCTGCTTCAGTTTGGAATTTGTCTCTATTTGGAATTTGCAGACTGCAAAAGTTGAACCACCGATGTAGCTTGGAGTGTTTGTGTCTTCCAGCTCTGGTAGGCAGCAGCTCTCCAGGGTTCCAACTGAGGTCTTTGTGAACCCGGTCAAATGAAATCCTTTACCTGCAGGCCATGGTAACTGAATTTCTGGTCCCAGAGCTACAACTTTGCTCTGGCTCTCTGCCAAGATTGGGGACAGAGTCGTTGTAGATCATGGCATGTCCACGACACAGTTCAGACAGGGAAATTTTAAGGATGGCCACATGGAATGGCTCCCCACTATCTGCCAGCCTAAGGAGAAACATGCTCCTTCTGCCTGGGTTTATTTTAATAAAGCTGCTGGCCTCTCGTGGTTACTCGTTTAGGCTCTCCAAATATTGCTCTTTCCTCCCCTCCCAATAGCAACCACTGTGTGTGATGTTGACACTCAGTTCCGGTGCCACGAGTCGGGGACCTGTGTACCGCTGTCCTACAAGTGTGACCTGGAGGATGATTGTGGAGACAACAGTGACGAGAGCCACTGCGGTAAGTGTGCCAGCACCGTACATCTCAGGGGCTCTGTGCACAGATGATGGATTTTCTGTTTAGGCAGTGTGTAACCCAGGGTCTGCCAACGCTTTTTGGGCCAGTGGGAGAATTTGAAATTTTGGGAACGCGCACTGTGGGCGCCAGTCACAAAATGGCTGCCGTGAACATGTGGCTGTCGCATCTTAAAGGAGCAGAAAAAAGAGGCAAAATGACATTACCCCCCCCCAGCTGCCTTGCCTCTGTGTTGTTGTTTGTTTGTTTGTTTGTTTACTTACTTATTTTTATATTTATATTCTGCCCATCTGGCTGGGTTTCCCCAGCCATTCTGAGTGGCTTACAGCATATATAAAAACATAGTAAAACATCAAACATTAAAAAGTTCCCAATACATGACTGCCTTCAGATGTCCTCAGACAGAAGGCCCTCTGTCTGGTTCCCTGTAACTTCACTTCTTGCCGTGAGGGAACCAGCAGAAGACCTTTGGAGGAGGACCTCAGTGTCCGGGTTGAATGATGAGGGTGGAGATGCTCCTTCAGGTATACTGGGCTGAGGCCATTTAGGACTTTAAAGGCCAGCACCAACACTTTGAATTGTGCTCAGAAATGTACAGGGAGCCAGTCGAGATCCTTTACCTGGTCCCTGCAAGCAGCTGCCCCATCAGTAGGAAAACGGTATAACTAGGATAAGAAATCCATTCTTTCACTATAGCTCAGTACCATGTATTTGAATTCTCACACTCCCTTCCCCGGGTCTTTTTTTCCTGCCCCCGTGTTTGCAGAAACCCACCAGTGCCGCGAGGATGAATTCAGCTGCAACTCAGGGATGTGTGTTCGCCTGTCATGGAAGTGTGATGGGGATAACGATTGCCGAGACTGGTCTGATGAAGCAAACTGCACTAGTGAGCTCTTTTTCTCCATTTTATGCAAGCAATAAATCCTTGGTGGGAGTTGATAATGACCTGATTATTCTTTAGCATTTTGGTTTGACCACATTTTTTGTTTTGTTTTGTTAAAAGCTACTGGAGAATTATTTTGCACTTGAGGGTAATCTTCAGGGGCAAAACACTGATTTTTCTCCCTTGGCTTTAGGCTGTCCCTCTCCTTTGTGAGATAGAAGTTTAACAATTAAATAAAATAACTCTAATTCCCTCTTCCTCTCTTTTTGAATACAAATTCCCTGCACCTCATTCTAAACGTATTATGAGGAGGGAAAGTATGTCAATAACGCAGTAGACTACAAATACTACAACTAATTCTCACCCTGGTATATTTTATCCAAGTTACTATTTATTTTAAAAAAAATCAGTGGCACCACTTTTTTTGTCACTTTTGATGCTGTTCAACCACAGTTGTCCTCCCCCCCCCGTCAGTTCTGTTCTTCTATCTTTGCCTGCAGTGTTTTAAATTGGTTGGCAACTTTTGAGGAAATGTAACGTTTTTATTATCAGAGATGCACCTTGCCTAAAGTCTTTGGGCAGAGAGGCAGTTCATAAATATTAAAACTAATGATACATCCCTTAGGAAGGGCATGCACCTATGCATGTCCAAGGAAATTATGGAGAGGAGAAAACAGAATTGTTTGTAAGAAGAAGGATTGGTAACACTTATTCAGAGCAAATTTGCCAGGGTTTAAGCACTGAATTCTAGCCCCAGGATTAAAAAATATTCTACACACACACACACACACACACACACACACACACACACACACAACTTGTTCTGCACACCTCTTGACTTCTACACAAGAGGGGAGAAATTATAATTCAGCAACGGAATTATCAGTCTCTTGCCAGTGAAGAGAGTGAATCTTCCCCCTCAGCAGCAAAATAATTCCCCTTTGCCCCCCCCCCTGAAATCAGTGCCTTGATGTTTTCCTCACTGTTTTTGCCATGAAGGCATTAAGGGGGGAAAGGGCAGGAAAAAGATAAGCTCTGAGGGGAAAGAGGAGGCTGAGGAGATAGGCTGCTTTTGCTTTTTGTATTTGATGCTGGTGAATTGGGGCACAGCTGGAAGGAAGAGGGAGGGAAGAAAATAACTTAAAAGCCTGAGGGAAGGCGAAGAGCTGTGTCTAAGTAGGTATGCTCTGAACCAAGGAGGGAAGCGAACTGTGGCCTCTGTGGGAAAGGAGGGACAAAGTCTTCCTTTGAAACCTCAGAGTTTCCCGCCTTTGAAGAACCTGCATGCATAACAAACTGAGTGCCCCGTCACAGAACTGTGGTCGCTCCTCACAATGTTGCTTAGCTATTACAATTTCTATTTACTAGTCACTTCCCTCACGAAAGTCACCCAAAGCGACTTACAATAGAAAATAACAAAACCAATTTCAGCAAACGAAACCAATAAAAACCTAAGAAACACGGTCTGTGCAAATGAAAGACAGGTCTTAAGAGATCCTTCCCCACTAAAAGAGGCCCCAAGGTGCTTCAAAATAAGGGCCAAATGCCTGAGGGAAACTTTTGCCTGGCACATAAAAATAGATAAAGATGGTACCAGTTGAGCATGCCCAGGAAGAGCATTCTACAAGCAGGGAGCCACCACTGAGAAGGCCCTTCTCATGTTGCCATCCTCCGGACCTCCCGTGGAGGTGGCACACTGAGATGGACCACGGATTATGATCACAGGGTCCAGGTTGGTTCATCTGGGGAGAGCTCATCCTTGAGATATCAGGGCCCGAAGCCTGATATTATAAGGCTCTGTAGGTCGAAACCACCATTTGGAATTGAACACAGATATTTTGTTGGCTCTCACTTGACTGTATTTGTCTTCACGTCCCTGAGGGCTGTCAGGATGGAGCAGCTGGTATTCTCACGGCATAGGTACTCCTTGAGGGACATACATAACATTGCAGTGGCTTATCTTTCTTGTGAGTTTCCAAGAGTGATAGGACAGCAGCCCACTCTGCAAAGACCGTTGTTGTTGTGGAATGTTATTTTGTTAAGGCCTGGCTTGAAATTATCTGAGGATAGCAGTTATTTTAGAAGCAGCTCATCTGGCGGCTGTGCAGGCTGAATTCATGCCTCTTATCAAAAATAATTGCATTTCACAGTGATTCTTAATAGAATATTACTGCCGGAAGAGCATAGCAGCTTAGAATATCAGGAAGCACGTCACTTGCATGTTGGCAGTAAGTAGCGTGCAATTCAATTATGGCAAACGTTACTTCCTTTCTTGATAAATAGAGTCCTGGCAATATATTTTTCTATATTGGCAATATATTTTTTTCACTGACAATATGAAATCCTAAAATCTCATCAGCTTTTGCTTCCTTAACCCAGCCTTGTGCCTTCCTCCTGTGGCACCTGCTAAAGGTCTCAGTATGTAGACCTCAAAACCCCACAATATACAGGATACATTTTTCTTCTCCTGCTGAGTTGCAGTTTGCGCTGGCTCAGCCTCTCCATTATTGAACATGCCTCCTTAGATATGTTGGTTTAGTGTGTGTGTGTGGGGTATATAAAAGGAGTATTCCTGGATGCCAAGATCCACGTTTGGGAAAGTACTCTTTGATGAGAGAACCCCAGCAGAGATTTAAAATCATGAAATAAGGGAAATGTGGCAATGTTAGACTTTTAAAATACACCCTTGTAAGCTTCCTTGTAATCAACCTCGGGTCTGGAAACCAAATCTTATGAGAAGTGGGTTGAGGGAGTTGGGTACGTTTAGCCTGGAGAAGAGAAGACCTGAGAGGTGATATGATAGCCATCTTCCAATATCAGAAGAGGCTGTCACATGGAAGATGGAGTAAGCTTGTTTTCTGCTGCTCCTGAGGGTAGGACCTGAACCAGTAGATTCAAATCACAAGAAAAGAGATTCCAACTAAACATTGGGAAGAACCTTCTGACTGTAAGAGCTGTCCAACAGTGGACTCCTCCAGAAGGTGGTGGACTCTCCTTCAATGGAGGTTTTCCAACAGAGGTTGGATGACCATCTTTCAAGGGGTCCTTAACTGTTTTTCCTGCATTGCAGGGAGTTGAACTAGGTGACCCTTCCAATTGTGCAGTTATTTGATTCTGGCATCTCCATGTAGGGCAGGTAAAGACTCCTTCCTGAAGCCCTGGAGAGCTGCAGCTGATGGGCGTAGGCAGTACTGAGCCAGATGGACCAGTGCTCTTGAGTCGGTGTCAGACACCTTCCTGTGTTCTTACCACTTAAGGTCACCTCTCAACGGTGTCTCCACTGTTTTTGCTTTTCAGCAGTGTACCACACTTGCGAAGCCTCCAGTTTCCAGTGCCATAATGGGCACTGCATCCCCCAGAGGTGGGCGTGTGATGGTGACGCCGACTGCCAAGATGGATCTGATGAGGACCCCACCAACTGTGGTATGGGAGGGGCTCTCAGCTGCACTGGGGAGGGTGGAAGATGGTTTCCCTCTGCCTAAATGGACAGTCCACAGCACACTCGAGGAGAGAAGGAGGTCTTTGGATGTTTGGCTGAGGACTAGGACCCTTAATACAGAGTTAGCTAGCATGGCGCCCTCCGGATGTTATTGGACTACAACACCCATGTGCTCCAGCCTTCGTGGCCAATGGTCAGAGCTGATGAGAGTTGCAGTTTGAAACATCTGGAGGGTGCCATGTTGGCCACACCAGCCCTATTAGGAGGTTTCACTCATTCAGTGCAGCCTTACCTTTATCTAAGTGTGGAACAAGCTATGGGTTGGCCTTCCCAGGTATGATTTCACATGTCTCTTTCCAGAAGAGAGAATGTGGAGTGAGGTACTCCTCCCACTCATTCCCACCTCAGCATTTAGACCAACTTTCCATGACATTTGACCCTTCAGATGTTGTTAGACTACAACTCCCATCAGCCCTGACCTTTTCCCATGCTGGCTGGGACTGCAGCATAGTTTGGTCAACCTATTGGCCATGATGGCGGCATGGGTCTCCATCTTCCAAGACCTAGGCCCAAAAACTCAGTCCATCTGAATGCCACTGAACAGCTGTTGCGGCTGATTTCCCAGCAGCATCAGGCTGACTCCTGTAGAAAACCGGTTGCTAGACTTGATGGAACTTGGGTGCGACCTGCATTGTGTCTTTGTTAACGTCCACAATCCACCCACCTCTAAGGTACACCTAAAAAGAACTCCAAATGTCTTGGAAGAAACCTTAAGACTATCTTCCCCAGCCTGATGCCCTCCATCAGTTGTTGGCTTCCAATTCCCATTGGCATGGTCAGTGGTCAGGGATGGAAGGATATCCAACAATATCTGCATGACACCAGGTTGGGAGAGGCTGTTTTAGACACCGTCCCTTGTGATGTGGGAGGAACTCCACCCCAGTTCCTGCCCTGCCTTCTCTGTAGAAACAGAGTGGTTTTTTTAAAAAAAAACTCCTGTTCCATTGTTTCTTATCCTTTGGTTAGGGAATGGGAGGAGAGGAGTCCTAGGTGAACCTTGTGAAAAACCCAACACTCTTCCTTTATTCAGGGGCCATTGGTTAGAGCCAGTGTGGTATAGTGGTTAGAGTGTTGGATGAGGACCTTGGGAGACCAGGGTTCAAATCCCTACTCAGCCGTGAAGCTTACTTAGTGACTTAGAGCCAGTCACTGCTTCTCACAGGTTTGTTGTGGGGACGAATTGAGAAGGGGAAGAACCATGCACACCACCTTGGTCTGCTTGGAGAAAAAGTGGGATATAAATGTGATAGATAGATAGATAGATAGATAGATAGATAGATAGATGATAGATAGATGTGATCCAATTTCTGCGATTTCACCCTTCCTGGTAAAGGAAGTCTTGTGTGTTCACTCTTGGTCTGGGATGGATGTTCATGCCAGCCATATAATTCTCTACCTGGCCCCGCTTTGGTGGAGCATTTTGGATCTATGGAGGCACACCCTGGAAGTTGTTTGTCATTGAATATTTTCTGTGTTTGTTCTGTTATTGCAATTGAACTGAACTGAGCAGAGAAGAAGTGCAACGGCTTCCAGTGCCCTAACGGGGGTTGCATCCCTTCCAGCAAGCGCTGCAATGGGGTCCGCGACTGCTCTGACGGCTCTGACGAAGAGCATTGTGGTGAGTGCGTCTGTGGGGTTGTGCGCTGGGATGATAGGGGGTATTGGTGGTGTGAGGAAGGTATTATTATTTAATACTATTCTAATGAATGTTGAATGTTACCTTTTTGATGTAGGTTGCCTCTTTTAAAGATTCATTATTACATTGTTGTATTGCATTAGATTGTTACAAGATGTACATTTTTTTGTTTCTTCAGCTTGTAAACCACCTTGAGTATTGTAAGATAGAAAGACGGCATACAAATTAAAAAATGAAATGAAATGATCCAGGAACGTTAGGAGATAAATTGCCCCACCGCTTTAAACCCTGGGCAGGCTTCATGCATAATGTTAAACAGCGGTCTACCGAGGTTTTATTAAACCACAGTTTACTGTTAAATTCAACCAGGCCATTCACTGAACGAGCAGGCGATGAGCCAAAGGAAATAGCAAAAGGAGAGTCCATTCTAAAGGACATGCTGGGGAGGGGGAGGAAAACACAATCCTGGTTCTCTTCACCTTTTAAAACTCTCTATTTTCTGTCTGATTGCTTGACTGTCTGCAGAGCCCATCTGTACGCGCTACATGGATTTCGTGTGTAAGAATCGGCAGCAGTGTTTGCTGCGTTCCATGGTTTGTGATGGCACCGTGCACTGTCGAGATGGCTCAGATGAAGACTCTGCCTATGCAGGATGCTGTAAGCATTGTTAAAATTGTTTTGCTTTGCTTGTTTTTTTCTTTTTCTTCCAAGCAGGGCAAGGCTTGGGCACCATGGTAATTAAGCACTCCGTAACAGCAGCTGGTCCACCTTTTCTCATATAACCTTCCTGTCTTGGAAATAAAGAGCCCCAAGGGCTTTCTCATTAAACAATTGTAGAGACGTTACAGAATCTCCAGTTTCTGTGCTGCTGAGCCAGTGCAATGCAGAGGAAGGGAATCTTTTGCAGTCCAGGGGCCACATTTCCTTCTGGGCAAGCTTCCAGGGGGCCACATGCCAGTGTGGGTGGGGCCAAAGGCAAAACTGGGCTAAGCCACAGGTGCAAATTTCACATTTACACTATATGCTCAGCTCTATACTCTATTGCCTTACAAGGTTCTGGTAAGAAGTTAATATATGTGAAGCAGCCTTTGAACAATCTCTGAAGTGCTATTATAAACACTAGGTGTTAGATAACCCAGTTGCTGAATTCAGCCCCATTGCTTGTAATGTGTGATTGCAGAATCACATAGTATTTATTTATTTTAATGATTTATATATAGCTTAGTATGGCGGTTTCTAAGCAGAGTACAAAAGGGATACAACCTAAAAATCATTTAAAATTAACCATAAAATCAGAAGGAGAAAACTGTTGAAATAAAAAGGAGTCTTCATCATGAGCCGGAAGCCCTACAGTAACTGTTATCGCGGGGTGTGTGTGTGTCTCCAACTTTTCATACCAAGTGGGCTGCCAGAGTACTTCGATACAGAACCTGCGTGTCACACCCTGAATTAAATTTCCATATCATAAATTTAAAAGTGTTCACAGTACAATGGTACCTTGGTTTAAGAACAGCTTAGTTTATGAGCAACTTGGATTAAGAACGCTGTAAACCCGGAAGTAGGTGTTTTGGTTTGTGAACTTTGCCTTGGGAGCACAACACGTTCCGCTTCCTGTTGAGGGTGTTCCATTTGTAAATTGAGTCCCCTGCTGCTACCGGAAAGCACGCCTTGGATTAAGAACGGACTTCTGGAACGGATTAAGTTCATAAACCAAGGTACCCCTGTATAGTTAATATCATTTAGTATACACAATGCACCTACTTAATATACATACAATCAAGGCAATTGACATACAGTGAACACAATGTGCACAATTAATATAGACAATATAGACAATTAATTAAACATATATAGACAATATAGACAATATATATAGACAATATAGACAATTAATTAAACATATATAATAAAATACCCAATTGGTAGATTCGATTCGTTTAATATTAAACAAAATGAGTACACTAGCGGATGCATGTGCTTTTGTTAACAACTCATGACACACAAAATATTTTTTTTACGGCTTTAGTATGTTTTTTTCTTGGACGTTGCCGAGGGTCGCAGGGTGGGTTGGGCCACTCTGTATTTTAGCATAGTACAAATGCTCAGGCTGAAAGGGGAGGACCCAACACAGCCTCAGCAAGAACTGTGTAGGCCAGGGGTCAGCAAACTTTTTTAGCTGGGGGCCGGTCCACTGTCCCTCAACCATGTGGTGGGCTGGACTATATATTTTTTTTTGGGGGGGGGGGAATGAACGAATCTCTATGCCCCACAAATAACCCAGAGATGCATTTTAAATAAAAGCACACATTCTACTCATGTAAAAACACAATGATTCCGGGACCGTCCGCGGGCCGGAATGAGAAGGCAATTGGGCCAGATCTGGCTCCCAGGCCTTAGTTTGCCTACCCATGGCATAGGCTCTCTTCTGCCTTGTCCACATGTATACCAAACGGAAGAGGCAGTGACGGGGTGGAATATGAAAACATTGCCTTATCACTGCAGCTCTTACATATGCTAGGTGGGGAGGAGGCAGCAATCGCCAAGGAGGCACAGGCTTGGAAAATGCCATTTGTGGTTGTTTCTAAAACAACAAAATCAATTCTTTAACTTGCAGCCCAAGACCCTGAGTTCCACCACACTTGTGACCAGTTTAGCTTCCGGTGTCAAAATGGTGTGTGCATTAGTTTGGTGTGGAAATGTGACGGCATGGATGACTGTGGGGACTATTCCGATGAGGCGAACTGTGGTGAGTAGAAAAAGGAAAGAAAAAAGAATCCTCCTCCTCCTCCTCTCTCTCTCTCTCTCCTCTGATAATGGAAATGGATGAGGAGCATCCCCCTATGGAGCTAGAACCCAAGGGTTGGGCCTGTTTGGGGCAGAGTCTCCTCATCAGTGCTGTAATGGCCCATGGTTGCAGGAGGCTGAAGATACGTTACTATTTCTGTAGCCGGGTTTCTGTCTCCATCATCCAAGAGTCGTCCAATCAGCATCAAAGGGGAGCTTTTTAAACGGCATGAGATGAAGCATTCTCACCCTTTGTGCTGATTGGTGCCAATCAGAGTGACAGGAAGGCAGCCAGCCAGAGGATTGGCTCCTGGGTCACTCTGGAGAAGGTGTTTGGGCAGAGCACCTAGGAGGGTGCTAAGCATTTAGGGAACACTGAAAAACTCAAGATTCTTCCGTTTCAAGAGAATAGTGTGGAAGTTCCGTTACCTACGATGGAACTTCAAGGTAAACACACTCTAAAAGAAGATCCGTTGCCCGTATACTTGCACAGAAAATTGCAGATCTAGCTGGAAGGCAACACTTGGGAGATCTGCATTGATTGTTGCAATGAAATCCTGCAATTCCTCACAGAGCTACAATTTCCAGAGTTCCCTGGGAAGAGAGCTTGACTGTTAAAGCACTCTGGGAATTGTAGTTCTGTGAGGGGAATAGGGGCCTCCTAGCAACCGCCAACACCCTTAACAAACTACAGCTCCCAGGATTCATTCATGCCTGTTTAAAGTGGTGTGATAACTGCTTTAAACGTTTAATGCTGATGAGGCCTCAGTTTCAGCCTTGGTTTCTTTTATTCTGTGCTTACTCAATTGCACTTAGTAGGCAGGAGATGATGGGAACTCTTTGTCCTCCTCAGAAAACCCAACCGAAGCCCCAAACTGCTCTCGGTACTATCAGTTCCAGTGTGACAATGGGCACTGCATCCCTAATAGGTGGAAATGTGACAAAGAGAACGACTGTGGCGACTGGTCCGATGAGAAGGCCTGCGGAGGTAAGAAAGTGAGCAAAAGGAAGGAGTTGTTTGGAGGACTTGCTAGACCCGCGGTCAGGTTGCCCTAGGCTGTTCTTGATGAGATCCCGTCTTACCGGTTTAATTTTAGGTTCAGCTGTCGTCCCCGCCACCACCTTGGCCCCTGCCACGTGTTCGCCTAACCACTTCCGGTGCAATGGCGGTGCTTGCATCATGAACAGCTGGGTTTGTGACGGATACCGGGACTGTGCAGACGGCTCTGACGAGGATGCTTGCCCCACGACACGTAAGGCTCCCTCGCTAAGGGCTGCTCCTGTTTAAATTTTTCTACAGCTTCTTCATCTGCCTCCCCCCCCCCCCCGCCCCACACTGGGCTTGTGGTCTACATTGCATTGAAAAGGGGCTGAGGAGAAAGCTAAGGGGTCATATGTTTGGGAGTGTTGAGGATAGTAGGAGAGGATATATTGATTAAATCTTATCCTTCCTCACTCACTTCCCCAAAGGGAAATTTTTAACGTGTGATATTTTACTGTATTTCTGGTTTCTATGGAAGCCGCCCAGAGTGGCTGGGGAGGCCCAGCCAGAAGGGCGGGGTATAAATAATAAATTATTATTATTATTATTATTATTATTATTATTATTATTATTATTATTATTATTGTGAGCTAGTAGCAGAGCACATTCCCTTGTACATTGCAAGTAGCAAGTTGATGGATTCATTAGAACTGTTTGAGTTTAGCAATCCAGTCCGGGTTGTCCAGATTGGATAGTTCCCTCTTGAAAACAATAATGACACAACAGTTTCTTTTAAAAGTAATGATAAGGTTTACTTACATTCAGTTTACAGTATGCTCCTGAAGGCAGTCTTTAGCTTGTAGTTACAAAGAAAAGCATGGGTTCATCCTCTGTGAGGGGTGAGCCCATGTGCTGCTGGGTGGGGTGAGCCCATGAGAGCCAGCACACAGCAAAAGGCAAGATGGAATAAGGCGAAAAAGGAAGATGGCTGCATGACCAGCCCTTTTGTAGGGTCTGCTAGGGTCACACCCATCTACCTGGTCAAACACAGGGGGAGGATGCTCCAGACCAGGTGTGACAGGAAGTCCTCCTGGCTGGACACTGAGATCCAGTACCGAGGGCCTTCTGGTGGTTCCCTCATTGTGAGAAGTGAGGTTACAGGGAACCAGGCAGAGGGCCTTCTCGGTAGTGGCGCCCGCCCTGTGGAACGCCCTCCCACCAGATGTCAAGGCAATAAACAACTATCTGACTTTTAAAAGACACCTGAAGGCAGCCCTGTTTAGGGAAGTTTTTAATATTTAATGCTGCATTGTTTTTAACACTCGATTGGGAGCCGCCCAGAGTGGCTGGGGAAACTCAGCTAAATGGGCGGGGTATAAATTATTATTATTATTATTATTATTATTATTATTATTATTATTATTATTCCCCTGCGTGTTCACTCTGGGCAAACAGGAAATGTTGTATTTGACTGCTTTTGTGCTGTTACATCCCACAATATAGAGCACTGAAGGCAGGGGCTGGCATGCTCAGAAGCTTGTCCAGGGATTCCCTGAGCCGATCGGGAATGGCAGGCTGGCTCCACCATTAACATCTCCTTGCAGTATGCAACCCTAAAAGTCTGTCTGGGGCCACGTGACCACGTCCACACCATACATACAAAGTGCTATGGCACCACTTTAAACAGTCATAGCTTTCCACCCAGTAATTCTGAGAGCTCTAGTTTGCTAAGGATGCTGAGAATTGTTAGGAGCTCCCCACCTCCTAGAGCTACAATTCAGTTCCCTGGGAAGAGGGACTGGTCGTTAAACCACTCCGTGGCCTGGGTGTGTCCTGAGATTTGCTCTTCGTTCACATGGGTCTGTTCAGTGCCCGGTATGGATTAAGCGAGCTCTTTAGAACGATTCCGAAAAGTGTGCTAGGGTTCTGGAGCAGAAGGCGTTTCCCCGAAGGAAGGAAGTTTGGAAACCTGACTTAGGGGAGCAGCAGGTGGCAACAGAGACAGAGGTTCCTCTGGAGTAGCACTCCAGCCTTCTGAAGCCCATTAGCAGGGTGGACGAAGTCTTGGCTCAGCTTTTTTTGAGGCTGCTATAGGTTGTCCTCATCCCTCATGGCAGGCAGAGGCTGCCATCTGGTGGTAAGGAAAGCGAATCAACCTTTTCTTTTTTTGGACCAGTGAAGGTCATAAAAGTGAAATGCACATAAAAGATGCAGAATCTAGTTTTGCTTCTAATGTGGGTTTTTTAAAAAAAATGCTTCTCTCTCTACCCCGCCTGCCCAGCAATCGGTGCAACTTCAACATCGCCCAGTGTCCCCGGACGCTGCAGTCGATTTGAGTTTGAGTGCCAGCAGATGAAGAAATGTGTCCCAAATTGGAAGCGCTGCGACGGCTTGAGAGACTGTCAGGATGGCACTGATGAGCTGAACTGCCGTAAGTGCTTATCGGGATTGTGTTGAGCAGAGCACCCCTGGCTGCTTGTCCTCGCCCCTCCTCAAACTCTGGTTCAGATTGTGCAAAACGGGCCTCTTTATTTCTCTGGCTGTTTATGCACAAGGCACAAGGGCCACATATACCTGTGGATATCCAAGCAATGGCTCACTCCTAGGGAGAGGCTGGAATCTGCAAGTGAAGTCCTCTTGCTTGCTGTTGATAGGGAAGGGAACATTTACCCTACTTGTCTCCCTGTGCCTGCAACCCCCCCCCCCCGTCCCCAAACCTCAATTCATTGATGCCTCCATCTGACCTGTGCTGTCATTTGCACATATGCAATGACTGTTTCAACTGTACACATCTTGTTTTGAGGGATGCGGGTGGCACTGTGGTTTAAACCACAGAGCCTAGGGCTTGCCGATCAGAAGGTCGGCGGTTCGAATCCCTGCGACGGGGTGAGCTCCCATTGCTCAGTCCGTGCTCCTGCCAACCTAGCAGTTCGAAAGCATGTCAAAGTGCAAGTAGATAAATAGGTACCACTCCGGCGGGAAGGTAAACGGCATTTCCGTGCGCTGCTCTGGTTCTCCAGAAGCAGCTTAGTCATGCTAGCCACATGACCCGGAAGCTGTACGCCAGCTCCCTTGGCCAGTAAAGCAAGATGAGCACTGCAACCCCAGAGTCGTCTGCAACTGGACCTAACGGTCAGGGGTCCCTTTACCCAGTGTGAGCCAGTGTGGTGTAGTGGTTAAGAGTGGTAGACTCGTAATCTGGGGAACTGGGTTTGCGTCTCCGCTCCTCCACATGCAGCTGCTGGGTGACCTTGGGCCAGTCACACTTCTCTGAAGTCTCTCAGCCCCACTCACCTCACAGAGTGTTTGTTGTGGGGGAGGAAGGGAAAGGAGAATGTTAGCCGCTTTGAGACTCCTTTGGGTAGTGATAAAGCGAGATATCAAATCCAAACACTTCTACCTTTACCTATACACCAAACAGAAGTATTTCTCAAGGAACTATGGGATATTTGTGGATTGTGGTTAATGTCATGCGTACTCGGCTTCAAACACTGGAGGTGGGAACGCATTGCAGGCAGAGTAAATGGTAATGTGTGCACGGCCTTATTCTTTCTGTCTTCCAGCTACTCACAGCACCTTGTCGTGCCCTAATGGGTTCAAGTGTGAAGATGGAGAGGCTTGCATCACAATGACGGAGAGATGTGATGGGTTCCTGGATTGCTCAGACAGCAGCGACGAAGGAAACTGTACCGGTAAGTCATGCTGCCCTGCTGGACATATAAGACCCTTTGCAACATCTACTGTGTTTCAGTGGAGCAGTGGGTCAGCTGATTGGTGCTGACTGCAGACCTTGCAGTTCTCAGGGAACTCTCCCAACTGCAGCTCATCCCAGTGGAATTGGCGGCGGTGCTGACAGCAACCGCCCCCTGGGAACTGGGAACTCCCAAGTGCAACCAACCACAGCTGCAAACCTCACTTTTGGCAGGGACTAGTTGTGCTTGGGTGTTCCCGGGTGGAAGCAGTTCCAGCAGGGTTTGCATCTGGCGCCAAAGGCAAGTCATCAAATGCAAGTCTGGTTGGGACAAGGAGCAATTTGGGCGTGTGCCTGAAGGCTCTTGATTGCAAGATCTTCACCTGTTATCTTTAGATGACGGGTGAAGGGCAGACGGGCATGGCTTGGATAAAGCAATTGGGACTGTTTAGTTTAGAGAAAGGGCGAGTAAGAGGCAACACAACAGAAGCTTATGCAATTATGAGTAGCGTGGAGAAAGTGGATGGAAGAAAGTTTTTATCCCTCTCTCATAGGGTTGCAATCTCCAGTGAAGCTGAACGTCGGAACATTCAGGATGGATAAAAAGGAAAGCACTTTTTCATGCGGCGCATAGTTAAACTGTGGGACTCCCACAGAAGGCAATGATGGCCACAAACCTGGATAGCTTTAAAATGGCATTAGATGAATCCATGGAGGGTATGACTTAATGGATGATGGCTGTGCTGTGCTGTGCCTCCAAAATCGGAGGCAGCAATGCTTCTGAATTCCCATTGCTGGGAACGACAGAGGCGGGGAGCACTCATGCTTTCAGGTTTCCCACAGGGTGGCCACTGTGAGAACAGGATTCTAGACTAGATGGGCCATTGGCCTTATCCATCAGGCTTTGCTTGTGTTCTTATGAATAATAATAATAATAATAATAATAATAATAATAATAATTTATTATTTGTACCCCGCCCATCTGGCTGGGTTTCCCCAGCCACTCTGGGCGGCTTCCACAGAGACCAAAAATACACTAAAATGTCACACATTAAAAACTTCCCTGAACAGGGCTGCCTTAAGATGTCTTCTGAATGTCAGGTAGTTGTTTATTGCTTTGACATCTGATGGGAGGGCGTTCCACAGGGCAGGCGCCACGACCAAGAAGGCCCTCCGCCTGGTTCCCTGTAGCTTTGCTTCTCGCAATGAGGGAACCGCTAGAAGGCCCTCGGCGCTGGACCTCAGCGTCCGGGCAGAATGATGGGGTCAGTTTCGGACCCCTCCTGGGCCTTAGGTGGACCATGGAGCAGAGGCTCCCCAAGCCTGGCAAAGTCCTTGTGTGCTAGATGCTGTCTTGACAGATTCCCCCCTCCCCTTCTTCCTCTCCTCCTTCTCCTATGCATCAGCTTTCCTGGCAGAACACTGTTCTGTCAGCACAATCCCTGACCCTCAATTCATTATGGCTTAGATAATAGTCACACTAATAGTTATCGATCACTTTCTCTCTTTCTCTCTCTGCCCCCACTACACCTCTCCACCTTGGGATTCAACCAATTTCCTCCTAAAGCACAGGGGGCGCTGAGCATCAATCAGTTTTTAGTTCTTTAATTAAATATTGATTTGGAGAGGCTGCCCAGACTCGGCTCACCCACCAGGACACCGAGATCGGCAGGCTGGCCAGAATTCTAAAGAGACACACACACACAGCAGTTTTGCGTTATCCTCATGAGTGCAAACTGCCTTTGAGAGGCTTTGCAACCTCCTGTTGATGCTTGGAGAGACTTTGAGCTGACCTGTGAACATAAAGACATATGTACGGACCTGCTGAATCAGGCCGAAAGGCTCATCTAATCCAACATCGTTCTCACAGTGGCCAACCAGATGCCTCGTTTGGGAAACCCAAAACCAGGACCTGAGAGTGTGACAGCACTCTCCCTGCTTGTGATTCCCAGCATAAGGTACTCAGAGGCATTACTCCCTCTGATAGTGGAGGTAAAATATAGCCATCGGGGCTAGCAGCTGTTGACAGCCCTATCCTCCAGGAATTTGTCCAACTCCCCCTTTTAAAGCCATCCAAATTGGTGGCTATTGCCAGTAGCTTTTGCAGAAGTGAATTCCATATAACTGTGTGAAGAAGAATTTCCTTTTGCCTGTCCTGACTCTTCCAGGATGACCTCGGCACCTGGAATGACAAGAGAGGGAGAAAAACTTGCCTCTTTTTATTTTCTTCAAATCAGGTATAATTCTATATACACCTCTGTCGCATCCCCTTCCTCACATCTTTTCTAACTTGAAAAGCTCCGAACGACGTAGCATTTCCTCGTAGCGGAACTGCTCCCACTGCCTGATCAGCTTGGTTGCCCTTTTGTGAAGGGTCTTCAACTCTACAATATCACTTTTGAAGTGTGGCAACCGGTGCTGTTCCCAATGGCATACGTCCCGGGCGCTGGGTGCCAGGTTTGCAGATTTAAAAGCCCCCCCCCCCCAATGCATAACTTGAGGGATGAATTCAGAAGGGATGCAGATGAATGCAAAAGCTACTGAAAATACTCAAGAGAGATTGAGAATTCTTACACTCCCCACCTGCAAAGATGCACCCAAGGTGGCTGGTGTAAAACAGGCTTCCTCAGCCTCGGCCCTCCAGATGTTTTTGGCCTACAACTCCCATGATCCCTAGCTAGCAGGACCAGTGGACAGGGATGATGGGAATTGTAGTCTCAAAACAGCTGGAGGGCCGAGGTTGAGGAAGCCTGGTGTAAAAGCTGACTCGTCACTTGGTCACTGTGGGCTGTGATAGGCGTTGTGTAAACTCATTCCCTTGCCTCTACCAAACTTGGGATTTTTACATTCTGTTTCCCTAGATGACACTCTTGTCTATAAAGTGCAGAACCTCCAATGGACAGCCGATTTCTCCGGCAACATCACTTTAACCTGGACCCGCCCTAAGAAGATGCCCCTTGCATCCTGCGTCTACAATATCCATTACAGGTAGCCTGGCTGGGCAGCTTTAGCATAGCAGTCATGACTAAAATCAGACTGTGTGTGCAAACACCTAATTGAATCCAAGCTTATTAGTGCAGTTGTTACTATACCATGAACAAATTACAGAGGTCCGTTTGCAGCAAGCAGAATCAAGGGCCCTGCCCCCTAGGAGACTACAATGTAAACAGAGAAAAAAGCAACAGAAGGAGAAGAGGGATACAGATGATTATAAGAGTTGAATGTAGCCCAAAGGAGTTGTAAAAAAGAATTGATTTTGGCTGTGGAACAATGTTAAGGAATGGATCGCTATTCAGGGCTTGCCCAAATGATGCTCTTGGCGAGATGTATTGCCTCCTCGCTGTTCAAACTTAAAATACATTAAAAAACAACAACTTGTGTCCCATTTTAGGTTTTGCTGCCTGAGTATCTTGCATATAGCTGCCCCCAGCCATGGCTTTGGTTGGTGGGTCTCAGGGTTCTAGTGAACGGCATTGGAGATCCTTTGGTTGTGCCTGATGTAGGTGCTCCTTTTAGATAGACCAGGGATGGGAAATCCTTCGCCCTCCAGATGTTGTTGGACTTCAGCTCCCCTCAGTCCCAGCCAGCCTGGTCAGGAATGATGGGAGTTGTTGTTCAACATCGACTGGAGAGTCACAGACTCCCCATTGCTGTTTTAGACCATGCCTTGCTGACATTGTAAGAGTACCAAAATGATCATGCCCCCACAGTAGAATTAGATGATGGATTATGTTTGTGTGAGCCAATTCCATGACCTCCAGCTGCCGAAATGGCTCCTGCCTGATTTACATTTCGAAGCAGTGTTGCTGATGCTTCTTTGAAACTCCCAAATCTAGGATGGTTGGTGAGAGCGTCTGGAAATCCTTAGAAACCCACAGCAACAAAACCAACAGCGTCTTGAAAGTCCTGAAGCCAGACAGCACGTACCAGGTCAAAGTTCAGGTTCAGTGCCTGAGCAAAGCGTACAACACCAACGACTTCATCACCTTGCGTACCCCGGAAGGACGTAAGTCAGCTCGCTCGTTTGTGGCACACGTGGAATTAATTACAGAATGAAAGATGCCTTTGTTAAGCCCAAAGCACCGATTTACAGAGGACGTGGCTTGCAGTGTTTCTGCACGATCCGTCGCCCTTGCATTATTTTGCAGTTTTTTGCATTGGGTGAGATGGGCTCATTCAGTTTGCCAGCGCGGTGCGCACCTGCTAACAGGGGAATACCCTGTTGCTCACAGGGTGCTGACTCCTGTCCCTCTTCCCGCTGAAATTAGGCTTGAAATTTTGTGTGGTGATTCAGGGTGGCGTTGCTATTTCATACATAATTCCAGTGTACAAAACTTGATTAGAAAGGTGCTTTCCCTTCATGCAGAGGGAGGCAGAGTGAATTAGCTGCTTCAGGCAACAAGTGTTGAGGGGCAGGGCACAGACAAGAGCTGTGTGTGTCCTGAGGCCTGTCTCGTGCCCCCTAAGGTAGCCCTCAAGTGTACTGGGGGAGGCTGTCCCCCCACATGACTATTAAAGTAAGGAATACATGGGAAAAGTCGGTGCTGGAGCTTAAAAATTAATATGCAAAAGTTTAAAAGGTGCAAGGAGATAGGATAATAATGTACTAAGGATGGAAGAACAAATAAATGAATAACACAACAATAACAAAAATAATAGTAGGTAAAGAAGATCGCACTCAGGTGGTGGGAAGTACTGGGCTGTGGGGGAGGGAGGTGAAGGGATTAATTGAAATTGTTAATGATTGGTATAGGATTTAAGCGATTTAAATTTTTATAAAGAAAGCAGCAAGAAATATCAAGTAAAGGTATCGGAGAGGAGATCGTTGTAAATGAAAGCATGAGACGTATGGTTTTGTTACACATGATTTTATTTTGGAGTTGTCTTTATTTTGGAGTTGTTTATTGTAAATAATGTATATTATGTGAATAAATATAATAAAGGATATATATATATATATATATATATATATATATATATATATATGCAGGTTTTGGTGTCCTCGGGTGTCTTCCCGTGTAAAAGTTGGGGTGTCTAGGCGACGTTTCGACGAGGTCTCACTCGTCATCTTCAGGCTGGTGCTTTCGGCTTCTTGTTACTGGAACAGAGCAGGATCTCAGTGTTTGAGTTCCTATAAATACTGTTGAGGGGGTGTGGTGTATAGCCTCCAATGTTCTGGGCAGAGAGGAAGTTCCCAGGCTAGTGTGCCTATTCTTCCCAGGCTAGTGTGCCTATTCTTCTTTTGTTCCTTAATTACTTGAGGGATATCTTGAGTGATTTCTTGAGTGATATTCTGAGTACCATTTAGGTGGGTCATAGGTGTGGATTAGTTGCTCAAGCCTTCGTGTCTTGACCTCTTGAACTTTGTGAAAAGTTTTTCTGAGAGGATGGCTGTACTGCACTTAGTTGTGCTCTGGCTTGGCTTCGGGTATAGGGGCGAGCTGTGGTTTTGTGCCCTGTGCCAGTCAGATCTGTGTAGGGATTGCAGGGGGGTGCAGCATCCGGAGGTGCCACCATGGTTTGGCTACTGGATGGTGTCTGTAATTTATCTGTGGAGAGGGTCTGGGTTTGGGTCTGGTGTGGTTGATTGGTGATGGCGTTCTGTGTGCCTCTGGATCTGGTGTCGGTTTTTGTGGGGAGGGCTAATTTCCAGATGTCTGGCAGGCGGGACGTGTCGTCACGCTTGTTCATGTTGTGAGGGTGTTTCTCTATCTCGATGGCTTCCATGATTATTCTCTTGTGGTGATGTTCCATGTTAAAGAGCAATTTGGAATCTGCAAAATTGATTTCGTGTCCTGTTTCTTTCATGTGTTGGAAAAGAGAGGAAGTTTTTTCTTCTTTTTTGACGGCATTCTTGTGTTCTGCGATGCGTGCATTTATTCGTCTGTTTGTTTGTCCGATGTACGTGGCTGGGCAGGCTTTGCAGGGTATTTCATAGACCCCTTGGTTTTCCAACTGGATTTTATCTTTGGGGTTTCTGAGGATATTGGCTATTTTTTGGTTGGTGCAAAAGGCTGTTTTGATATTGTGTTTATGGAGGATTTTGCTAATTTTATCTGTAGTGCCCTTGATATAAGGAAGGAGGGCCATGCCATTGTTTTCTTCTGTGTCTTGGTTTTTGGGGGGTGTTTCTTTTTGGATTAGCTTCGTAACCCTGTTTTGCTGGTATCCATTAGCGATTAACACATTTGAGAGATTCTGTAACTCAGTTGTCACGTGGTCTTTGTCAGCCAGGCGTTTGGTTCTGGAGATGAGAGTCTTGGCTACGGAGTTTATTTGTGCAGGGTGGTGGTGTGATTGTGCATGTAAGTAGCGGTTGGTGTGTGTTTTTTTCCGGTAGATAGTATGTCCTAGGGAGCCATCAGGTTTTTTGTAGATTAGGACGTCAAGGAAGGGAAGTTGGTTGTTGGCTTCTATTTCCATAGTGAATTGTATTTTGGGGTGTAGGCTGTTGAGATGTGTGAGGAAGCTATCTAGTTTTTCCTTCCCGTGTGGCCAAATTACAAAGGTGTCGTCAACATATCTGAGCCAAAGTTTGGGTTTGTGTTCTGACTTGTCTAAAGCATTGGTTTCAAAGTGTTCCATGTACAGATTTGCGATGACCGGTGAGAGGGGTGATCCCATAGGTGCTCCTTCTATCTGTTTGTATCTTTGTCCATTGTGGAAGGAAAAACTAGATAGCTTCCTCACACATCTCAACAGCCTACACCCCAAAATACAATTCACTATGGAAATAGAAGCCAACAACCAACTTCCCTTCCTTGACGTCCTAATCTACAAAAAACCTGATGGCTCCCTAGGACATACTATCTACCGGAAAAAAACACACACCAACCGCTACTTACATGCACAATCACACCACCACCCTGCACAAATAAACTCCGTAGCCAAGACTCTCATCTCCAGAACCAAACGCCTGGCTGACAAAGACCACGTGACAACTGAGTTACAGAATCTCTCAAATGTGTTAATCGCTAATGGATACCAGCAAAACAGGGTTACGAAGCTAATCCAAAAAGAAACACCCCCCAAAAACCAAGACACAGAAGAAAACAATGGCATGGCCCTCCTTCCTTATATCAAGGGCACTACAGATAAAATTAGCAAAATCCTCCATAAACACAATATCAAAACAGCCTTTTGCACCAACCAAAAAATAGCCAATATCCTCAGAAACCCCAAAGATAAAATCCAGTTGGAAAACCAAGGGGTCTATGAAATACCCTGCAAAGCCTGCCCAGCCACGTACATCGGACAAACAAACAGACGAATAAATGCACGCATCGCAGAACACAAGAATGCCGTCAAAAAAAGAAGAAAAAACTTCCTCTCTTTTCCAACACATGAAAGAAACAGGACACGAAATCAATTTTGCAGATTCCAAATTGCTCTTTAACATGGAACATCACCACAAGAGAATAATCATGGAAGCCATCGAGATAGAGAAACACCCTCACAACATGAACAAGCGTGACGACACGTCCCGCCTGCCAGACATCTGGAAATTAGCCCTCCCCACAAAAACCGACACCAGATCCAGAGGCACACAGAACGCCATCACCAATCAACCACACCAGACCCAAACCCAGACCCTCTCCACAGATAAATTACAGACACCATCCAGTAGCCAAACCATGGTGGCACCTCCGGATGCTGCACCCCCCTGCAATCCCTACACAGATCTGACTGGCACAGGGCACAAAACCACAGCTCGCCCCTATACCCGAAGCCAAGCCAGAGCACAACTAAGTGCAGTACAGCCATCCTCTCAGAAAAACTTTTCACAAAGTTCAAGAGGTCAAGACACGAAGGCTTGAGCAACTAATCCACACCTATGACCCACCTAAATGGTACTCAGAATATCACTCAAGAAATCACTCAAGATATCCCTCAAGTAATTAAGGAACAAAAGAAGAATAGGCACACTAGCCTGGGAAGAATAGGCACACTAGCCTGGGAACTTCCTCTCTGCCCAGAACATTGGAGGCTATACACCACACCCCCTCAACAGTATTTATAGGAACTCAAACACTGAGATCCTGCTCTGTTCCAGTAACAAGAAGCCGAAAGCACCAGCCTGAAGATGACGAGTGAGACCTCGTCGAAACGTCGCCTAGACACCCCAACTTTTACACGGGAAGACACCCGAGGACACCAAAACCTGCATTCCTGTACCCGTGAAAATCTACGAAAGCATATATATACGAAAGCAAATATATATATATATATATATATATATGTGTGTGTGTGTTAAAGTAAGATTTGGTTGCCAGTCTGGTCAGCGTCTATAGATAGCATTGTTTGTTTATTATATCAATTTGTGGGCTGCTTTTCCACATAAATGTGCCCAGGGAGACTCATAAGAGCATAAGAAGAGTGATGCTTGAGGAGACCAGGCTAATTGAGTAAGCAAGTGCCTCTAGGAAGCCTGCAAGTGGGACCTGAGCACAGCAGCGTCTTTCCCCACTTTCGATTCCCAGAAACTGGCATTAATAGGCTGCCAAGAGTGGAGTCGAGATATTGTAACATTGGAAATTCATCATAAAATAAACTATCTTTCAGTAAAACGTATTACTTAGTTAACATTTATGGGCCAGATTCTGTATATGACAAATCCTTTCTGTGCAATGGGATATTCATGGAATGGAAGGGGAATTCATGGAATGAAATCTTGTGCAATCAGCAAAATGTCTTAGGCCAGCTCTGTCCTTGACACTAATCATACCCACCCACCTTTCCTCCTCCCCCCAGTGCCAGACCCTCCCCGACATCTTCAGTTGTTGCTGAAGAGAGAAGCTGAAGGCGTTGTGGTTTGCCAGTGGGCACCACCAGCGAATGCCCACGGCCTGATCAGAGAATATGTTGTAAGTATTAACTGGACTGATGCTGTACTGAGGGGGAGCCTTGGAGAAATGTGTGTGCTCACAAAAGTATTTCTGTACTTTCTATATCATAAAATACCGGGGTAGTGTGCAGCAGCACTGAGACATAAAAGCATAATTAAAAACAATGCATGTAGGAAAATGATAATCAGGTAATTTGGCCCTCTTTGGATCTGGCTGAACTGGCCAGTGGGGAGTTGGGGAGAACAGCCCAGGCAGCTCAGACTGGAAGTTTCGCTTACACCCAGTCTTGAAGAAGTGGGTCTGCTGATGCTTTGCTATAGCTGCAAACCAGGACTGCTCCTCCCTCTTCTCTGCCATACCAGGTGGAATACAGCAGAGCTGGTTCCAAGGAATGGTCGTCTGTGAGAGCCACCAGCAACTACTCGGAGATAGAGAGCCTGCAGGTCAACATGTTGTATACAGTCAGAGTGAGTATATATCTTGAAAGTGATTTGCCCCTTGCATAGGCAGGTGGGAAGTGGCCTTTATACCTAGGCAGGCTGTTGGACTTTTCAGCTCAGTATTCTCCACACTAGATCAGCAGTGAAAGTCACAGGTGCACAGGCAACAACAGAGGTTTTGCTGGTGCTGGTAGGGTCCCTTCTCCTTCCGCCACCTGTAAAAAAGTAAAGGTAAAGGACCCCTGACAGTTAAGTCCAGTCGCAGACGACTCTGGGGTTGCGGCACTCATCTTGCTTTACTGGCCAAGGGAGCCGGCGTTTGTCCGCAGACAGTTTTTCTAGGTCATGTGGCCAGCATGACTAAGCCATGAAACCATAGCAGCACATGGAAATGCCGTTTACCTTCCTGCCAGAGAGGTTATCTACTTGCACTTTGACGTGCTTTCGAACTGCTAGGTTGGCAGGAGCAGGGACCGAGCAACGGGAGCTCACCCCATCGCGGGGATTCGAACCACCGACCTTCTGATCGGCAAGTCCTAGGCTCAGTGGTGTGGACCACAGCACCACCCTGTATCCCTGTTCAAATGAGACTTGAAATAGGACTTCTATTCTGGGGTGTGTGTGTGTTGCCGATAATAGTTTCTCTGGTTTGCAAAAGGTTGGCTGCTTTTGGTCTGCTGCGCAGAAGAGGGCAGCGGCCTGATAGTTGTTGCCCCAGAGCTCAGGAGTAGCTCTGATCTGGTGAAGCTGTGTGTGTGTGTGTAGGAGGGAAACTCAGCTCACAGGCCAGGCTTGGCCTGTGGAGCTTATATTTTCAAAACTATGTCTACCTGTCAATCAGCTGGTGTCATTTCAGTGGGCAGCTGGCATCAGCTGACGGGTGGGGCGTAATTCTGTGTTGGCGCTGCACTGTTCTGACCATTGGCACGTCTAGTTCTGGTGTGCAGAACTTGCAACCCTCCAGATGGCGTTGGAGCACGCATTTCATCCAGCAACATCTGGAGGGTCACAGGTACCCAGTAACCCTTGGTCTAGATCCATGGCTAGCAGTGGGACCCAGACAGGTACCATATTTTTCTCTCTATAAGACGCACTTTTCCCCTCCTAAAAAGTAATTGGAAATGTGTGTGCTGCTTATGGAGCGAATGCAGGCTGCGCAGCTTCCCTCTTGCTCTCCTGGCTTCAGGGATAGCCGCCTGAAGCCTCCTGAGCGATCGATCCCTCTTGTTCTCCTGGCTTCAGCGAAAGCAATGAGAAGCATCCGGAGCACAGCGGGAGCACTCCCGCTGCGCTCAGGAGCCTTCAGGCGGCTATCCCTGAAGCAAGGAGAGCAAGAGGGATCAATCCCTCTTGCTCTCCTGGCTTCGCTTCGCTGGAGAGGCGCTGCGCAGCTCTCCCTCTCTGCGCAGCGCCCCTTCAGAGAAGCGGGAGGAGAAACGGAGCCCCTTCCATTTCTCCTCCCGCTTTGCTGGAGAGGCGCTAAGCAGAGAGGGAGAGAACATTTTTTTCTTGTTCTCCTCCTCTAAAACTAGGTGCGTCTTATGGCTGGGTACGTCTTATAGAGCGAAAAATACGGTATTTCCCAGCCCTGTCTTGGGAGACCAGAGTTTAAACAATGGGATGTTCTGCATGTAAAGTGGGTGCTCTAGCAGTGAGCTGTAGCCTCTCCTTACACCTGCTGCCTTCCTTCAACATGGTCAACATGTTGCTGAAGGGGGTAGGTGGGCATCATGGTCTCCCTTTGCACCACCAGCCTGCCCAAAATACGTCTTGAGTGCCTGACAGCTGCATAACAAAAGATCTGCGTGCCCCACTCTTTGAAAAGCAGCCCCCAACGCAGCTCAGTAAACTGCATTTGAAACTCTCCTGAACATCAGAGACAGTCTGTGATGCCTGCAGCAGAAGCTTCTCTGTTCCTTTTTGCTCCTCTGAGTCCTGCGTGAAACCAGGCATTGCCAGATGGATGGAAAGCAGGTGGGAGGAGGCGATGATGCTGAGTGAGGGTGAGAGAAGTGGCCTTGCTGTAGCTGCCGTCAGGACCCCTGGCTACTACTGGCACCTGGAGGCTTCTTGCTTCCCAGAACCTCATTTTCAGGCTCCCAAGTTGGCAGAGGAACAGAAGCAAGGCACTTACACACCATTTCCCCATCAGCCGTCGCCTGTAAACCTGCTTTGTTTTCATTAAAAAGTCAAACAGCATGCCTTCTTGCATATTAACTAGCCTTCTCATTTGAAAAGGTTGCTGCGGTAACTAGCCGTGGAGTGGGAAACTGGAGTGATTCCAAATCCATACGAACCGTAAAAGGCAAAGGTAAACTATTAACTAATTAATTTCTTTTACCTCTTGTTTTGTTTTGCTGCACCAGGAAGCAGACCAGAGAGAGCAAAAAACCCCAAAACCTAAATCCATAAATGAGTCTGAACCGTCTCACATTTTGTTATTTTAATATTAATATATTCACTGGCAGCCTTGGGACGTTCATTATGTTCCTCTCGCTCTCTTCTCTAGGCTGTTCAGTGTGCCAATTACAAATCCATCTATAGTAGCTAACGACTTGCACATATTGTAAATATTAATCACTTGCTACATTAAACAGCTATGCCTTTTCCCAAACTTAACCATTCCCTACTAACAACACTTTTTTTAAACCCACCAGCTGTTAACGGACTACAATCCCATCATCCCCAGCCACCATGGTAAATGATCAGGATGATGGATATTGTAGTCCAGCGACAATATTGGTGAAATCTGGGCTAAATGATCAGGAATGGTACTGTGAGAATGGGCCTTTTCCTCCCACCAGCTCATCCCCTCTTGCCTATAAATTATGCCCCCCTACACACACACACACACAAGCACAAGCATACTTGGGATGCCTGTAGCAACATCCATCCTAACCCTAGAGCAGGGATGGGGAACTTGTTTCTGGACTGCAACATCCATAATCTCCGATTGTTGGCCATTCTGCATGGGACTGATGGGAGTGGGAGTCCCCATAGCATCAGGGGTGCAGGTAAAGGTAAAGGTACCCCTGACCATTAGGTCCAGTCGTGACCGACTCTGGGGTTGCGGCGCTCATCTCACTTTATTGGCCGAGGGAGCCGGCGTACAGTTTCCGGGTCATGTGGCCAGCATGACTAAGCCGCTTCTGGCGAACCAGAGCAACGCACGGAAACACCGTTTACCTTTCCGCAGGAGCGGTACCTATTTATCTACTTGCACTTTGACATGCTTTCAAACTGCTAGGTTGGCAGGAGCAGGGACTGAGCAACAGGAGCTCACCCCGTCACGGGGATTCAAACCGCCGACCTTCTGATCAGCAAGTCCTAGGCTCTGTTGTTTAACCCACAGCGCCACCAGCATCCCTTCAGGGGTGCAGGTACTTGGTTTCAACTGTTAGTTTAAGAGGATTGACTGTAATTAATTTAGCACAGTCAAATCATACACCTAATCATGGTTGGCACTGACTTTGCATGCAAGAGGGAGTGGGAATGTGAGACTTTACAATCCATGTTTTGGGGACTGTAGCGTATACATCAGCCCCTATTATTTAAAAAGGAATGGGTTGTTGTTGTTGTTTATTAAAGGCTATTGAAACCTACTTGTGGGCCACAATCTACCGGTTCATTACTAGTGTCCAGATACATTCACTGTGATGGACTGGCAGAGTAAGCTGAAAACACAAAAAGAGAATTTTCCATTGAAATTTTGCAAATTTCAGTTTAGTGGCTGATGCCAGTTTTCTCTGTTTCCTCTCTGCCTTAGTTATCCCACCACCTACGATCCATATTGATAGCTACACTGAAAACTCCATAAGCTTCACCCTCAAAATGGAAGCTAACATTCAGGTAATAAAAATTTGTGGCTGAAAAGCCCAGCTCAAATACACCACACAAAAGAACATTTTGTGAACTGACATATAAACGCTGTGCTTTGGAAAGGTTTTCTAAGGTGATGCAGTGATGGATTGGGAGCAGGTGTTCGGAGGGAGGCAAATAAACCATAATCGTGATGCCATTAGGGGTTTGCAATTCCTAGGCAAACAGAAGTTTTAATTACGCTAACTCTGAATCTTAAACATAATGAAATTCCTGGTATTGGTATCCATTTCATCTGACAGAGGCTTTTTTGGGAGGTGCAAAGATAATAGAGTATATTTCTGCCTTGCACTTAATCAGTCTTAGTTTAGTTAACAATGATCCATTATGTTTCTGTTGCACCAAGTTCCTTAGAGAGCTGCCTTTCAAAACCAAAGATGGAGAGGAGAATCACAGCAGATTATAGCATAATTATTCTCATTCCTGAATGACTGGCCAAGTTGACATATATAGGAGTGATCAGTCAGTTGCAAGGAGCTTTTGGTACTTCAAACTCGCCATTTAAACACATGCACTTGCTTACTTGTTTGTCCTATGCATTCTCTGCTGCCGCCTGACAGGTGAACGGTTATGTTGTGAAAATCTTCTGGACTTTCGATACCCACAGACAAGAAAAAATATCCTTGCTCATTGATGGGGGAAAGTCGGCACAAACTGGTAAGCCTCACCAGAATGTTCATTTCATCTGGCAGCATCTAATGGAGGATTACCACTGATCAGCAGGGCCGGTCCTATCGTTGGACAGGGGTGAGGCGTCAGCCTGAGGCAGTGGGTGGTGCTTGCAGGCAAGAAGGTGTTGGAGAACAATGCTTGCTCTGTGTGTCACATGGCTTGCTGCCCACTACCTAAGCTTGCTGATGACCCCAGGTGCATTGGATGAACGGGGGGGAAAGATTCATTTACTAGTCTAGTGAACTTCTTGTACAGGGAATGTTCAGGAGAGGTGGAGGCACTGCCTTGTACTTCACCCTAGTATTTTGGGCTGGCCCTCTGGATTCTCCCCAGGCGACTCACCTGGGAACAGCAGAAATGCTAAGCGTTCAGAAAGCTGGTGAGCAACACCACCCTACCTGAACCTTCCGCTACTGGGCCCACATGACCACTAAATCAGGTGAATTTCACAGGACCAGACGCAAAATCTTCAGTATGCTTCCCCTTTTTAAAACAAGCAAGCAAGCAAGCAAGCAAAACCTTTTGCAACCTGGAAATGGGCTGCCAAAGTGGGAGATTCTTTTGGCTCGGCCCTAGACAAGCCTTATTTGGGGAGGGTGCTCCACATCCTTGCTTAGCCCCAATCGTTTTCTCCACCCTCCACAGTGAGTAACTTGACTGCTCAGACACAGTACGAGATTTCTGCATGGGCCAAGACGGAGCTGGGGGACAGCCCTCTGTCTTTTGCCCACGTGTTGACCAGCGGCACACGACCACCCCCTCCCAGTCTGAAAGCTAAAGCTGTGAATCAGACAGCGGTGGAGTGCAACTGGACTGGCCCCAAGAACGTGGTAAGGGTTCCGTTCTTTTTCTTCTTGTGGAAAGAGCCCCCAGACAGAGCAGAAGAGCCTGTCCTCTTTCTAAATGTCTGCCTGCCATTCACATGTAATTTTTGCAGTTGGTCCCAGATAGCAGAATCCTGTGTTCAGGATGCCGCATAGCCCAGCTGTTAAAGACAACGGGTTTTCATCAAAAAGGGGCAATCTTATTGTTTTCCTATTTTCAGGGTGTATATCCCATCCAAAGCTGGTGTGGTAGGCCATTTATTTGTTGATTATTAAAAAAAATGTATCAAAGAAAATAACAATTATGAATGCGTACAAAGCACAAAATTTAAAACGCAGTATAAAAAAGTAATTTAACTGAAAGTGTTCATCTTGCAATAACATTAAAAGGAGAAATCCCACCTTACTAAAGTTGAACATCAATACAGGCTTGCGGATAATCCTACCCTACGTCCCCAATTAAGACCTGATCAGGAACATCTTTGTCTGGTGCCTGGAAGTTGGTAGCAGTGGCACCAGGTGTCTCTTTCTGGGGAGAGTGTTGCACGGTTTGGGAGCCACCATTGAAAAGGCCCATTCTCATGTTGCCACCTTCCACTCCTCCTTTGGCGGAGGGCCTCAAATGATGAACGTAGGATTTCCAGGTTTGTGGTACTTAAGTTAGTGAGTTGCTCAGAGCCATCCAATGAGCTTTATAACTCAGTTTTGAACCTAAGTCTCCCATGCAAATAATAATAATAATAAATAATATACCCCGCCCATCTGGCTGGGTTTCCCCAGCTACTCTGGGCAGCTCCCAATCGAATATTAAAAACACAATACAGCATTAAACATTAAAAACTTCCCTAAATAGGGCTGCCTTCAGATGTCTTTTAAAAGTAGGATAGTTGCTTATTTCCTTGACATCTAATGAGAGGGCGTTCCACAGGGCAGGCGCCTCTACCAAGAAGGCCCTCTGCCTGGTTCTCTGTAACTTCACTTCTTGCAGCGAGGGAACCGCCAGAAGGCTCTTGGCGCTGGATCTCAGTGTCCGGGCTGAACAATGGGGGTGGAGATGTTCGTTCAGGTATACTGGACCGAGGCCATTTAGGACTTTAAAGGTCAGCACCAACACTTTTAATTGTGCTAGGAAACGTACTGGGAGCTAATGCAGGTCTCTCAGGACCGGTATTATATGGTCCAAATTGTAGAGATTGGCTGTGAGAGATGAGGCTTTCAGTAAATATCTGTTTAGTGTAAAATCCACTTGCTTGGATGTGCATTTGGTCCAGAGTTAATAGCTGACAACCAGACAGAAAAGCCTTTATACTCTTGAAGATGCAGTCTTAGTCGTTGAACAAATTGGCTCCCAAACGTCGCAAACCCAGAAGTGAGTGTTCAGGTTTGCAAATGTTTTTTTGAAAGCCGACGTCCAATGCGGCTTCCGCTTGGCTGCAGGAAGCTGTTTCTTGGTTTTTGAACCATTTTGGGAGTTGAACGGACTCCCAGAATGGATTAAATTCGAGAACCAAGGTATGACTATAATTCATTCCTTTTTAAACTTCAGGAACCAGTTCAGTTTGCCACAAAGACCACTGCAACTGTGGATGGCTACATTTATTTATTTTTTAATGGGTTGGAAAATTCATTGGATTTGTTTGCAAGACTTTAGGGTGGGGAAAGAGGTTCAACATGCTTTTCTTGCTTGCATCTCTCCCCCCCCCCCAACCTTCCTTTGGCAGGTATATGGCATATTTTATGCTACATCTTTCCTGGAGCTCTACAGGAATCCTACCAATGCCACCACCACACTGCACAACATTACAGTCATTGTCAACAGAGATGAGCAGTACTTATTTCTGGTAAGGAGTGCATTGTTCATCTTCTCCCCCTCCCCGCTCTTGCCAACCAATGCAACTTGGGCTTTTCTTTATAAATTCAATATCAAAAGAGGGCAACTGATTAGGGAAGGGCCATAGATCAGGGGCAGAGCTTCTGCTTGGCATGCAGAAGGTTCCCACTCCGATCCCTGACATCTCCAGATAGGAAGATCCCCTGCCTGAAATCCTAGCATGCTGTTTTGCCAGGCAGTGTGGACAACACTGAGCAGACTCTGTATAAGGGCAAGTTCCTGTTCTCCTATTCTACTACTTTGAGGAAGCTGCCGGAACCACAAGGCGGTATAAACGTCACAAAGAGCAATATGATATTCTCAGGGTTGCGGCTTATTCTCTTAAGGGCTAGCAGCCTTGTACCCATTTAAGGTGTTCTAGTGTAAGCTCATAGGGGCAGATCACCTGTATATTTTTGCATGGGCAACTCTTAACATGTGCCACATACACTGTATGCACAAGCATGCCTTTGGTATCTTGGGAAGAGGCTCTTCTGAATAGGTTCCTTCTTTTTGTGAGGTAAAAGTCCCTAAACAAGAACAGCAGGGTCTTCTCTGTTGGGACACCGACACACATGTTGTGGAATTTCCTGCCCGTTGTCATCACTTTTTCAGTGTCAGATAAAAACCTTCCTATGTGAGAATGCTTTTCAAGCAGTTGGATTTTAAGGCTGAACTGAATTTCTTCCAGCAAACGTTTTGCCTTTTGTGTGTGTGTGTGTGTGTTGGGGGGGGGGGTTGCTGTTTCACCTGTGCATGCAGACTCGATTGGCTACGGTGCCCTTTATGGTCTGAAAGATGTTTGTTCTCCCTACTCAGTGCTGCCATCGTATAGAAGCGTTAGCCAGCTTGGTGCCCTCCAGCTGCTGAACTTCTAACTCATATCAGTCCCAGCAGCATGGCTGATGGCCAGGGATGATGTGGGTGTAGCCCAGCAACACCAGGAGGGTACCAGGTCGGCTGCCCTTGCCATAAAGCCATTCAGATTCGCTTTCAATCATGTTTCCAGAGATATGTTCATTTCTGACACATTCCTCGTGAATGTATTTTAACAGAAGACCTCAGATTTGGTTCAGACAGGCAGCAAGATCCTTAAGTGCAGAAGTTACATGCTGCGGATGGGAAGCTCTGTGAGCAGTTCCATGCTCAACATAGCCATTTTGCTGAAATGGCCTTGTAGCAAAATACAGAAACTTGCATTTAAAGCAGTTCCCATAATCCCTGACCACTGGTCCGGCTAGCTAGAGATGATGGGAGTCATGGTCCAAAAACAGCTGGAGACCCAAGTTTTTGGAAGCACTGATTTGAAATAACCTTCCCGGAGTCAAGTAATCTTTATTGAATCAAGCGGCTATGGTTACTCTGTTGAGTTGTGGGTTATAAAAGTAGGCGGGGGACATGCTAGAAAACTGTATAACCGACTAACAACTGCTGACCTCCTTAAGGTACGTGTGATATCCCCATACCAAGGGCCGCCTTCCGATTACATCGTTGTGAAGATGATTCCTGACAGTCGCCTCCCCCCTCGGCACCTTCACTCTGTGCACCTGGCAAAAACCTTTGCGGTTATCAAGTGGGAGTCTCCTTACGATTCTCCTGACCAAGATATGGTGAGATTGTTGCTGTTGTTGTTGTTTTATTATTATTATATTGGGAAAGGATAGAAATCGAACACAAGCTAAATAAATGTCACCCAGTTCCACCAAAAGTTTTCTAAGAGATGGGCTTTCGAGAGTGCTGGGTGGAGAGATCACATTCTAGGCTAGCGATGCTGCTCTCCTTAAGCAAAAGGCCAAATCCTCTTGATGATTCAGCTGGCCTTTAGCATTTCAGACACTTAACGGGAGAAGTGGGGTGTTGTGGGAGAAGGAGCAACTCACCATTCTGCTCCCTTCAGTTGTATGCTGTAGCAGTGAAAGATTTAATAAAGAAAACAGACCGGATCTACAAGGTGAAAACTCGCAACAGCACCGTGGAGTATACCATCAAGAAGCTGGAACCCGGTGGCAAGTACCATATCATCGTCCAGCTGGGAAACATGAGCAAAGAGGCCAGTTTGAAACTTAACACAGGTAAGGAATGTCCGAGGAAAAAGTAGTGGAATAAGAGGACCGTGCTGAGTTTGTACTTCCTTGTTTCCCTCCCCAGCCAAAGCCTGCATTCCTGTTGTCACAAACCTGGGTTTGTCTTACTCCTGTGCACTTGTAATTGTGTACTTTTTATCTTTCAATAAAAAGAAAGCAAAGCAAAACCTAGGCATTTAAGCCCCATTGAACCCAATAGGGCTTGGCTCTGAGTAGACACGCATTGGAATCCAGTGCATATTGCATTCTCTATCTATAGGCATTTCAAAGAACTGAGTGAGACTGGTGGACAGATTGCTACTTACCTAAATGTTTCCCTTCTTCCTTTGCAGTTTCCCTGGCTGCACCAGATGCCTTAAAGATTATAGCAGAAAACGATCACATCTTGTTGTTTTGGAAAAGTTTAGCCTTAAAAGAAAGTCATTTTAGCGAAAACCGGGTAAGTTGCTATTGGAAGTTTGGGAGCAGCTCAGCTTGCTGAGAGAGGTTTCCATGGGCTGAGACAGATAAAGGAATCACCAGCTTTCCAAACTGTCCCTGCACCTTTTTCTCTATGCTGACTTCTCTCTATCTCTTTGATGTTTAGACTGCTAAGTCTTAGGTTGCATCCTGCTTACAACTTCCTGCTCTTCCTCACACACTTTCTCTGGGCCTGGAGGTGAGAGGTCATCTTGGATGTATCAGTGCACAGTGGTACCTCGGGTTACATACGCTTCAGGTTACAGACTCTGCTAACCCAGAAATAGTACCTCGGGTTAAGAACTTTGCTTCAGGATGAGAACAGAAATCGTGCTGCTAACCCAGAAATAGTACCTCGGGTTAAGAACTTTGCTTCAGGATGAGAACAGAAATCGTGCTCTGGCGGCACAACGGCAGCAGGAGGCCCCATTAGCTAAAGTGGTGCTTCAGGTTAAGAATAGACCTCCGGAACGAATTAAGTACTTAACCCAAGGTACCACTGTATAGAGAACAAAGGGGCAAGCATGTCTTCTTGGCTTCTCCAACTTAGATAGCTAGCACTGCAGAGCTCTTTCATATCAATAATGTACTTCCTTTATTAAACAGAAGCTTTATTATTTTACACCATGTCTCAGTCTGAATACCTTTCAACTGAGGGTGTGTTCCAAGCAAGGATTCACTTAACTAAGCTAACTTCCGCTGCTGCATAGTAACTCTACATGCTAGCAGTTATAACCACACTCAGAGTGCCATGCTTTTTTTAACCACTCATTCTTTCTTGATTTGATTGACACCCTGCCCTTCTGCAAGTCCCCAGGGCAGCTTAGGGAAAGCTAAAAAAAACACAAAATGATAAAAGTAAAGACATTCACTGTGTGAAAGCAGTATAGCGGCAAACAGCGAAATTGAGATGAGCACAAAGCAGGATTTTTAAAAACGGACAGAAGATTGCAAAGCCTGCGAGAAAATACAAAAAGGTGTTTTCCCCAAGCCAAGTCCAAAACGTTCAAGGGAACTGGCAGTCGAGTTCTCCTCCAGGATCAGGTCAAGGGCCCTTCTAGTCCAGCATTCTGTTCTTGCAGTGGCCAACCTGTGTGCAAGCAGGACCTGAGCACAAGAGCCCTCTCCCTTCCTGCGGCTTCCAGAAACTGGTATTCAGAAGCATGACTGCCTCCAACTATGGAGCCAGATCATAGCCACCCTGGCTAGTAGCCACTGATAGCTGTATCCTCCATGAAAATTTGTCCAATGCCATTCAAGGAAACTGACCCCCTCCTTCTGTAATCCTCATAGAACTCTAGCCCAATGGTTGCCATTAATTTGACTCTGAATTGATTTTAGAATGAATTGAGCTGCCTTGCCCTCAGCTCTGGATGTTTTTTCCTGACTAAAATACGCCAGCAAGCTGTAGCCTGTGTTTTTCTATTGCCCTAACGACAGTCCTTCGATTAGAGTAGTGAGCTGGCAGTAGGGTAGCCCAGGTTGCGGCTGCATTGCTGGTTACCCTGTCCTGCGCATTACTGCTGGTTCCCAAGAGTGGAAGGCGGCAGGGAGCTCAGCGCTGTGCAGGCAGAGCAACAGAACCACCCCAGCTGCAACCACGCCAGGCTCTCTGCTGCCGTGCCCCTCCCCCCTCGCAGTAACCGGCAGAAACATGCAGCATTGGGAAGACATCTTGGAGATCCTGGGCTGCAGGGAGGTTAGGCTGGCCTCAACCAGAGCCAGGGCTCTTTCGGCGGTGGCTCCGATCTGGTGGAACACTCTGTCACAAGAGACCAGGGCCCTGCGGGACTTGACATCTTTCCGCAGGGCCTGCAAGACAGAGCTGTTCCATCAGGCCTTTAGCCAAGTCCGACCCTCTCCTTGTGTAATCCTCACAGAACTCTAGCCCAATGGTTGCCATTAATTTGACTCTGAATTGATTTTAGAATGAATTGATTTTAGAATGTATTTCAACTAATTGATTGTGATTTTATGTAAACTGTGTTATTTTTACTGTTGTTAGCTGCTCTGAGCCCGGATTCGGCTGGGGAGGGTGGGATATAAATAATTATTATTATAATTATTATTATAATTATTATTATTATTAGGTCCATTCATTTATTTTTTCCCAGTACATTTTTATTCAAATTACACAAAGAAAATATACAAATAAACATACCGATAAGCATATCATTATACATATAAGTACATATTTACATAATTTATTATTTCCCTTCCCCAAATTATACAAAAAATCATAAAAAGAAAAAGAAAATCATTTCAGTGGACCTGCTCTGGGTAAAACTTGGACACAAACCAGTATTTCAATCCAGAACCAAATGACCTTGCTTTTTGTGTGTTTTGTGCTTAATTTCAGGGGTATGAAATACACATGTTTGACAGCGTGACAAATAGCACGTCATACCTGGGCAATACCACGGAGAACGTCTTCAAAGTCTCCAACCTGAAGATGGGGCATAATTACTCCTTCACGGTGCAAGCAAGGTGTCTTTACAGCGGGCAGGTGTGCGGGGAGCCTGCAACGCTACTTTACAACGAAGTGGGAAGCGGTAAGGAAAAGATCTCCCCCTCTGATTCACTTCTGCTTCGTGTATTTTCTTTTCAACACTTGCCGTGTAAATGTTTGGAAGCCTGGAACATTGCGGCTATCAATGCAGATCTCCACGCGTTGTCCTTCAGCTAGATCTATCATCTTCTGTGCACGTTTATGGGCAAATTATCTTGAGTACTCCGGTGTCTTCTTTCGGAGCAACTTAAGTTGTGTTTTCTGTGAGCTGCCAATGTACATAACAGGGCTTGCACCCTATTCTCTTGAAACTGAAGCACCTTGAGTTTTCAGAGTCCCTAATTGCTTAGCTTTAAAGCATACGGAACAACTCCTCCTTGTTGTCTTCCCATATGCCTTCTCAAGAGTGACCCTAGGAGCCATTCCTCAGTGACTGACTCACCTCCTTCCATGTTAATTTGGTGGTTCTAGGATGCTGGAGAGAGAGACCCTGCTGCCAAAATAGTATCAGGTCCCTAACCCTGGACCACCACATCACTGCTTTCAGCCAAATGATTATCAGGCTAGAAGGACACCTGCCTTCAACTGGCCCTGCCCAGGGTTTTAGCCTTCCAACTTTTCATAACCATAGCAGTATGTGTAACTTTATAGCAGCATAATATGACTTTATTGCAGTTGTTCTGATGACTTTGTTGCTGCTGTTGTTTGCTTTATTTATATGCTATTGTGTTTGATATTATAATGATTGCAATGTTTGGTGTTTTTTTAAATAATGCTACTATAAAGTGTTGTGAGCTCAACATTTGTTGGAAAAGCGGAATACAAATATTAAATCAAGCAGCTCCTGCATCATTCTGTGAAAATACAAAGTCTCGGTTCACATTTTGGTGTAAACAACTGAAATGCAGGTTGTACTATAGCAGTTTATGTTTGTGAGATGCCCAGGGAACAGACGTGTGATGCTTGTATTTGTGTTGGGTAGCCAACAAATTGAATCGCATTCTTTGTTTCTCCTTCTGCAGGCAGGGATCCTGCTGCATCCACCATGAGCAAGCCTACAGACGTGGCTGCCATTGTGGTGCCGATGTTATTCCTCTTGCTAGTGACAGTGGGCATAGGGTTTGTTGCCTTGTACATGAGGCACAGAAGACTTCAGAATAGCTTCACGGCCTTCGCAAACAGCCACTACAGCTCCCGACTGGGGTCAGCAATATTCTCATCAGGCGATGATTTAGGTGGGTGAAGCTGTTTTCCTAAGCCTTGGACAGGAGGACTTAAATGGGTGGAATCTCATGAGGGCAACAATTGCATTAAGCTACAGAGGTTGAATGGGACGCGGGTGGCGCTGTGGGTTAAACCACAGAGCCTAGGGCTTGCCGATCAGAAGGTTGGCGGTTCGAATCCCCATGACGGGGTGAGCTCCCGTTGCTTGGTCCTTGCTTCTGCCAACCTAGCAGTTCGAAAGCACTTCAAAGTGCAAGTAGATAAATAGGTACCGCTCTGGCGGGAAGGTAAACAGCGTTTCCGTGCGCTGCTCCGATTCGCCAGAAGTGGCTTAGTCATGCTGGCCACATGACCCGGAAGCTGGCTCCCTTGGCCAATAAAGCGAGATGAGCGCCGCAACCCCAGAGTCGGTCACAACTGGACCTAATGGTCAGGGGTCCCTTTACCTTTACCACAGAGGTTGAGGGTGTTTTGATAATTAGCCTTTGTGTATATTTCCATTGCAGCATTTACAGTTTGAGGGGGCCCTCAAGGACCACCTCTCCCCATATGAACCAACCCAGACCCAGCAATCATTATCTGAGGCCCTCCTTTATGTGCCTCCTCCACAAAAAGTCTGGAGGGTGGCAACACAAAATTGGGCCTTATCTGCAGTGGCTTCCCTCTTCTGCCATGCTCTCCCCAGGAAGACTCACCTGGCACCTTCATTATATATCTTTAGGTGCCATGGAAAGCAAAAACATTCCATTTCACCCCAGGCCTTAAACAATCTATGGTCCTTTAAACTGTTGGGGGGTATTTTTTTTGTTACTATGCTACGTATTTTTGTGTTTGTATATTGTACGCTGCTCTGCGATCCTCAGATGATCCTCAGTATAGAAATTTGATAAATATTAATAATGATTAATAAACAATATTGGTTGTAAGTTGCTATGGATTGCCTTGGGCAAGATAAAGTGACTAAGAAATTGCACTAGAGCTCTCATGCCACTGGTCAGAGAACGTTGGATACAGCCCAGAGAGACCAAAACATCTGCAATGGGAAATGTTGGATTAAACATTAGGAGGACTTTCCCGTTGGTACAACTGTTGAACAGGCAGGTTCGGAAAGCAAAGGACCATGTTGGCCAGCTCTCCTGGGATCCTGAAGCAGAGGATTCCTCACGTTGACCGAGTGTTAGGCTGGGCGACCTTTGGTGTAATCTCCCAGTTCTCCGATTTCTTTCTGAAACGGATGTGTTTCATTCCCAGGAGACGAGGACGACGAAGCGCCGATGATCACAGGCTTTTCAGACGATGTCCCCATGGTGATAGCATGAAGAGCGTTTCTGACTCTGGAAACCAAAATGGTGTAAATATTTTATTTGATAAAAAAGGAGAAAAAACACAGTCAACTGTTTATTTTAAAACAATATACAGTATATATATATATATATATCTGCACTTTTGAGTTGCAATATGTTATTTTTGTATGGCCGGAAAAAAAGAAGAAGAAATAATTATTACACTTTGTAGTACACAGCTGTGAACTTTCAAAAAACCAGGTTGATTTAGTAACAATTTCTGTTTCTTTGTTTCCCTCCCATTTCCAACCTTTAATTTAGTCTTACAAGGCTGTGCTTGCTGGGCATGCTTTTAAGTCTGTGAGATAATTCTCTCCCCCACCCCCTCGTCCTTGTTGACTTTGACTCTGATCCTCTGAGAAGTTGTGCGTAGTCAGAGAGAAGCCGCTTGATGCTCCTTCCAGCTTTGACATGATACCATAGAGTTGGTTGTGAAGAATGGCAAAAGTTTGGCTGCCACCGACATGGAAGCACCGTATTCATCTCCCCCTCGTAATGTGTCATATTGGAAAGGCATGTGACCTCTACCATCCCTTCCCCCATATCGCTGGCCCCCACTGCGCTGGGATAGGGGCAGGTCACGAAGTGGGGAGTCCCAGTACTTGGGCTGCAGCATGCCACTTCCCTCGCCACTGCCCCTCTTTCCCATACACAACTCAGTGGTTCACTGGCGCCCCCTGGGATGCAGTAGCTGCTTGAGTTAGCCTTCTGTCATCACGCGGGCCATTCGTCGGCTTCAGAGCTTGTTCCCCAGCCTGAAGAACTTGGTTGCCGGAGGTAGGAACGCTTCTGAAGGCCAGTTGCTAGAAGCCACAGGAAGGGAGAGTACTGTCATGCTCAGGCCCTGCTTGCTGGTCTACCATAGTCATCTCGTTGGCCACCACGAGGACAGGGTGCTGGTTTAGATGGGTCACAGGCCTGATCCAGCAGTCTCTTGTGAGGAGACATTTCCTGGCCTACTCTCCTGCTTCTGTTCCCTGATTTGCTGTCTCAGATCATTTGGGGGACCACAGAACTGCTACCTCCCCACCGGATAAATTTCTGAAAGCCCACCTGCTCCTTGACACAGTTTCTGACCGTTTCCAATGCTTGGCCACCCAGAGCGTAATTGGGGAACCCTGCAGTGTTGTGCAATCACATCATGCATTTCCATTACTGCACATTACCAGGGAAGGGGGACGAAGAGGGCTGTTTTCATAGCCCTGTTTCTAGTTTGAATGAAAGATACGGGGGCAAGGAAGGACTGCTGAGAGGTTCCTTTGTGGCCTTCGTTATATGGTGGTTATGCAACCAAAGTGGGTAAGGTGGGGCAACAACGATGTCTTGCCCATTCGCTATCTTAGGGCACACCCCTGCCCCCCAAATGCTGCTGCTACAAACCTCTCTTCATTTCCAGAGGTCTTGCATGAAATCCTTACCCAATCCCACGAGGCCAGCAACTAGCAGAACCACTTCTCTCAGGATCAGAGTCCAAACTAGCTTCTTTCTTTTTTCCTAGGAGAAAATTTTATTTTAATAAATTCAGGAAAATATAAATATATATCTATATATATATATATCTATGAAGAGAGATTCCTGAAGGTTTTAACATTGGCTTAAAAAAATATTTGGATCTTGTTTTATATGAGATTTTTTTTGTTCTGTTTTATTAATTTATTAGGAAATCTGCTTTTGGTCAGAGTTCCAGAATTCTCAGTCATGTTGCACACTTATTGTGTGAGGAGATGTGCCACTTTAACCTTTTGCAAAATAGTCGTTTCTTCCCTCCAACCCCTTATGTGTCTTGTAATTGAATCAGGTATTACTGCCATAGTAAAAGAAAAGAAAAAAAAAACATTTTTATCTTTCAATACTTTTCCATGCTTTAGGAGAAAACAAAACAAAAAAAGCGGGGAGGGAGGTAGAGTGTGAGACTTGTTGATTTGTAAAACTGAGGGCTAAAATAGTTTCTGCAAAGCACTTAGTACACATTCATGGAAGCAAAAAAATATATACATATCTAGGCGCACAAAGGTTCATTCACTGGTTAACTTTTCTGTTTGTGTGTTTTTAATGCAAGTGAAGATGATGAAGTCCTGAGTGCACCCCAGTGCAGAGGTAACAGCTCTTGCATGATGAGGATTCCCCATTCACTCTAATGGAAGGGGCAGTGTCCATGATAGACCACTTTCTGCAAGAAGAGCTGCCTGCTCCATGTAGGCCCTGTGCCTCCATATGCACTTGAGAAACTTCTGGATCAGGGTTAAACCCTCCCACGTTTGTTTGTTTTTTACATTCAATGGGTTATGGGAATTTGGGGGCCACCTGCCACCTGCTTGGATCATTCCCAATAAGTGGGGGTTGTATCCAATGCAACGATAAGCAACCCATTCCATTAGTTCAAGGGTTTACGTTTGCGCAATGAAACTTCCCTATGTGCCTGCCAAATCTGGGTTTCCCCTTCCAACCCTCTGGGGCAGATTTGAGGAGGGCACATTGCATGTGGGGGGGTTGGAATCCCCATGTGCAACTGTAAATCCTTGAGGACAAGGGCATTTGGGGCTGAGTAGGAGTTGCAGACTTAGCATAGCTATGCAACTTTGGCTCCAAAGCCAAATATCTGGTTCTCCTTGTCTTGTATTTGTGTGAGTTACAATGTGGATTCCATCATTAAAAAAAACAAAACAAAACAAAACAGTAGGAAGAAGGTATTGCTTAAGAATTAGGTGCCCCGCACAAAGGCTGCTAAAATTACAGCTTCCCTGTGTCCGACAGGGTGCAAACCCAGATGTGTGCCTGCTCAAAAGTTTCCTCTCCTTGCCTATGTTGCGTGGCCCTGTTTGACCTTTGGTGCAGTTCGGACATTTCCAAAGTATCCCGTGTACTAGAGGACCAGGCCTGTTTTCTGTCCTTCTACCTTACAACTAAGCCAGGGGCCAATTGCTGCCCTCTGGACCTCTCTATCTGGCCGTCAAGATTCTCTGCAGGCCTCCTAGTCAGCCACACCCCTACGGGCCCTGCTCTGCACCCTCCTTGAGTGTTTTTGCCTGGCTTGAATGTGTCCTTAGCTCTGTTCATGCCACCTCCTTGCTTGGATGGAGGATAGAGACAGGTGTGCGTGGAAGGATGCAGGAGGGTAGCCTAAAATCTAGAGGTGGACTCTGCATTCATTGCTCTTCCCACTTCTTCCAGGCTGAAAACACTTCCTCACTGCTGATCTAATTTTAATGCATGGTACAAGTGCTCCATGGGGCGGGGTGTGTGTGTGTGTGCCCACACATACAACATCCTGCGTCAAGTGACTGTTCCCCCTTGTTCTTCTCTTTCCCCCCTATCTTGGGGAATAAATAGTGCGATTTGGGCTGTCACATATGCAAGCATCCATGCTGAGCCCCCACATTGCATGGATTATGTGCTATGGCGGGAAGCAGAAGTACGGGCCGGCTCTACCATTAGACAGAGGCTCTCACCACCCACTAAGTATTGAACAGTGGTTCTAAAAACTAGCATAAGGGGCAATGGGGTTTTTTTAAACCACCTGCTCTGCCAAAGCTCTTTTCAGCAGCCTAGGATAGGGGATTGCAACAGTCCACAGCCCTGTTTTGCTGACTTGGGTCGCACCTCCCCAAATTCTGCATATGCAAACCTAGTCGAGAAATTGCAAAGCTTCACATTTCTCAGATGCAAACATCCATACCGGTTTGAACCAAATATATATATATATACCGTAGATTCCGGCGTATTAGGCGACTGGGCGTATAAGATGATCCCCGAATTTTTAGAGGATTTTCCGGGGTTTAAAAGTCGTCTTATACGCCAGAATCTATGGCATATCTTTGCTGCATATAACTTAGTCTTCCTAGGGCTGGAGTGAATATCAAACTGGCCAAGCATGACTTGGATAAGCAATCTTAAACTATTCCCACCATGCCTTCTCCGTAACTGATTATTATTTTGCTGACAATGGTGGGCTTTCCCCCTCTGATTTTTGCTGTTTTGACCTTTTCTCCTTCTACGAAGAAGCACCTAACGGTTACATTTCAGTAAGCGTGGAAGGTCTGCCAACGTTATACATACAGATGTTCTTCCCTTTTCAAGTAAACTCAGCAATAGCCTGAAGGAGGTCAGAGCTATCCTGATCTTGTGACTCGTTTGTGTGCTGTGTTTGAAATTGACCCCTCGTAGGTTATCTATAATGATTACGTTGCGGGAGGTTGGACTTGGATGAACCTTTGGGTCCCTTCGAACTCTGCAGTTCTGTGATTCTTACACTAGATGAGTGGTCTTCGCAGTTTCCAGACTGACTTTACTACCGAGGAACCCTGAACCCAGTCACATAAATTGGAGATGCGTTGCAGAGATGATGCATTGGAAATAGGGTCTCGTTTCAAACCGGACGCTAGCAAGGGATGCCAAGAACTGTAATGGTCTTTTGTCCTATTGTCAGCATACCATAGCCTCAGCTGTAAAATAAGTTTGTGGTGGTACAAACTGGGTGTCGACACACATCCATCTCCTTTGAAGTGCAGGAGCTTCACATAATAGAGAGGCTTCGAGACATAGCTCTGGGATAGCTTAGCTGGTAGAGCGCGAGTTTCTTAATCTCAGGGCTGTTGGTTTGAGCCCCACGTAGGGCTAAAGATTTCTGTATTGCAGGGGGTTGGATTAAATGACCCTCGTGATCCCTTTCCAACTCTATGACTCTTATCTTAAAAAGACATGATTATTTTTTTAATGTATTTTTTGCATAGCATGGAACAGCAGCTCGTTAAGTATAGCTCTGAAAGATGTGATTGTTTTTTGTTTAAATAAATTGCAAGCACCACACATTTGGAATCTCTGTATATAATTTTGTGGCACCGTTAATAATAATAATGAATTGTGTTTATACCCCACCTTTTTCTCCAAGGAGCACAAGGTGGTCCTACATGGTTCTCCCCCCTTCTTATTTAATCCCCTCAACAACCTTGTGAGGTAGATTAGGCTGACAAGCAGTGACTAGCCAATGAGCTTCATGGCCAAGTGGGGATGTGGACCCTGGTCTCCCAAGTCCTTAGCCCCACACTCTAACCACAACAGCCACAACCCGCTGCTGAAATCTGACTTCCTAGCAGATTTCAAGCCTTAAAACAATTTCATGGCTGCTTGAGAACTTGAAAATGTGCCTAATAGCTAGCGCAGTATTTTCTACACTGACTGGGAAGGACTCTTCAGAGTTTTTAGACTGGAGTCCCTCCAGAGATGCCATGGATTGAAGCGAAGTTTGGTTGGCCATTTTGGTAACAGAACTAGAACAGCCATTGGCCTGATCCAACAGGACTCTCCTTATTTCCTTATGATTCTTCAGCATAAAGAGCTCTACCACTGACCCACAGCCCCTTCCTGAAGTTTAGGAGATCAATTTAGAATGCTGTGTGTGGCATTCAACTACGTTTTGCTACAGAATTAGACCCGTTGGAGTCATTGGACCTGTTCGTTCATGTCACTGTGTGTCTTCACTGAGTAAAACAATACCCATTCCTTGGAAAGAGGAGTTTAGGGACAAGGGGGAAAACTTTTGCGCAAGCCAAGGGAGGCTGGAGGAAGGAAAGTTACAAAGGATGCAATATTTAATCCAAGAATAGGAAAGTGCAGGAAGGGAAAAGCCAGTTAAAAAAAATAATAATTCTTAATGTAACAGAGGAAGCAACGTCCCACACAGAAGGGACACTAAAGAGAAAAAGGAAATGAAGTTTAATAAGTGCATTTAATGTATAGTATCCCAGTGCTGTACTGTTGGAGCTATGCTGGTACATCAGGCCTTTCAATCCCCCCCCCCCCAAAAAAAAAGAAGAAGAAATCTGTTCCATAGTTTTCCCTGGCTAAGTTAGAGGCTGTCACTGCATCTTGTAGCAAATTTCACTGTGCATCGCGTGAAGTCCTTCCGTAAGCCTCCCTATCTTTGACTTCATGGGGTGACGACAGTTTTTTTGTGTTACAAAAGAAGGGGGGGGGAATGAGAATTCAGCAATTGTTAGAGAGTCCAGCACAGGTAGCTTCATGAACCATTTTCAGCGTTTTGTCTATAAAGGACTGATGTTAGCGCATACTGATTTCTTGCCGCCTGATCCAGAGTCCTGTCTTCACCCAACACCAATAATCATTTTAGGTTTCATGGGATTTCACGGAGCTCACTTTCGACTGGGTTCCTCACGGCAGTCTTTTGAGTTGTCTTGGCACTTGATTGTATGTGATTCACCCTCCCCTTTGGTGTTCCTTTTCCATCGGTGGTTTCCACTAGGAATTATTATTACTTCTTTTCTGCACACTTTGGAATGAATTTCCTTTGTCTTTCAATGTCTGCCATCTTTCCCACTTGAGTAATAAAAACGTAAACTTGAGTCAAGAAATAAAGATGTTTGCAAAATAAAGAAGTATTGCTGATCTGACCTGTGTCCTGAGTTTAGTCGTAAATCTAAGGGAGCCACTGCTTGGGTTTTGCATGGAATTGAGACCTGCTTATTGAGCCCATCTCAGTAGAGAGAAACTGGGGGACAAATTTGACGTGCTGCAGGCACACAATGGAGAAGAGGAATCGAACACCTCATATGCATTCACCAATGTTTTATTTGGCTTGGATGCCTCAAAATAACAACAACAACAACAACAACAACAACAACAACAACAACAACAATTTATTTATTATTTATACCCTGCCCACCTGGCTGGGTTTCCCCAGCCCTCTGGGCGGCTTCCAACAAAATATTAAAATACAATAATTAATCAAATATTAAAAGCTTCCCTAAATAGCTCCCCTGGCTGGGCTTTGGGCTAAACTGCATTTTACACTACAGTTTTCTGCAGCACTTGCCCAGCAGCCCCATGGATCTTGCAAAGCACCTTTAGAGTACTTGCAGAAGAGGAGATGGGCATGGAAGGGAGTGCTGAACCTCAGGTAATCTAATGTTTAATTGTTTTTTAATGGTTGGTCCCAATCCTATGTTTTTAGCTGTTTTGTTTTAGCTGTGAGCTGCCTTGAGTCCATGTTGGAGAAAAAGGTGGGGTATAAATAAATAAATTGTTCTTGTTATCATCACCATCACCATCAACTCTTGTACTTCATTGGGATGTGCTTTTTGTTTTGTTATTGTTCTTCATTAACATAAAATAAAACTACAAACAAACAAAAACAGTTACAAAACATAGGACTGGTACAGAGGCTGTACTTTCCAAATAAATAGCAGGTCATGTAGAAAAAAATAAAATATAAACGCATCATGACAGCCAAGTTTTGCAACTTGGTAGGGGAAGAGAGTTTTGTATACTAGAAATTGATGAAATCCCACGAATGGTGCAGAAGGGTTCCAAGCCCCCATCATCCTTAGAAATATGCAATTTTGAGTTGTTTGCTCTGCAAGAGCTGAGCCCACTTATTCTTGGACCAAAAGAGGAGGTTTACGTTCTGTTGTGTCCTATATTTGGGGGCCAAAGAAGTTCTCGCTGCAGCCTGCATCCATGTCGAAGCTCCTAAGATTGAAAAATGCATGACCCATGATGGGATGCAAATGGATTCGGATTGTCTTGGTTTAAGCTGAGCTATATTCCGGTAGTGCATTTGGCAAATATGGCTGGAGCAGAGCGATGCAGGATAAATTCATCTCGGAAGGCACACCTACCTAATTTGCAGTTTTCGAACCAATTGAAATAGCTACCTTACACATTTTTCACTTCTAATTTTCCCCAGTTCCGTTTTCTCCACCCCACCCCAGCCAAGTAACGTTTACAAAAACGCATATACTGGGGCAAAGTGAATAAAAATGCACACATGAGTGAAAACACCAAATTAGGGTAAAATTGCTTTGCAAAATGATACAGTGGTAGCTCTGGATGTGAATGGGATCCGTTCCAGAGCCCCGTTCACATCCTGAAGTGAACGCAACCCGCGTCTGTGCGTGTCACGATTCGCTGATTCCGCGCATGCGCGTGACATCATTTTGCGTGTCTGCACATGCACGAGCAGCGAAACCCGGATGTAACGTGCTCTGTTACTTCCAGGTCGCCATGGAGCACAACCCGAAAATACTCATCCCCAAGCTACTTCAACCTGAGGTATGACTGTATTAGGGGAAATTGCTTTGCAGAATTGTGCATTTGGGGAGAAATTGCTTGTATATTAGGAGACATTTGGACCAAGCTGCTGGCAGATTTTCCTGATATAATTAAAAAAAAATAAATGCAAATTGATGTGGAAGTGTGATCAACTTGAACTTAAGATTGGAAAAATGAGAAACTGAAATTGACATGTTCACCCATACCTCTTGGAGCATCGTGCCACAGGCCTCCCGACATGCCATCATAACAGCACTTGCATGCTACCATGAGACTGTCTGGGCTGGTGAAGCACATGGCACATTCAGAACGTTAATCAAAATCCCCTCGCCCCGCCCCTTTCCTAATGGGCTTTTCATTGCTTTCTCCTTCCAGCAGTCAGCTCAAGACGACATCCTTGTTGTTGGGTGTTTGAAATGTAATTTACAGTATGCAAATACTTCGCAGACACCCACGCAGTTTGGAAGGGAGAACACCGAGGTATTCCCTGTGGATCGAGATAATGAGGAAGGAGCAAACTTGGTGGATGCGTGTTCACAGCTAGCATAATTGGGAAGGCACAACAGGAGGAAAACAGACATAACTAATTCAGCCAGGCAGGCTTGCTCTAAAGTGTGTTGCCGTGCTTCGTTAATGCTTCACTTGGGGCTAAATTTTAAAAGGAGCCTTAAAAGACCCCAACTACTTATCGTACGCAGACCATCCTTTTCTCCCAACGGTATTGCAGAAGTCCTACAATCTCTGTTTTTGAAAATCCCTGTTGTGCAGATATGCCCCACACTGCACCGATCCTGTCTGCAAAGCCCTCTGGGTGCCACAGTTGTCAAGAGAGGGCTTGTTGAGATACACCACATTATCCTTCAATAACAACCCTCTAACACTCTGAAATCTTAGATTTGTTCACACCAATGGATTAGGCTGAAGCATGTGGAAAGCAGGAAGAGCCCCAGGATAATTTGAGGCTTTTGATACCTGCCTCTGTTTTATTTGGTGGAGGAGGGTTAGCAGGACACATCAAACGGGTGAGCATCATGCGCCTCCTAAAAAGGTTTGATATAACCTGTTGTTTGCTTTTTTGTTGATTGTGTCTATATCCTGCCCGTCCTCCCCGAGGAGCCCAGGGTGGCAAACAGATGCACAATTTAAAAACATTTTAAAGCAGTTATTTATTAAAAAGCAAACAAAACTCCAAAAGCAGTTACAGTGAAGAACATCCTAAAGACACAGTTAAAAAATATTCTTCCATCCAGTGATGGGTGCCAGGAACAGTATCCTTCGGCCACCAAACGCCTGGGGAAAGAAAAATGTTTCTCTTTTAATCCTTGTGAAAGTCAGTAATAATGAAAACCAGTTTTAGAGCCATGGTGGGATAGGACGTGGCCTTTAAGGAGACACTGATGAAGCATCTCATTAGTGGTGCTAATTAGTGGACACAGGTCTAAACCACTGAGCCTTTTAGGCTTGCTGATCAGAAGGTCAGCGATTCGAATCCCCGCAATGGCGGGGTGAGCTCCCGTTGTACAGTCCCAGCTCCTGCCAACCTAGCAGTTCGAAAGCATGCCAAAAAGTGCAAGTAGATAAATAGGTACCACTCCGGTGGGAAGGTAAACGGCATGTCCGTGAGCTGCTCTGGTTTCGGTGTTCCTTTGCACCAGAAGTGGCTTAGTCATGCTGGCCACATGACCCAGAAAAACTGACTGCGGACAAACGCCGGCTCCCTCGGCCTGTAAAGTGAGATG